CTGGTCCCCCAAACACCCATGAAGCCATCCTGCCTCTACAAACCCACTGTTCCTTCTTCCCAACAGTACCCTTCAGGTTTAATTTCTGGTTGAAAAAACATGGTCACTATAACCTGCAACTCAGGCCAAGTGCTACTGTCCCTCGGTGAAGAGCTCTGTTTGGAGGACTTATCGAAGGCTGGAGAGAAGCTTGGCTATCATTAATGGCCTTCTGGCTCCTAGAGCCTCAGTGTAGGTGGGATTGAGGGAGGACAGGAGAAGTGCAGGAGAGAACTTGGCCTGGCCAGCAGCTGGGCACCAGGCCCTAAGAGGGCATTCTAGATGCTTCTTTACATAGGTGCTTGCTCCTCAGTGTGCCCTGGAGAGGTGGTGCCATTTCCATGAGGCAGCTGGTGAGACTGAGGCTGGGAGGAGTGCGACTACTTGCATGGCTGCCTATAGAGGAGGAGGGGTTGTAGTGGCTCAGCCCACTCAAGAGCCTGCTCTCGGCTTCGTAGGTGGATCCAATGGTGCAGGCCACAGAGGGCTGGCATGGAGAGCCTTCCATGGAACAGAGCAGGACAGGCAGAAGAAAGTCCTGGGGCCGCTCTACCCTTGTCCTTGTGCCTGGGGCATCTGGCCTTTGTTCCCACTTACTACCTGATCCTTTGAGGCAGGCAGCATTCCTTGCTTTTTATGAAAGGTAGACACCGTTTACTTTGTTTAAAAGATAAAATTTCCAGACAGCATGTGCCCTTTCCCTTCTGTTTGAAAGGGGACAGTGAAGTACCTGCTTGGATTGGGCTGTGACCCATGTCAGCAGTACAGGGAGCAGAACGGAGCTGCGGAGCGAGGCAGCAGGGGTGCCCAGCTGGCTGGCCATGCTGCTGCTCCTGGAGCTGAGCCTGAGGCAGGAAGCCGGCAGGACTTCGAAGGAGATGAAGTCACTGTTCAGAACCAGCACCGAGTTAGACTTGAACCAGATGGTTTGGCTCTGGAGTCCAGGTAATGAATGAAGTGGGAGCCCACAGGACTTTGAAGTCGCCACCCAACAGGGGACACAGCAGCTGCACTTCCTAGTGACAGGAGGGAAAGAAGGCGATGAGAAACAAAGGAGTCAGAGGTGCATGCTGCAAGGCATGGGCTCAGGGGAGTCCTTGCCTGCCTCAGGAGTCCCATTGCCTGTTTGCATCTCACTCCCCTCTGTCTCCTTAAGGTTCCCCTTGCCACCCTCCCTCTGCCCTCCTGGCAGGGAGGGGCCTTGGTGGGATGAACCCTTGGGGCTTACTGTTCCTTTGATGGCTGGTGTCTTCCTATCCTAGGGGCCCCATTCTCCAGAGTGGGGAGACTGAGCAGTGAGTTTCATGAGATTTTGCTCCGTTTTGCCCCTAGGAAGAAATCCCAGCCCCTGGCAACTCCCCCTCCTCCCTTGACTTAAGTGCAGTTTTTCTTTTTTCTGATGTGCTCTGGTCTTCAAACAGAGTTGGCAGGAAAAACAGTGACCTTGGGAATGCAGGCATCCTTGGTGAATTTTCTTAAGTTAATGAGACTAAATGGGGAAATCGAGATCAGCTGTGCAAATTAGCTTTGCGTTCTGGGTCTTACTGACTTAAATTGCAAATCCTAATTAAATGCCCCAGATAACGGTGAAGTGGCTTCGTGAGCCTTTGTGACCTAGAAATTTCCCTGAACTGTAAACTAGTGTGAAATCAGTCTGTAGATGCCCTTTTCCCCTGAAGCATTTCTGTCTCCACAGTCCCAGTGATGCTGATGATACCAGCTGTCCTCCTGAGGGAAAGGCAGGCTGGGGGCGGAGAAGGAATCAGAGTGGGTATGTTTGGGAGCCCCTGTGGCTGACAAGATGTTGGGGTGCAGATGTGCCCCCATCAGATGACATGTCTCCAGGGTGCTAGTGAAGGTGCTCCCAGGCACATTCTCTACCCAGATGAGATGTCAGGAATAAGCTGGGAAATGGCTTGGGAAGCAAGAGCTCTTTCCCAGTGCTGACATCACCCCCAATGCCTTACGCCAGTGGACCTGCCTGGAACAGGCTCCTTGGTGCTTGGCTTTGCCCTTGATCTTGTGCCTGAGTTTCATCAGTGTTTTTCTTTCCTCCCTGTTGTGACTGTTGCTCTCCAAAGACTCTTGACTTTTTCTTTTAAATTTTAAAGAGGATAAAACAGAATAAAACCAATCAAAACAAACCAGTGCAAGAGATGCAGGACTTCCAAACATTACAAAATGAACAATAGTTACCATCATGCCTCTTGGTGTCTTCAAAATAGCTACAGATAACTTCAGACTTAGTAAAAATCAGAGTAGAATAGAAACAATAAAAACAAAACAATGAATGCAGTAAAGGACTTCAAAACAAGACAATGGTAAATCCAAAATTGCTACCATAATATTTCTTGCTATCTTTGAAATGACTGCTTCTGCCATTGGATTTGACATAAAACAAAAGAAAATAAAACCAAACCCAACAAAACACTGGAAATAATATAGGACTTCCAAAACAAGACCATAGGGAATCAGTGGCTGCAACTTTCAGAAGGAGATCCCCTAGATACCACACTGTGTACCACTGTCCCCTGAACCTGTGATCAAACCACTGACACTATACCTGCAATGTTAGAGGAACCCCAAAGCACCACAGGCATCCAATTGCATTTCACCTCCATAACTATCATCATGTGTTTCTCTGGATCAGCTGGTCCCTTAGGGCAGGTGTGTGAGGAGATGGGACTGGTACTTGTTGTATGCCAGCCCACATGCCAGAAGGGGCTGGGATCTGTCTGTTCCAGTCCAGTGGCAGCCCATGCATGGCACAGGTTCCCAGACTGGGCTTCTTTCCTGTTGTGGCCTTCTTTCTACCCTTGGTCACGAATGGTGCTGACTCTTGACTTTTTTTAAAGTGAACTAAACATGTGTCTCTTTTGGCCCAGACAGGACACTGTAGCCAGTAAAGCCTCAGGCCGAACCAAGGAGCTCCTATCTCCCCCACCCCTAGGAATTTACCTGTGGCACCAAAAGAATACCAGTGGGCTACCTGTGCATCCCTAATGCCCCTCAGGCACCACCCCCAACCTAAGCTACATGTATGCCTCCACTCTAGGAGTTCCACAGAGAGATCGCCGACCCCGGGGAGGGGGTGGGGGATGCCACCAGGGGATTGGGGGTGTCTCTCTCCGCATTATCAAAATAGAGGTCATTTATATTTCATACTTCTTATCTTTTCAGCCGCCGCCGGTCCCCCACAGTTCTATCAAGACTTATCCCAAGTCGCTGGGTGGGTGTCTGTGCAGCTTGAGTTGGGGCTGCTGGGCTCCAGGGTGGCCACAGCACTTCCTCCCCGGCAGCACCTGTTTCGGTTCCTGTGCCATGTCCTTGCCTGTGCTTGGCCTCCTCTGCCTTTCTCTTTCCCCTTTCCAGTGCCTACCGCTCAGGATTCCACTGGGCATTTCCCAGGTGACTAGTGAGGTTGAATTTTCGAGTGTTAATTAGCTTTATTGTCATTTTAACAGCCGGGTAATGGTTTGTCATATGGGTACTCCCGGACAGGATGTACGGACCTGTGAGCTGAGCATTCAGCCTACTTCTAGTCTGTTGTCAGAAGGGTACAGTAAACATCTTCATGTAGAAGTCTTGACTGTGTTCAAGGTTTTGGCAAGCATTGCGTTAGTGTTTACAAATGCTTTTATTGTTTTGTTTATAAAGTTTGATAAATCATCCTTTTACCATTCTTGAGTGTTGGCAGAAGAATTGGACAGACCTGTACAGTTTCCTCCAGCAGTGTATATTTTCACTAGAAAAGTGGATAGGTCTCCTTTGGAAAGCTCATTTAGGTTAAGATATGTATATTTAACATTGAGTCCGTTATTAGAGTTTTCCCCTTTTGCCATGTGTATTCCTCTTTCATGAGTTCATAACATTTGCCACTTGCATTATTAATGAACTTTTGTTAATTCATACCAGCATTACTGTAAATTGCAAGGTTTAATACTATAGGTACTTTGTCAGTTTTACCATTCTTATTATTACTTTTTTTTTAAAGACAGGGTTTCACTGTGTGGTCCAGGCTGGCCTAGAACTCACTGTGTAGCCCTGGCTGGCTTTGATCTTGCAATGATCCTGTTACCTCAGCCTTTGTCCTAGGATTACAAATGTGCACCACCACCCAGCTCTTCTTACTTTTTGACTTCTCTACCATGTGCACATACATGTGTGCACCCATGCACACATGAGGGGTCAAATGCAGGGTCTTGAACACTAGGAAATGCTGTACCACTGAGTTACATCCCCAGCCCTTACTCACCTTTTGACATTGGCAAATCAGTGAGTCTCCCCTTCAGAATTTCTTTGGCTCCCTGCCAGGCCATGGCTCTCACTGCTGAGGTACCGAGGCTGGAAGGCTTTGGTGCCCCAGTGGGAGTGGCAGGCCCTGACTACCAGGGAAACTGAGTCAGCCTGAGGCCAATGAAGAGCTCTTGGTCTGCAGTCCCCAGAGCCCGGCCTTCCCTATAGCTCAAGAGCTGGCTTGCTCTGTGGCCCCACAGTAGCACCACTACTGAGTGGGCCTGGGGTTCCCTTCTGGAGGAAGAAGCCCAGGGACCAGACAGGAAGCTCAGTGGGGTGTGCTGGCCCCATCTTTGACACCAAAAAGCCTTGCTCAGCGGATGCCAGCAGCATCTTCTTCAGGGGCCTGTGATTTGTGAGCTGAAAGTAGGTACTCACATTTACATCCCCTCATTTTCTGCACCACACACCCAGCTGCCTGCGTGGCTTTTCTAGGCAGACCTGCATTGCCCCACTGGGTCACTCATGGACTGGAAGGGGACTCTGTGGGTTTTTTTTTTCTCATTCTCTGGAACTTGCCCAGAACTGGTGATTTTGAGAAGCAAGTTGGATTACGGTGAGTAGTGGTAAAGGGGGAATAGTTTTTGGCCCCCACCTTTCTAGCATCACATTCTGAGGAGCCCCACGGTGGCTGTAGGGCTAAGTCTGTCCTTTTCTGTTTTCAGATAATGGATTTGGACCCGCGTCTATGAAGAAATGCCACATGGCCTGAGCACGAACATGTCCAGTAAGTCACTTGGCGCATTACCTCACGTGTGGAAGCCGGGGTGCCCCTGGCACAAAGGGCAGACAGACACCCTTGGGAAGGTGGTGTGGCTCTGGATATAGGGCAGCTTTGAGAGGGTACTTGTAACCAGGCTTGTGCCTCACTGTCAGCCCCATGTATTCCCCTTTTGTTAGGTGAAAAGAGAGCCCGAGACTGCAACCCTAGGAAGCCTGTGTGGCTCGGGAAGGAGAAAGTGGGTTAGAGATGCCTGTGAGCTGTGTCCTGACTGTGTCTGCCCCCCTGGGGTAGTGCGCATGGGTGTGGGAGACCCGTCTACCAGCTCTGTCCTTTGGGAGGTTGTGGTGAGCTGATTGAAGGTCATAAGGTTCTCTGAGATTGCCAACAGAGAAGTGTAACACAGTGACAAGAATACTTGCAGAAGTCACATTTTGCGATTGCACTGAGACCTCCATATAGTGATGCAGAGCTTTGTGATGAGGAGGTGTTTTCTCCATAAGATCTGTGGGCAGATTGTGGTGTTGGAGCACAGGGAGGAAGAAGTGACTAGAAGAGGCTGAGAGCAGTTGACGTGTCAGCCCTGCTCCGCACTGCAGCTGGCCCCCTGCTCCTTTGCTACTGTTTCTCAGGGCTGCCACCTCGGTAGGACTGGAGGGCCTGACAACACCACTTTCTGGGGCATCAGGCGTGGTCTGACCCAGGAACAGGAAGCACATCCTCACCAATGACATCATGACAGCAAGAGAGCACAGCCCTCGCCATGGTGCCAGGGCCCGTGCCATGCAGCGGGCTTCCACCATTGATGTGGCGGCCGACATGCTGGGCCTCTCCCTCAGTGGTGAGTGGCAGGTTGCCTTCTGGGGACCATGGCTGCCTCCCCTTTCCACCTCGGCTGGGCTCCTCCCGGGCTCGCCTGTGGGTGGGGATGCGGGTGCCTGGCTGTGGTGAAAGCCTGCATGTTGGCTTTCAGGATGGTTTGGTGTTGGGGTCTGAGGTATCTTTGGATCACTAAGGCATAATGTTTAGAAAATGAAGAATTCATCTCCTATAGTAGTTTAGAGTTGTGGAGGAAATAGTGTAGAGGTTTTGTTTGGTTTCATTTTTTTTTTTTTTTTATTAACTAAAAGCAAAGAAAGGTCTATGAAGGGTGTTTTTTCTGTTATTTCTTTCCTACTCAGGAAATATACAAGATCCAGATGAGCCCATTTTAGAGTTCAGCTTAGGTAAGTATTTTCTTATTATTATCATTATCATTACCATTATTATTATTATGTTTTTAAAAAGTCACTTAAGGCTAGGCATGGTGACACACATCTGAGATCCCAGCACTCTTGATGCTGAGGCAGGAAGATCACTGCAGGTTCAAGGCCAGAGTGGGCTACAAAGTGAGTTCAAGGCCAGCCTGAACTGCATAGTGAAACCCTGTCTCAAAAAGACAAAAAACAAAAAATAAATAAAGAAAAAAAGTCACTTAACTACAGAACAACAAAACCTTCCCTCTGGCTTGGATTTGTCTTTAAGAACTTGTTGCTGCTGAGACATTTCTGAGAAGAGGCTGGGAGCTTCCTGTGGGCAGGAAGGAACCAGACAGGGCTCCGTCTGCTCAGCAGGGGCCTGTCCTGTTGGCCTGTGTCCCTGCAGTCCTGCAGTGGCTAGGGAGGCCAGGGGATAAGGAGGCGAGCCCACTCTGATGTCTACCCCCTCCTCCCTGGCCGAAAGAGGGCAGCAGTGAAGATGAAACTCCGGCTCCTCATTGTGCTTGGGGTGAACGAAAGCACTAAAGATGGATTGGGACATGCAGGGTCCAGGAGGGAGGCATGGCGTTCCTGTGATGCACCCAGGAAGCAGGAGCACAGGGCAGTGCCCACCAGAGACGCTTCTCCCTTCACCTTCAGAGTCTATCACTTCTGTGGCTTCTCCCTTTTTCTCCCAGTCCTTGGTGGCCATCATCATGGGTCAGTGGCCTGGCAGCGATGTCCAGGAGGTAACGTGACATAAAAGAAGCCCCTTCTGGGAGTCAGATGAGCAAGATTCTAGTTACGGCTGCACCAAACCAGCTGGCATGGCTCTGTACCCACCCCTTGACCTCGCCGAACCTGTCCCCCCCCAGGCTCTTTCACGGTGGTTTGAGAGACAAAATGATCAAAGCCGTTAAGCTCTCCTGCCCCTAAAATGACTTGGACAGTCACAAAACCTGTGATTGTGCCTGATTGTCAGGTTGATACTAAACTGCAAAAATGTTCCCATTCAGGGTCTGTCTTCCTAAACAAGCTCACAGGGTTCCTAGCCTGGCAGTCTGCAGCAGGTGGTGAGTGCCGTAGCCATGCTGGGGTGTGATGCCGGAAAAGCAGCCCGCACTGCTGCTGCCTGCCCACCTCAGGACATAAAACTGACCCAGGATTTAGATTTTGATGGGAGAGTGAATGCTTCCAAATACCTTCTTATCTTAAATCCTGCGAAGCATCAAGACACATAAGAAACAGAAACACAAACTCTAAGCAGTGAGTTTTGGAACTCAAAACTGTCACCTCAGAGGAAGGTTTAGATGGGGGACCAGGGAATCAGAGCGAGAGGTGGCCACGTCAGGAGGGGACTGAGGCAGAGTATTGTCCCAAAGGCACTGTGGCACTCAGGAGGCAGAACAGGCACTTACCGCAGAGTTAATGTAAGGGGAGAAGTGGCACACAGAAGCCATGTGCTGTGTGATGTCAGCTGCGTGAAACTCAGGAGTGAGCTGTAGAGCGAGCTGTTGGGCCTAGGGTGGGGTGGACTGGGAAGAGAAGGGGGCTTTTGGGGTGATAGAAATGATCAGCCTCTTAGCTGTGGTAGTGGTTATGTGGATGTGGATGCTTAGCAACACTCATGGGATGGTACATGCAGTTATATTCAGATTATACCTTAAAATTGATTTTGAAAAATGATGAAGTAGATGAAGACCACCAGACCTATGTAGAAAGCCTCTAACATGAAAGAAAAAGAAACAAAAAACAAAATGTAAGGAAGGGAGATGTAGAAGTAGAGAAAAATACCAAAGAAACTATAATTATATCTCAAAGAGAAGCCCACACATCTGTGTACACAAGAAAGATTTTGTAAGAGAAAAGCAATTAAAGAATAAAGACAATTAAAAATTTTAAATATGAAAGATAGAATTTAGAAATTCCATGAAATTTAGAAGTGATTCAAGGAATTCTCCCACAAAGTAAAATTTTAAAAGCAAAATAGAAAGTGGAAAAGAAATGGAAATGGGCAATTAGTTAATCCTGGAGGCCAATATTGAAAAGAGCAAATAAAAAAGAATACAGGGAGGAAATCACCAAGAAATAATACAAGAAATCTTTTGGAACTGAAGAAGGTGTTTCTAGGTTAAAATGCTTTCTGAAGCTCAGCTAAGGATTGATAAAGACCTAGACATATGCACATGGTGGTGAAATTTCAGAAAAAAGGAAGTAAAACATAGGAAATAAAATGAAGACCATAAAAACTCCTGAAAGAGAGAACAAGTCCTGTCCAAGAACCTGGGGCTCCTCAGTGACCCTGAAAACTGAGGGACAGGCGACACCTTTAGTTGTGTTTTCAGTCCGCAATTTCCTGTCCAAGCAGACTATTGGCAGAAAGCGAGGCTAGGAAGGAACTGTTTGGGGCCCTACAAAGTCTCAAATTTACTTCCCCTGTGTGCTTTTTGTGGAATTATGGAGGACAGGCTCCACCCAAAAGAGGGACTAAATTAAGAAAAAGATGAGCTGGCACCTAGGAGGCTGGGCTCACACAGAGGTGAAAAAAGTCCATGGGGCTCACGAAGAGGAGTATGTGCGCAACTTGAATTGTGCAGGATGCGAATTTAGCAAAAAGCTGAGTGAAAGTGATTGAGTCCAGAGAATGAGAGCTGTGTCATTAAATTAAAAATCCTCAGGGGCTGGAGGTTTAGCTCAGCGGCATAAGCACCTGCCTTGCAAGTAGGCGGTCGTGAGTTCGATCCCCGGTACTGATAAAAATGAAAAAGACAAAAAAAATTTAAAAAAAAATTAAAAATCCTCATCCCTGTTACTGAAATCAAAACATTTCTGAATCTGGCAAATCAAGAGCAGCAATATAATTATGTTAATTAGACATTTGGAGGATGAAACCACTTAAGAAGGTGAAGATGATTTTGTGAATGGGATTTTACAGTTTTTTTTTTTAAAGTTAGCAAGGAGTAGAGTAATTGAGTGAGCAAATATATTGACTTTCAAAAGAAAAATACAAAAGTTTAAAATTAAAATTAGGCTGTTGTGGCTTTTCCTCAGGATAGCTCCCTCCTTTTTTCAGGGTGTTCTTTCATCTTGCTTTCTCTGTCACTCAGCCCAAGCTCACTTTGCAGAGCTACTGTCTCTCTCACTCTTCACTTTCACTTTTTCAAATAAATTTTGCCACTGGAAAAAAATTACATATATGTGTGGCCCCAGGCCTCGTGGCACACACCTGTGATCCTAGCACTCAGGAGGTTGAGGCAAGAGGATCACCTCAACTTTGAGGCCAGCCTGAGCTATGCAGTGAGTTCAAGACCAGCCTGAACTACAATAGCAAGACTTTGTCTCCAAAAACGAATAATAAACTTACATTACATTAAGGTTTATAAAACCTTAAATATAGGAAGAAAAGCAAATCCAATTGAAAGAGACCATCAGTTGGAAATTTTGGAAACATTTTTGTTTTATTTCTCATAGAGTGCCATCTAGAAATTTTCAGGAGCTTTGGTGGAGATGATGGAATCATTTAGAAGAATGTCATGTAAGGAATTGTGCTGGCATCTTCCATGTTAGTAGATATGGGCTCAGCCACATTATTGCCAATGCCCACACAGAGAACACAGCATGGCTGCACTGCTGACTTTAATCAGTCTTCTCTCGTTTGAGCATTACGTTCTTTCCAGCTGGTCACTGTCGAGAACTACCACGTGAGCACACTTGTGTCTAGCTCTGTCATATGTTTGCTGATTACTTTCCTAGGTAAACACTTGGATTTGGAATCACTGGATCAAATGATACACACTTGAACTGTGTTTTACCTCTTACTTGAAGCCTTTGTTTAGCATGCATTGGGCTGGGATTACAGTTATCTGGCTAAGGAGACAAGGCCTAGGTTTTGGAGGTTGGTTGGAAATGAGGGACACTTGTGATGCATAGGAGCTGTGGCTGTGGGCTGCTTCAGGGAACCTGCATCACCAAGCTAATCAATAGGCTGGAGCAAGACTTCAGCTGGATGGGGGATGACCAGGAGAGAGTGTGGCTTGTAAAAAGCATATTCAGAAGGTGGCTGTGAGCCCCTATACCCTTAAAGTACCATCAGTCTTCCCAGACTTGGGCCACCTGAAATTACGGTGAAAACCAGTAGCTGAGAAGTCGAGGAGGCACAGAGGCCTCATTCTCAGAGAACTTTCATTATCCGACTTTCTGGAAGTTCCCTGAAAAGCACCACTTGTGGTGTTTTTATTTGACTTAATTCATAGTGTGCCCAGCGGGAACAGCCTTTTCTCTAAGGGTGTTCATTCAAAACAGTCAGTGGCTGAGTGTGCAGCTGAGTGGTAGAGTGTCAGCTTAGCATGTGTGAAACTTGATTCAGTCCCCTCACCACCACCAAAAACAAAGCAAACAAACAAAAAAACAGTGGCAGCTGCCCAAGGTAGTATAACAGTTGAAGCAAAAAAGCTAACAAAACAAAACAAGACAAAACACCCTAAATGGGAAGGCTGGGTAGTGAAACATCCACAGTGAGCTTTGAGGACCTCAGACCTGTTCCCAGCAGCCACAGCCTGTTAGTGCTATGCACACTCAGTTTCAAGAGACCTGAGACGGCTATTCGCAGTCATCTAGAGGCTCTGTGCAAGCAGGAAGTGAGGACAGACAGTTTTAAACTGAAGATGCACTCCAGTACACTCAGAGAACCTCAGCGGAAGCCACAGTACAGGTCTGAGGTTCCTGATGGTTCAGGAAATCTCAGTCCAGCTTCAGCTGACCACTAAGCTAATCAAGCATTCACTTCAGTTGCCAAACATAACACAGAATAATTACTACTTTATACCAAAGAATGAGGAGAGTCATTGACCAGCAGGCAGCAGGCAGTAGCAATATAAAACAGTACAAACTCGGAGGAGGGGAAAAATCCAATTTCCAGAGTTATGTGTTACATAATTTTAAATATTGGGGTTTCAAATAGAGAAATGATGTGTGCAAAAAACCTAAGAAAGTATACTTCATACATAGGGAAATTTAAAAGCAAAAACTCCATAGTCAGTAGAAATCGTCTCTGATGAGGCATAGATGTTTGAGTTACTAGACAAAGATTGAAAACCCGCCCTTGAAAGTATATTCAAAGAATGAAAGGAAACCATATCTAGAGAATTAAATGAAAGTATAGGAACAGTGTCTCAGCAAATAGAGAGTATCAGTGAACAGACAGACATCATAAAGAATGATGCATTCTGTTCAAAAGTACGACAGCTGAATTGAAAAATTCATTAAGAGGGGCTCAGTTACAGGCAAAAAGGGAAACATCAGCAAACATGTGAGACAGGTCAATTGGGGTGATCCAGTCTGAGGGGAAAAAATTGAAAAAAGAACAGAGCTTGGGGACCTGTGGAACACCATCAAGTGTACTAATACAGATTTAATGGGTGCCAGAAGAAGAGGAAAGCAAAAGGAGAGAAAGAATATTTGAAAAAATGATGGCCAGAAACTTCCTTCATTTGATGGCAGACATCTCAGGAGTCCAGTGACCTCCGAGTAGGATAAATCCAAAGCAAGACCCACACCTGGACATACCATAATTAACCCCTGGGAAGCTGAAGATGGAATTTAAAAATCAAGAGAGACATGACTTACTATGTACTGGGCTTCGCCAGGAGGAGAGTAATAGCATATTTCTCACTAGGGACAATGGAGTTGAGAAGATAGCGGGGTGGTGCATTCAAAATCCTGTAGGAGAGGTGGGGAGATAACTCAGTGTACAACACCTGCCTGGCAAGTGTGAGGTCCAGGATTTGATTCTCAGTACCAAACAAACAGACAATCCTGAAGGAAAAAGATAGGCAACAACTCCATGTCCTGCAAAAATGTTTTTTACATACAAAAGAAATGAGATACGTGTTTATACAAAAAACATGTGCACAGTTACTCATGACGTTATTTGTAATAAAATTTAGAAGCAACCGCTATATCCATCAGCCGATGAATGGATAAATAGTATGTGGAATGTTCATGATTCATCACTAAAAAGGAAAGAAGTACTAATGCCTGTAGCACGGTGAGCCTTGACAACATGCCAAAGGGAAAGAGCCAGCACAAAAGGCCACGTACTCTTATCATTCCACTTGTATAAAATGTCCAGATTTGACAGATGTACACAGAAACAAATCAGGGGTTTCCAGGGGGCTAGGGAAGAAAGATAGTGATTGATTGTTGTCAGAGTGGACTTTTTCCTTTTGAAGTGATGACAGCTTTGAGGAAGATAGCGTAATAGATGGACAGCTCTAACACCTTACAAGCCACTGAATTGTATGCCTCAGGAAAATGAGTTTTACACTACTATAAAATTGGACTTCTTAGGTATGTTTCCCTCAAATGTAGGAAGTTTCTGGCCATCATTTCGCCCCTTTATCTCGTAATAGAAAACATTTTTTAAAAAACCATGGTTCATTGCTGAAAACTGTCATGAATCCCTAGCAAATGAAGGGATAATCTTGCAATGCAAAAATTACCAAGAAGCAGAGATTTTGAGTGAAGAGATCTGACAATATCTGTCATTTTCATACTTGATTGCTAGGAGACTCTGAAGAAAAGTGAAACAGGAGCAGCAGACTCCAAATAGCAGACTCCTTTCCTACCTGGCTACAGTGGGGCACTCCCGTAATCCCAGCGTCCCTGGAGGTTGGGGCAGGAGGGCAACAGGTTTAAACCCAGCTTGGGCAACTTAGTGACTTAATGAGACCCTGTCTCAAAAATAAAAGAAGGCCAGGAACGTGACTCAGCATGGAAGTCCTGGGTTCATCCCCAGTGCCGTGAAAACAATCAGATCAAATGAAAAATAAAGTCTTTGCTGGGAGAAGGGTGGGCCTCAGAACCAGCATGTTTTACCAGTTACCAAGCATCTTGTAAAACTTCTAAATTATGAGAAAAAAAAGTACCTGCTTCTAAATGAGTGACACCCCCCCCCCAGCACACACAAAATTCGAATCTTACCATCAAAGACAACCAGAGAAAAAGAATAAGATGTATAACCTGTCTTGTCCAGGTCTCCAGAGAATTAATAGGATGGAGGATTGGAGGCCCCACATCTAGAGACTGGGCGTGATTCTGACAGCCTCTTTGCACTGGGGTCCGTAAGGGGAAGGTGACCAGCAGAACACTGCACTTTTCAAGCAAAGGGAATAGAAAGGGTATACTCAGGCCCACTGAGTGCCGGAGGGGAAGTGAAGGGACCTGGAGCACTGTGTTCCTTGGAACTGGGCAAGCAGTCGCTGGGCTCCTGTGAGAAGGATGGCCTCTGCCTGGGCCTCTGATCATTGCTACAGTTTTTAAAATGTGACATTGAGCATAATTCATGAACTCTCAGAAACATGGCAAGAGACATGAACAAATAATAAAATAATAGAAACATCCACTGGGGCTCCACATGTGGAGTTAAGACACATAGATATTAAAATAACTGTTGATTCTGCCTTTCAGTTTGGGCAGATGTAGCAGAGTATCACAGGATGGTGGCTTCAACACAGCAACTTCTGACAGTTCTGGAGGCTGAAAATCTAGGGTCAAGACCTCAGCAGCTATGTGGCTCCCAACAGCTCTCCCTCATACGATGGTCCCATTGGCTGGGGGATGTGGATTTTAACATACAACATATAACAAGCATTCAGTCCATAGGGTTATGTTGGGTAGAATAAAGACACCATTGAGCACCTCATCCAGTAGATTTACAAAGCCGTGAAAGAACCAAATGGACACTGTAGAATTAAAATTATAACTTTTTAAAACTCTTTAGGAAGATGCAAAGAGCAGCTCTGATACATTTGAAGAGAAAATTGGTGATTTTAGATATAAGTCAAGAGGAAAGCCAGAGAGAGAACGTAATGAAAAAAATAAAACAGAAGCAAATGTATTTTTTAAAAAAGTATCAGTGAGAGTATGTAGCATGGGGCTGGGGATTTAGCTCAGTGGCATAAGCGCCTGCCTTGCAAGCAGGCAGTCATGAGTTCGATCCCTGGTACCGAAAAAGACGAAAAAAAAAAAAAAAAAAAGAGAGTATGTAGCACACATTTGTGTCTCAGAAGACGTGTAAAGAGAGAAGGGCTGGAAGTATTATTTATAGCTGAGCCTTTCTCCCAAGATAGTAAAATACTCCAAGCCACAGAATAAATGAAAATATTGCTAGGTCCATCAGAGTCAAACTGTGGAAAGCCACACTCTCGGGAAAGTCACAAGAGCTGCCAGAAAACACACGCACATACACATGGCCCTCAGAGTAGCAGTAATTACACTGACAGCTGACTTTACAGCAGAAAAAATAGAAACCCAAAGGCAGTATATTTATAGGTCTTAGAGAAAACAACTACCTAGAGGAAATATCCTTGAAGACTTGAGACCTCAGAAAGACATTTTTCAAGCCATAAAAACCAAAGAACCTGTCACAGCAGACTTCAGTAGAAGCAGTGCTGAGGGATGGTCCTCAGTAGAAGGCAGAGGGTTCCAGATGGATGCTCACAGATGTGGAAACTATTCGACACCCCAAAACGCGAGGCAGGGGCCCTGGAGTAAAGATTGAGGCCCAGCTAAGTGAGCAGTGAGTATAAAGCAGAATCCCGCGCACAGCGCCTGTGCTGATAGGAGCAATAGCAGGCAGGACGACATAGATGGCAGGAAGCTCCAGAAGGAGCGGTGTGAACTGTGCTATGGTTAGGTCGCAGCGACTCGGCAAAGGACAGTGACCATGTGGTGAATACCGCTCTCAACTCAACTCGCCCCAGAGCGCAGCAAGCGTGCTCCCTGCCCATTGTGCTCCTCCTTTTCTTTCTTTGTACTTTCCTAATTTTCTTTCCCTCCCCTCCCCCTTCCTTTTATCTCTGTTAGTGTCTTCCTTCCATTCTGTTTCCCTTCCTTTTTTGCTTTTCCTGTGTATTTGCCACACCTGTTGTGGGTGTGAGAATGTATTTGGTAATTGCGTTGGTAATATACTTTTTAATTGTGATGGATATACATTGCATAAAATGTACCATTTTAGCCTTTTTAGGTATACTGTGGAGTGGTGTTAAGTGTGTTGACATTTTAGGCAGCTACAGCCTCCATAGATCTCGAGAATTTTTTGTTATTTTAAATTGAGTTAAAATTTAATGCTTTCCCTTCTTCATTTTAAAGGTAGCACAGCTGAGCACTTATATTTCTAGATGAACCTACTTGTGTTGAACTTTGGTTTGCTGCATAATTTCCCAAGATGCACCCTTTTTTACATTTTAACATCTTGTTAAATCAGAAGTGACTCTCAGTGGAGTGTCACAGTTGAACCACAGTGGGGTTTGTTTTCCTTTCACAGGGAATTTTTTTTTTATCAGGAAACTTGTTAGATTCAGTGAAGTGCAGTAATTTTTTCTGTGAGTCATTTCCAAGATGGAATTATCTGAGAAGTAGCATTTTTAATAATCTTGCATTTTATGTGAGTCTTAGAGTAAATGAGCAGTGACTTTTTAAAAAATGCTTTCTGTTTCCATGGACACCACTCCCACACGGCACTAGAAGCTTCCGGTTAGCTGCTTGGTCCCACAGCACAGGCTTGTGGAGCTGTGTCCTATGCTTCGTGGGCATCGTGGCCCCTTGGCTTGGCTGGCTGGAGCTGTTAGTTCCTGAGGTTCATCTGCAGGCAACCCTATGCAAGACCATGGGCTCTGTGTCCAGGCAATGGACACAGGAGCTGCCTTTAACGCGGCCGTCCACTGCAGTGAAGGTCTTATTGCCTTGTATGTGGTAACCCCGCACAGGAATGAGAAGAATTTTTAAATTTTTAAGTTTTAAAAATTTAAAAACATCATCTCCCCATGACAGCCGACAGTGTGCCCATCTGATTCCTTTGAGTTTCTGTGCTTTCTCTGGGTTGGTTTGAAACTGACTGGAGCTTGAGGTTTTAGAGGACTCATTTCTTTCCTCTCTCAATTCCATAGCCTGCAGTGAGCTGCATACCCCGTCGCTAGATAGGAAACCAAATAGTTTTGTAGCAGTGAGCGTCACCACCCCTCCTCAGGCCTTCTGGACGAAGCATGCGCAAACGGAGATCATCGAGGTGGGTGCCCCTGCCCCTGCCCCTGTCCTGCGGGACCCGGGACACTGCCATTCCCATAGCCCTGATGGGAAGCTCACTCGGTTCCCAGTGCTCGTAGCTGCTGTTCATTGTTGTCATGTGAGTGGTTGCGGGTTTCAGAATGTAGTTGTGAGTTGTAATTTCCCATCATTCTTACTTCTATAAATGGCATTGACATTTGCCACTTCCTTTACTATTACTGTTACTGTTGACAGAGGTCAGTGATGCTAAAGGTCAGCTGCATTTGAAGAGGTAAGAACTAGTTCTCCCTTGTGCTCAGTAACCAGAGTATGGAAGTCTTAACTACTAACCCATCCCCTGCTGGGCATCACCCTATTTTAAATTAATTGATGTACATTCACAGAATTTTTACAGATAGTGAGAACATTATGTAAGTTATAACACGAAGTGTAGGAGTTGCTGGTATGAAATTCCACAGGGTTATATTTGTAATATGAACTATCAAACTGCATTTATGTTATTTTTATGTTTTCACATTTTTACATAAAAACATGAGGCATAATTTTACATAGAAACAGCCTCTCAAAGTGATTTTAAATTTTACAAGACAGGCCGCTCTTTCAGTCTCTGAAAAACTTGTTTCCAGATTCCGATTGACCATCCTGTGTTCTGAGCATTCTTTGAGCACTGTCCACGTATCAGACACAGTGATAGGTGATGACATGAGACTACAGGGGCCCAGGCTGTCCAGCAGGCACTGAGGGACCCGGTCTGCAGCTGCAGGGAGGACAAACCAGAGGCCCAGGCACACCACAGTGAACACAGCTGACCGGCAACAGCTTGGCGGAGACAGTTAGCTGTGGCCTTGGAGAAAGCACATGGTCTGCTTGGCTGTGAGGCAGGGGTACGCTTCCAGGAAGTAACCACCTGTGAGACTAGCAGCTGCTCCTCAGAAGAGTGGCTTTAAAAAGCCAGACTTCAGTTACTCTGAGTGCAGGAGTCTAGAAGTAATAATGCGAGTTGTTTGTTTGCCCTTTGGTCTCCTGTTTGTGCGTCTTAAAGGGCAGTGTGTCTTAAAGGACAGTCCAAAGTAGCAGGTCCACACACCCAGCCTCCCTAAAGTGATAACGCTGGAAATGGCCATGGACACTGAACTGGTTTCACCTTTAGAAAAGTCCTCCTCCGCCTCCCGAATGTGAAACCCTTAGAAATGAGCCCCGGGCATAGCTTGTGCAATAGGCCTGACTGTTATGTCTGGATCTCTCATGTCTATGTCAGACTACATTTTCCTCTTTTGGAAAGCAGTTTTTTGGTTGTATCATCCTTTAAATGCCATTAGCATATGTGCTGATCCAAGTCAGTAACGATGTTAGTTTCTCATTGTGCAAGTGTTCATGATTTTCAAAAACAGTAATTTTTTTTTTTCTTTTCTATTGTAGGGAACCAACAATCCTATCTTCCTAAGCAGTGTTGCCTTCTTTCAGGACTCTCTTATTAACCAGATGACACAAATCAAACTGTCTGTCTACGATGTCAAAGATAGATCTCAGGGAACAGTTAAGTAACAGGATATGGTTCCTGGGTTTTCTTCGCATTTTACAATTAATCATTCAGCTGAGAGGTGCGTGCAAGATTGAGTTCACTCTGGTTCATGAATTAACTCATATTTAAACTCCTGTTTGTCTTTGGGAGCTTTTTTCAGCCTCTGTCTTGAGCTCCTGAGGTGGGGTGAGGAGTGTTGTGGGCACCAGAGGCCAGACCAGCACACTCATGCTCTGCCCTCTCCTTCTCCTTCGCCTCAGATGTATTTGCTGGGCTCTATAACATTCGTTGTCAAAGATCTGCTCCAGGACAAGCATCATAGGTTGCATCTAACACTAAGGTTGGTATTTAGTCATGTTCCTTAGAAGGGGTCTGGAGCTGTGAGGCTGGGGACAGAGTGGAAAAGGGCCATTTCCTGTTCTTAGAGAATACCTGGCCTCTGAGGAGGTGAATCCCTCAGTGCAGGGGGTTGGAGATGTGTGCTGCCTGTAGGATGCACAGGCGCAGCTGTGCACAGACCTGAAGGAGGTGCGTGTGTATTCATATGTGTAAGTGTTACATGATGCTTTGAAGTATAGCTGACTGCACTGTGTCCCCTCTCTGGTAGACTCGACCTCCCAGGCAGGCAGGCTCTTCCTCTGCTTGCCTTCATCACTGCATCCCAGCAGCCTAAAACAGTGCCTGGTACTCAGTAAATGTTTGTGAACGGAATGAATGAGTGACGAGGAAGCCCACACCATGAGCTGAAAGAATGTCCACACTTCCCAGGTTCATTTTAGAAACCTAGCCCCCCAAATCTGGCTTGTTGTTCTTTATTCAAATGGAAATTTTTTTGGAAAATTTCCCCAAAATTGGAAAATTATTGTCTTGGAAAAGAGTTCAAAATTGCAAACAGAACATTTAGTCGCTGCAGTATGGCGACATTTGGAAGCCACCACAAGTAATGACAGTGCTGTGTGTGGCCATCCTGTCTGCAGCGGGCTGTGCTGGCATTCCCTAATGTGTGTGGAGAACCTGACACAGGGAAAATGATGAACCTTAGGTAAAAGGAGAGGAAGGGTTCATGTGAGGGAAGAGGCTGACGGAGAAGAAATATTTAGGCGATCTGTCCAGAACTCAGTCTAGCTGGGTGAGAGTTAGTGTTAAGTCAGTGTTTTCCTTTTTCCAAAGATGATTGCTGGATGGTAACATGAGGAAGGGCTTTTCCAGGCGAGAGAACAGTGAATGTGGGAAAGGAGATGCTCAGTACTGTGGACACAGGCAGATTTGGAACTGGACTACATCAGGCATCTTGAACAAAACACCAGGGCTCCCCAGATGGGCAGAGGACATTGCCAGCCCCCTAGGAGTCTTAAAAGGAGGCTAACCAGGCTGCACTACCTCAGGATTCAGGGGCTTCAGGAGGTCTTCAGTGGTCTTGGAATCCAGGCCTAGGCTTTGGACCAATCAGAAATTGAGGGTGGGTAGGAATGAGCAGAGAGAGAGAGACCCAGTGCCAGGTGTCAAGGAAAGGTTCTTGCGAGCCCTGGCTCTGAGCCTGTTTCTCCCCTCCCCCAATCACCTCAGCAGGACGAGCCCAAGGGTTGGCTCCACCTTAAGGGAAGTCCCCACCTTTATCAGGCATCTCTACACCGCCCCATCAGACACACCCCTTTCCTGTGCCCCAGAGAGGCACATAACGGAGAATGGTGACAACCTGATCCATGGCTGGGCCTTGCTATTCTGGGGACCCTGATGACCCAGGAAAGCTGAGGTTTGCTTTTAGGTAGAAAGAGTATCAGCCCCACTCACCAAAGCACGCTGCTCGTGGCAGGTCCGCGGAGAGTGACCGTGTGGGTAACATCACTGTGATCGGCTGGCAGATGGAGGAGAAGTCAGACCAGCATCCCCCAGTGACTCGGTCTCTGGACACTGTCAATGGGAGGGTGAGTGGCCGCCTTCCTCCTGTCCCCCAGAAAGAGCCAGAAGACTGACCACAGGACTTACTGAGCCTCTGTTCGGCAAAGGACAGGGCCTGCTGCTTGCTGCCGCACTCCTTGTCCTGCTGTGCGAGACTCTGTGTAGGAAGAAGGGGCTCCTGGCCCAGCCTGCAAGGCCCTGCTGCCCCAGAGCCTGCCTCTGCTCTCCTTCCTGCCAGCCACCTCTAAGGCAGGAGCCAGAGGGTCAAAGCTTGGCCTAGGCTGGGGGTGAAGAGGCAGCGAGATGCAGGCTGTCCATTGGATGCTGGTGACAACTGTCTCTCTCAGACATGCTGCCCTCACCCTGGTCCCCCTGAGCCTCCCACTGTCCACCCTCACCCTGTGCTTGTAAGTGAGTATTCTCATTCTCTATCCAGCACTGCTGCGCCACTGTCATGAAACGCAGGGAGATCTCACTGTGCCGGAAATAAGCCCCGAGCACCAGCTCTGAAAATATTCCCCATGCCGTCTGTCTGTCTCTCTGTGCACCAGAACCCTGCAGCACAACCCTGAGATGATTAAGGAGAAGCATAAGGAGAGGCTGGGTGTGCTGGGCCACCCTGGGTACAGGGGTTTGAGCATGCATGGCTCAGACTGTGTTTGCACAGCAGAGCTCTCTGCTCTGTTCAGTTAAGAGCTCTGTGAGTTAAGAGCTCCATTTCTGTGGTGCGTGCAGGAATCCTCTGCATCTCAGTTCCCTTGTGCTTTGCTGTCCCCATCCTTAGATGGTGCTGCCTGTCGACGAGAGCCTGACCGAGGCCTTGGGAATCCGATCCAAATATGCTTCATTGCGAAAAGACACTTTACTGAAATCAGGTAAACCGCTTTCTCAAATCTTGGCACTGAAGTGAGTGTCCCCACAGTTATGGTCCCCCTGGACTCCCCACCTGCTGTGACCGTCACAGCTATGCCCCGACAGCTCTCACCTGGCTCCTCACTCTGCTAGCATTCTGCAGCATGGTGCCTCCAGGATGGGGCTCTTCCTCCTCACTCTTTCTCCTTTCGCACTGTAGCCCCTTGCCGCTTACATCTTCCTAGACGGGAAGATGGAATGTCCTGGGGTAGACCCTGGGCAGAGTCACTCAGGAGTCTGTCCCAAGTGTTTTAACTCTGGAGAAGACCAGGACCACTGGGGCAGGTCAGGGCCTGCTCAGCTGCCACCTCTGTCTCCTGTCCTCCCGCCTCAGTGTTTGGCGGTGCCATCTGTCGCATGTACCGCTTCCCAACCACGGATGGCAACCACCTGCGGATCCTGGAGCAGATGGCGGAGAGTGTGCTGTCCCTGCACGTGCCCCGGCAGTTTGTGAAGCTGCTGCTGGAGGAAGACGCAGCCAGGTGAGGCATCTCCTGGGGCGGCCCCTGTCATGCACCCTTCCTCTTTGAGATGGGGCAGATGCTTAGCGGGACCATAACCTGGCCTTCACTCCATCGACCCTGTGGTAGGGTGAGGATTCCACAGATTAGGGCTGGAAGCCCCAGAGGAGGCCCAGCACTTTGCCCTTCCCACCACCTCGACCTCCACCCTTCCCCTTGCCTCCCTTCCCCTTCCTGTCCTCTTCCTTCCCCTTCCTTCCCCTCTTCTGCACTCTCTTACTTGTCCTTCAGGAAGTTGGAAATAGCTGCTCATTCTTTGGTCATTGCTGACCAGTGGTTTCCAAGGTCAGGGCCTTAACAATTAAGGGCTCCAGAGCATGACCCACCCAGGTGCTCTGGTCCTGCGGACCACAGGGAGAGGCCTAAGGGGTGATGCAGAACTGCAGATTTGTCTTATCTGACCCAGACTACCATTTCTGCTCCTCATCCTAAATGGTGTTAGCAGTTAGTGACATGTGTGAAAGAAAACAAGGCAAACAGGGCTTCACTGTTCTCAAACAGCTACTTCCATTTTTATCTTGAAAGAATATCAGAGAAAGCAGCAAGATTAATGCAGTCAATATGCAGGTATCTTCCACCTAAATTCACCCACTCTTAATATTTTGTCATTTGCCTTATCTCTCTATCTGCATGTGTTTTATAATTTTAATTTTTAAAAACTTCCTTTCAGTTTTGCCCATATTTATATACATTTACATAGCTACAATGTACTTCACTTTTCATGTCTTTAATTGTTAATTGTGACATGCCATACTGTTAAGTGTTTCAACCTCAAAGAACATATTCCCTGGACAGGTGCTTTAGCTCAAGACTGACATCACCATCATTGTCTTTGTTGGTTTTTAGTTGTTATTAGCAGTAGCTACATGCTGGGCACCAGGGATGGTCAGGCCTGGCCTCTGGAGAAGCAGCAACATTCCACTGACCCCGGAAGCATGAGGAGGGACATGAGGAGAGGATGGCCAGTTAGCCAGTGGCTGGCAGATCATGGAGACCTCGGTTCCACCACTGCTCTGCCTGCACTGGTTTTAAAAAAGAATTTGGTACATTCCTAAAAACTGTAAAATGAGCGTTCTCTTCCACACCAAAAGGAATATATAGGATCCTCTACTTTCTTTATAGAAGCAGTCACTGTTAGTGGCTTCAGTGTTTCCTGTATTTCTAAATATGTGCTGAGCATCCTCCTGTCTTAATTAATCATTGTCAAAGCTTAGCTGCTGACTTCCTAAGATGAGGAGTTTAGGCTTTTATGTTTTCTCAGTCCCCATTTTCTTAATATGGTCTCCTTTTTTGAAAGATCCATCATGTGCTGTTATTATGATCATGTTGCTGTTATTCCTGAGCTAAGCTTAGAATTCATATTTCGTGTCTTACACACTTGCCCAGCTGTGTTTTTCAGGGGATAACAATTCCTCTGTCTCCTCCTCCTCCTCCTCCTCCTCCTTCTCCCTTCGTCACTCCCTCCCCAGGCTCCTGTAAAGCACATGAGTAGCCAAGGCCAAGGCCAGGCCGGGGATGACTCCATGTAACACATCCAGTTTCACACAGCTCCACACTAACAGAAGCAATGAAGAGGAGGATAGCCAAGGGGACCAGATCTTTATAGGCCTCTTCCAAACCCAGAAAGGCCGACAGGAGACAGGAGAGGCTGATGCTGCAGCCTGAGCTCCGGGCCCCCACTGCTGAGGAGCCAGCAGCTTTCTGCCTGCAGCTGTGTTCCCAGGGCAGGCTGGGTAGGAAGCACACACTCAAGGAGCCTGGCAGGCGAGGAGACCCTGTCTTGACCACCTTCGAGGGAAGATGGCCTTGGGGTCATGACTCACAGACCTCCAGTCCTGCATTTTGCAGGTTCACTCAGTAGCCTGCCCAGTTGAGGGCAGGCCATGTCTGTGGCTGAGTGCTGGCAGCAGGGTCTTCGGGCACCGTGACACAGCCATGTCACTCCTTGACAAGCTTTCCGTTTGTCCTCACCTCTACTTAGTGTCCCTTGAACACTCAACTGTACTAAAAAGCTTCTCTGCCCACTCCCCATGTGGTCATTGGTTCACCAGACATGTAGCTGTCTATCCCCTGTCCCCAAGTTGCCCTTCAGGCTGACGGTGTAACCACTGCCTGGCTGTCAGTACCTTTCTCTGTGCCTTCAGATCTCTTGATAGAGACCCCTGCACTACCACCCCCCTGCCTCTTTGGTCTCACGTGTGTGTCTTCTTTGTAGAGTCTGTGAGCTGGAGGAGTTGGGGGAGCTGTCCCCTTGCTGGGAGAGCCTCCGGCGCCAGATTGTTACCCAGTACCAGACCATCATCCTCACATATCAGGAGAACCTGACTGACCTCCATCAGTACAAAGGTGGGTTTAGTCTTGCCTGTGTGAGGTACGCTGGCCCCTACTTTCCTGGCTAGAGTTTGGGACCCAGGTCTTTCACACACTCATGCTGGCACTTTGGAGTGGGATTTTAAAAATTAGTCTCATGGAGGTAGAATGCTTTCAAACATGGGCTTTTCAGATCCTAACTAAACAGACAAATCAATGAATTGCAGGGAGAATCTTTTGGGGTGTTACCTACCTAAACAACCATGTAGGATGGAATTTGGAGGAGGCAGAATTGCAGACTGTCACTGGTTTGTGTCATCTTTTGGTCTAATACCATTGGGGTAACCAACAAGATTAAGACATACAGTTACTTTTATACGAAGCAGTTTTCTGGATTTTCTGGTTTCAATGTTGGTGTTACTTTAGTTGAACATGTAAATTGTCAGAGTGGAATCCTGTTTAAGGCTCACTTTTTCTGTTTCTCTGTTTGTGGTGCTGAGGATTGAATCCAGGCCTAGTGCATGCTAGGCAGCACCTCTGTGGAGCTATATCCCAGCCCCATACCATTCATCCTTAAAAGACACTATCTGATTTTTAAAGTATTCTAAGGGTAGATTCAGAAGACTGTTCTTAACTCATTTCCCTTTTCTTCCAAATTGGGAAAAAAAAAAAAAAATCACGGTTTTTCATGATTTTGTTTATTGCTTTAGCATTTTTTCAAATTCTTCTCTGTCTTCCCTTCTTTTCCTCTACATAATTTTATTTCAGGATTTAAGGAAAATTACTAAGTCCCTAAGGTGTTTTTGACATGGAACATAAACTTGGGTGAAACCAAATAGAGGTCTGCATAGGTCAGGTTTGAGACTAATGAACAGGTCTAACTGCACCCATGAGAAGTGGCAGCGTTTGCCTAAGGAACTGGGTGTCTTCCTGTGCTAAACAGGTGCTAGCCAGGAGAGCATGGCACCTGCACAACCTTGACTTTTCCAGAACAGAGCTTCTCAAATGTCAGCCAAGAACACAGTTAAAAAGCAAGCCTGGGATTCTGCATTTCTCCGAGCTGTCAGACATCCATGCTGCTGGCCTGAGGGCTCCAGCATGAGCATCAGTATCTAGGGAGTTCACTGCTGTGGCAAAACACAGCATATGGCTGCTGGCCTGCAGTCTGCGTGTTGGCAAGTGTGCCCTAGGTTGTGCCCACTTGTTTCTTCTATTCCTCTGATCGCTTTTTAACATTAGCCTTTCTAACCCGCTGAGCATACACAAGAGCCCTTGTCAGACTGTGTCCTCTGGGCTGGAATCAGTGCTGCATTGCACTCGTTTACCTGGGTGGCCTTGCAGTGATGAGCGGACCCTCTTATCACTTACCAGAACAAGCCAGCTCCTGAGGTTTAGGGTGATAGCAATCTCTAGGCGGGGGCAGCAGTCTGTGGTATGGAGTCTTTTGCTTCTTATAGTGGTGCTGCGAGTTCACATCTGTGTGTCATGTCTCTGAGTTGGGAGCTGAGTGCAGCCTGCTGAAGTTGGTCCTCCCTGGCTCCCTTTATGGCCTCAGTACCCTGAGCAAGGCTCTTGGCTGGCAAGCTGCCCTCAGCTCCCCATTTGCAAAAGCAGTGTACTTACACGTGGTTTGGGGTTTTCTAGGCCACTGTTGCAGCTCCTGCTTCTACTCAGGTGCAACACCAGAGTACCACTTTTCTACTTGCTGTTGGTGACACAGGATGAGACCTTTGTTTTCTCATGTTGCATTTCTTAGGTCCCTCATTTAAAGCAAGCAGTTTGAAAGCAGATAAAAAGTTAGAATTTGTTCCCACAAACCTGCACATTCAAAGGATGAGAGTTCAAGATGATGGCGGATCAGGTACCTCTTTTCTCTCTTGTTGAATCGCATTGTTTCTTTTCTCCCTGGATTCTTTGTCCTTGAGCTGCCCTGCATCTGCCCTCGTTTTCCTATATTCTGTGCTGCTAAGTGGCTCAGAGAAGTAACAGCCTGAGGACCTTTGAGAGGGTCCTTTCCAAAAAAGGAAGGAAAGGAGGGTTGGGAGATGCTTCTTGCAACCCTTCTGGGCTGCACCTGGAAGCCCAGAGAAGCTCTCTTTGCAAAAATGCTCTGACAGCCCAGTTTGTGGGATTAAGGGAACCAGAGGCTACTCGGAGATGAGCTGCAAGGGCAGCATCCCAGAGTAGTGTGCATCTCCCTGTAGCTGGCTTGTCCACAGGCCTGAGCCCAGAGTAATGGAGGAGAGCTTTCTGTCATTCAGATCAGAACTACGACATCGTCACCATTGGAGCACCAGCGGCACACTGCCAAGGGTTTAAGTCAGGAGGTCTCCGCAAAAAACTGCACAAATTTGAAGAGACTAAGAAACAGTAAGTAGAAGAAGGGGTTTGTGCTCCTTGTGCAGCCATCTGATGTTTCCCAGTTTGAAAAAAACATAGTCAAAATATGACCGCAAAAACATCCCAGCATCGTCTGCTTCTGCGCGGCAGGAGGAGCTGCCTTGTGGACTGCTGTTCTGTGTGTGTGTGACAGCTGGTGGATGATAAGGGCACCTCAGTAGTGGTCCTGTTCCCTCAAAGTGATCAGCAACTCATGACCTCAGCCCACAGCCCTGTGCTAATTCTGCAGGCTCTGCTTCCCCTAGTCTCTGGCCAGTCCGTGGAGCAGCAGAACCATAAAGCCAGGAACACACCATGTCCTTCTGAAAGGGGAGCAGTGGGGAGCAGTTTCAGTGTTGAAAAGGTCCAGGCAGCTACAGGGAGGTGCTTTCTGGAGCAGGAAGTGCCCAGGCAGGCAGGGTGGGGAAAGATGTTTCAGATGAGACTGCATAAATGCAGTGAAGAAAAGAAGCTGAAGCTGAAAGCTGGCCTTGTTGCCAGCCCACTTTATGCTGGTAATCAGGGATGTAGGCCTGACACATCTTAGCCTGACTACAGGGAGATGAGGGTCTTGCCTGGAAGCAAATGGATTAGCAGACACTGTTTGTGTGCAACTGGGCCTGGAGCATGGGGCAGGGCTTCTGCCCAGCCACGGGAGGAGAGAGCCATAAGTCCCAGTTGTTGCACTGAACACACAGCAGGCATTCCCTCGCAATCTTCCAAAATGTCACCAGGCACAGTGCAAATGGATCAAGGGTACAAGAGTAGGAAATGGAGGAAGTAGCATGGAAGTCTTAGGCTGGGGAGAACAATCAGGACCTGAGTGTGTGTTGAGGTGAGGCGGGGTGGGGGGGACAGTTGAGAGCCCTGGCCGGAGAAGATGAAGTGGTGGGAGCAGCCAGTTCACTCAGAAGGGACAAGAGGCATGCTGAGAGGTGTGTGGGGCGGGAGGGAACAGACTGAGTGCATGGAAGCATCTTGGCAGACTGCTGTGTTGGATGGTTCAGACTTACTAACTGAGAATGAAACAGTTGGAGGGAAAGTGAAGCGAAGACCGAGAGAACACCCAGAGAGCCCCACCAGGTGCTTGGGTGCAGACAGGCTGAAGAGAACCAGAGGGGCATTGCTCAGCTATGCCCCCATGACCAGGAGTTAGGATGTAGTGAGAACATTACCTGGGGACTGCATCGCAGAGTGAAAGGCTGGAAGCTTAGGTCCATAGTTGGGGGGTGGGGTCAGAGAGACGTGAGAGCATCGTTGACTCTGGGAAGTCAGGCAGCTGAGCAGGGAGCAGGAGAGAGTGTACCGGAAAGGCACGCGTAGCAGCTGGCCCCAGTACCAAGAGTCCTTTGAAGGAGGAGGGGAAGCAAGAAGGGTGGGTCAGCAAGGGGATGTGGACATTGGCTGCAGGGCCTCAGCCTGCTCGACTTTGATGCTCCCCGCCCAGGGCATTGCTCTGTGCAGACAGATGAAGGGACCAGACCCACCTCAGTAGTCACTGTCCCCGGGAGTCCCTTGGGAATGAGAAGAAGATGCAGCTTTCTGCAGCCACTGCAGCTCTGCACAGCCGGCAGGAAGTGTGTGCACCATTGCATGTTGCCATGGGGGGAGCGCGTGTGTGACCTAAGACCGTGTGGGGCCCAGTGAGGAAGGTCACTTCCTCTGCGAGGCAGCCCAGAGCAGCCACCTGGCTGTCCCTGTCCCAGTGAGGTTGGAGTATTGACACCTGATTAGTCTGCATGTTAACTTTACAACCTTGCACTTCCTAACGTGCTTCTGCAGTGTATTTGAGACATGCACACAATTTGCTTACTTTCCCACAAATGTCACAAAACCCCCTGCATACCAGGTTTTCTCCAGTCGGCTCTGCTTCAAGTGCAGATGTCCCCGGCCCCTGGCGGGATGTCTTCTGGGCCCCGAGCGCAGACAGCAAGGTTGCTCTACCGAAGAAGCCTTGGGGCCCCTCGGTTTAGTCCTCCCACATTTGGGGCCTCAGCAAGTAACGTGAAATATTCTGACAAAAGGTCACTTTTGGCTTTTTAAATGTTTTGTTTTGCATTTGTATCTGCTGACTGCTAATACTTCATTTTGGTTCTTTTCTTTAGCAGTTTTGAGGAGTGTTGGTGAGTTTTCTGTCTGCAGAGAGTGTCTGTGGGGTCTCGCTCTCATGCTGTTCTAGCCTGCCCTGGGGGTGCTGCACTTCAGAGGCCCAGTGGCTCTGAGCTCCCTGCCTTATAGATGAGCTCTCCCTTCCAACTGCAATGTTCTTTGATAATGAATAGCCAGTCAGCAGCGTGCTGTCTACTGGGCCAAGCTGGTGGCATTTGTCACTACTCAGACTCTGAGGCGGGGCCCAGTGCTGTTTCCCTTAGGCCTCAGAAGGGCCCACATCCAGCAGGGGCCCTGTCTGCTGGATCTCACATCACCGCACATGGGTGTGACCACGCCTTCTGTCTTCTTTGACAAGAACACTGAGGCTCCTCAGCTTTCATGTCACCCTCACCTTGTGTACAGATGAGGCCAGCTTCCATTTTCATAGTAACTTACTGATTCATGTGAATTTTATACTACTGTTACTAGGGTCACTTTTAAGCCCCTGAGGGGCTGCACCTAGGTCTCCCCTCCATGGACTCAGTGCACCTAGGTCCCCCCTCCATGGACTCAGAACAGGGGCTCTGCAGTGTCGCTTCATTCCAAGGCACCTGCAGCTTTGGGAAATGTCATCACCTGAAGCTAGCGACACTGACACTGCCCTGACCCTCTGGGATCATAGCTGAACCTGTGAGGTGTCAGTACTGCCACTGCTGGGAGCATCACCAACAGGAAGTCCTGGAAGTCACAGCACCCCATGGAGGCCCCCTTTCTCCTGGGAATACGGAGGGAGCAGAGGCCACTGGGAGGTTGGGAGGGCATCCCCTAGGGGGGACCCACAGACTCTGCGGAAGGGTACCCTGCAGGCTCCCTCACACTTTCTCTCCACTGGGCCCCATTGAAGGCCTGGTGTTGCCCCTAGCAGGATGAGTAAAGGACTTGGGGTTGGATCTGCAAGGTGAGAATGAGTGGGATATAGCCAAAGGCCCCTCTGTCCTTGCTAAGTCTCAACCCAGAGGCCTTAAGGAAACTTTTTTGGGAAGATTCTTCAGGTTTCCTCTTAACCAAGGAAATGAGACCTTTCACTGCCCAGCCTGGGCCTGGTGACCCCCACCCCACCAATCCCACTCCTGAGACAGACGAGGAACCTTCCTGCCTGGTGGCTGTGAGGATGAAGTCAGAGCACCTAGCACCTCACCTCAGTTTTTTTTCCCTATGGGATCCAGCTTCTCAGGAGCTCACACCCTGCAGAGGCAGCCCTGGTTTTCACATCCACTCATTTGCCCCCAGCCCTCCCAGAACACTGTACCCCTGTACTCTCGAGGCATCTTTGGGTCTGCCACCTCCACTTTAATAGGTCTGGGTCAGTGGCTCGGGGTGGGGCCACCCAGGCTATCCTGGAAAGAGCTGGGAGCCCAGGGCACTTTGTGGCACCTAGAGGCCCCTTCCCTAAAATTAAAGCTTGGAGGACGACGTGTCACAGAACAGCTGGGTGTCTGCACCTAGTGCCCCCTCCTTCTGTGCCCATTGATGCTGGAGCCAGGTGATGGAGCATGTGCTTGTGTATTCCAGTCACTCCCAGCCTGCTCTTTAAAATTTCACCCCCTCTCACCCTCCCATAGACTTCCGGTGCCTCTGTCTTGGGGGCTGTTAAAGCAGGGTTCGCCAGAGCATAGGGTGATGGGGGGTTGTTCTCCAAGGGTGCTGTGGGTATGTATGGGTCAAAGAATACATCACCACATACACACACAGGAGGCCCATGTACAGTACAAATTTCATATTGAGGGCCTGGGAAGAATAGCTTTTTAGAAATCTCCATTTTGAGATATGTTTTTCAGACTAAATTGTCTGAAGTGGCTGCTATTCATTGGAAGAGTGATTGCAGGTTGGAAAGCGGCTGTGTGCACCGGCGCTGTGCAGTGACTCCCGGTACCATGCAGGCTCGGCCGCCGTCAGCTGCATGGGCTTCTGGCAGACCCTCTTCCCTGTTGTGTGTGGGCTTGTCATGGTGTGCCATTTCCTTCTGGGTGCTTTGGTGCGTGGTGTCTGCATGCTTGCCCTGTCATCCAGCAGCAGAAGGGGCAGGGGCAGTTTCTTGGTGACCTGCTCATCCAGGTTTCCCTCGGAAGGGCCAGCTGACCCTTGTTTTCAGGGGATGTGAAGGAGAGTGTGCTGAGGGCGCACTCTGTCTTCCACCTTCTCCTTGATCCTCAGAACTCAAAGGTGGCCTTTTGGGAGCCACTGCGGGCCCCTCTTTCCCAGAGGGGAAAGAGAGGATTCCAGCCAGGGTTTACAGCCCAGATTATAGGAGACCTCTGCATTGGCTGCTTGTACGTCTCGTCCTCCCCAGCCTCCTCAGATGGTCTGAAAACTAATTTATAGCATTGAAATGACTGGGATGTAGACTAAAAGGCATGTAGTTTATCATTGCCGCTGAGGAGGACCACACATGTCAGGCCCGCTCCACACAGCCAAGCCTATGGAGCGGATGCCCAGAGAGAAGGTGGAAGGAGAAGAACCACGCTTTCAAAGCCATGAAGGTGCTAGGACAGTGCCTTCTCTATCCTCTTCCTCTTGTGCAGTGTTAGTTTTCAAAGGCAGATCCCCTGCACGGGAGAGAAGAGGTGGTCCTGGAGACCCACTAGGGTCACGAACACGAGGGAAGAGAACGTGGTTCTTTTCTCAGAAAGTTTGAAGTTCTGATTGATCCAATGAAAAAGCAGGTTTTGTGTGTTTTCTTTGTTTTATTTTATATTGTTTGGCAAAGTCTAGCACCCACTATAGTCTTCCCCTTCAGCGGGGTAATTTGACTTGTTTCAGGTGTCTGCTTAGGAACTGCTTTTAAGTTGATAGAATTTCTTAGAATAGTCTTAATCGTTTGGGAAATTATGAAGAGTGACATTTTAATGTCTACACATGTATACATGGTAAAAATGCAGACACATACAGAGATAAAAGACTTCATCCTGGTTTAGCATTTTACGCTTCTACTTTGTAGATAAGAAGGGTCAGTGAAGGTTTCCTTCTGCCTGTCCATGGCAGCCTAGCCCAGGAAACAAAGTGCTCTTTGTTTTAGGGTTCGCTGTGGGCTGGGGTTGGGTTGCTGCTGCCATCCTCTTCAGACTCAAGAGGACCCCTTAGACCTCTTCTCATCCTTTTTAGTACATCGTCCAGCTGCCAGTCCATCATCTACATCCCACAGGACATCGTCAGAGCCAAGGAGATCATCGCCCAAATCAACACCCTGAAAACCCAAGTTAGTTACTACGCCGAGCGGCTCTCCAGGGCGGCCAAGGACAGGTCGGCTACTGGCCTTGAGAGGACTCTTGCCATCTTGGCGGATAAGGTAGGAGGGGTGCTGTGCGGCTGTGGGCTGGGGCGGGGGTTCCTTCAGGTGTATAGGGGGTTGCAGTAGAGATTCTTTGGGTTTCTGGAAGCTACTGGACACCACAGGACAGCCCAGGTGTCCCCGGAGCTGTCCTGAAAGAGTTGAAGATCTCTCTTTAGGTCTACTTCCTACAAAGACTCCGGGAGGTTTGGTAATTTACTTTCTTGTGGTCTCAGAGCTGGGTGAGCCCAGGGCAGAGCTGCCCACCTGTCAGGTGCTGCTTTATGCAGATGTGTTCTCAGCAAGGCCTGGGCTTGCTTTGCTGGGGCCCATGGAGTCCACAGCTTTTCTTAGTGATGGCTTAGTCAGCACTTTTGGGGGCCACACCTTCTATTGTAGTTGAATTTTTTAAAAAGTAGCTTACCCATGCATAAGAATAGAGCAATAGAATCTTACTGGTTTGAATGTAATCAGTAAACCAGTTCTAATTAATCTTAACTCAGTCCTGATTAGAAAATACATAAACGTTACTCCGTACTGCAGGAGTAGATACATCAGACCTTTGTGAAGAATGATCTTTTTCTCACTGCTGTCTTTCTCTCTGTCACACACACACAGAGTGGTGGCACATCCCCCCCACCCTTGCCTTGCTGGGTGTGAACTGCCACTCCTGATTACAGTGCTGTCTCCTTCATCTGTGTTCACACAGCTATAAGACGGGGAGCCTAGAGTTGCTGTAGCACACAGGGCCAAGGGCAGGCTGGGGTTCAGGAATGCTTCCTTGCGTTCTTCCGGTGTGGCAGGAAGTTCTCACTGAGACTCAGCCCTAGCAGGTCATGCAGAGCCCTTGCTCTCAGAGGTCCCTAAGGGTGCAGGTCTCTAGCTGCTGGTCCCATGGAGTAGAGGAAGACAACCGCTGGGCCTCCATCATCTTCTGCTGCCAGAGAAGGCAGGCCCGTCAGCTCCAAATGTGTGTTCTGGCAGACCCGGCAGCTGGTCACTGTCTGTGACTGCAAGCTGCTGGCCAACTCCATCCATGGACTGAATGCCGCCCGGCCTGACTACATCGCCTCCAAGGCCTCACCCACCTCGACTGAGGACGAGCAAGTGATGCTTCGGAATGACCAGGACACCCTCATGGCCCGGTGGACAGGGAGGAACAGCCGGTCTTCTCTGCAGGTGGACTGGCATGAGGAGGAGTGGGTGAGTCTACTCCCTGCTACTTGGCGCACTAACTACAGAGCCTGCTGCCGATCTCTTCCCATGGGGTGCCTGAAGGGTCAGGTCCTAAGAGGTCCTAAGAAGGTCCAGGGTTCCTTCCCAGATGGCTCTCGGGCCTGCTGAGGGAAGGAGACTGTGAGCTATTGTACGTGCCAATGGGGAGCAGGATGGTGCTGGCTTGGCCCAGCTGCCACCCTGCTTAGCCAGGGGGTGGTTTTCTCCCTGGCCCTGCCATGCTGGAGCCTTATCTGTTCTTCCCCACAGCTGCACCCTTGAGGCCCTGGCTGTCTATAACCAGCCCAGCCTCCAGGTGCTCCTCAGCACTGTGCTTGCAGTCTGCCTTCAGGGCTGTGTGTGTTTTTGGCAATTTGGGAGCTCAGAGCTGGAGTCACTGTCCTGGATGCAGTGTCTGTCACATTGCTGCTCCTCATATCTCAGGCCCTGAGAGTGTCTCTGTCTTTTGAGGACCCATTGAATGACTTCTTACTGTCCTTTTTTCTTACTGTTGAGGCTCCTGCCGATAGGCCTTGCTCTGGGCAGCACTGAACTACTCACCACAACATAGTGGTCTCCTAGCCCTGACATCTGGGAGCCTGTGCACGTTTGCACCGCCTTCTCTGGCTCCCCATTCTATTGGCCAGCTGTTTGCATTCCCTCCCAGCAGAGAGGCCTTTGATGTGGTCTGTGTGGTGTCTGAAGGCAGCCTGCAGTGAAACATGGAAAAGAGAGACTGGCTCTTCGTGCCCTGAGACATTGGAAGCCTGTCTGTACTTCAGAGTCACCAACAGACATGTCTCTAAACAAAGCAGTGACCATAGGACATGCTTGGTTATTAAAAAGCCAATATGACTTTGATGGGAATTGGGAACCTGCCCTTTCTTGTGATGCTTTAATGAGCAGGTGGCCTTGGGTGGGGCTCCGTGGAAGGAGTGTCCTGGTTTTCCTCCGGGAGAGCTGACCCATTGAGGCCTGTTGCTTTGGAAGGAGAAAGTGTGGCTGAACGTGGACAAGAGCCTGGAGTGCATCATCCAGCGGGTGGACAAGCTGCTGCAGAAGGAGCGTCTGCATGGCGAGGGCTGTGAAGACGTCTTCCCCTGTGCGGGCAGCTGCACCAGCAAGAAAGGTAACCACGACAGCCACGCCTACTGGATCAGACCGGAAGACCCCTTCTGCAGTGCCCCCTCCTCGCCATGCCCTTCCTCCATGCCCACCGCTGCATGCCATCCTCACCCAAGCACACGTGCGTATGCATCTACACTTCCCACACTGCCTCCACCTTGTGCTGTGTCACATCCGTTTGTCTGTGTGTCTGACTCCAGGCAGACTGCAGGGAGGCTGGCAGGCTGAGAGGGACTGACCCAGGGTATGGAGCAGGGGCAGGATGGTGGGAGCCCCCACCTCCCCATGGACCCATGTGCAGCTGGAACCCATGTGTGAATCTGTATCTCTGCCAAAGGCAGACTTTTAGCAGGGTCACACTGCTAAGGCAGTAGGGGCAGGGCTCCTAGGCTTTTTGGATTTGTAGACCAACCTGAGAGCCCAAAGGTGGCCAGGATGCAGTTTCCTCCAATGTGGTGCTCTTTGCATTAGGATCTGGTGGAATGGAGGGAAAAATGAGTCTTGCAGTGACCAGGCTGGATGCAGGATATGCGCAGGCCCCACAGACTTCCCAGAGTCAGTGGTTATTAACTGGGCAGGTTCTTACCTTGTTGGTTGGAAATTTGTAACTCAGTCAGATACCTGGGCCTTGGAAGGACTGTATGTCTTCTGTTCAGCACCACGCCTCATGGGAGGCTTTCAGAAATGGTAGGACAGTGCCACAGAACAGCATGTTTCAGAGCAAGTGTCTGGGTTCTCAGGGCCCACTCACACTGTGCCCTGCAGTAGCCTCAGAGCTGGGGACTGCACTCAAGTTTCTTAACAAGTAGATTCTAGGTTCTGGCCTCTCAAGTGCCACCTGCCTTTTCCTGCAAGAGCTGGAGGGGCTTTGGGACCAGACAGCTTCTGCCTCTTTGTTCTTCTTGGGGAGCTGTGAGCCATGCAGCAGGGTCAGGGCCTTCAGATTCTCTGTAGCAGAATTGTGCTGCTTTGTGGGAGCCTCTTGCTAGATCCTCTTTCTGTGTGTGAAGTGGCCATGGCCCCTATAGCTCCTGCAGTCTGTTTCCAGGGCACTGTCCCATTCAACCTTTTCTATGGTTTTCACATAATCCACGTAATGTCCTCAGATCATGGCAGGTCATGGAGCTGCTCGTCTCTCTTGTGTTCTCTTTTTCTTTTTGTTGTCATTGCTGTTGTTTTTTTAAATGTAAGTTGTTTCTTCTTAAAGTTCTCTGAAACTTTACTATTCTCTTGTTTGTAGGGGATGGGATGGGATGGGATGTAGCTCCGAGATATACACACAAACATATATGTGCCTTATTTGTAATTTTTAATTTTTCCTGCAGGTATAAAAAGTAACTTATTGGACTTTTTTAAATTCAGGAGCTAGTTTGTATAATCAGATATGTTGTGTGTCGATGCCTTACATACACATCACTTTCCCCCAGGCACATCTCCTATTGTTTAAATATAGACCCATTCAGATTCAGCCCCGAGGTTATTTCAGCGTTAGCTGTTTGTGTTATTTAGGGTGTGACTCTATATGCCTGCGGCATCAGCTCTGTGATGGTAGTGGGTGCATGAAGTGTGCACCAGGGAGCCTCACTCTGCGGATCAGTACTCGGGAGCCTAAGAGCCCACACACCACTAAAGAACTGTGTATTGTCCCTAGCTCAGACATTGCAAGCATAGCCGGGAAGCCCTTGGGGCTGCACTGTGATCAGGAGGACCAGGAAGGTCTACCTGGGAGCTGTCACTTGTCCACATGTCAGAGCTGGGCCTCGTAGGTACTTTGCGTTCTGTGTTAGGGAGCAGATGTCCTGACCATATGAGCAAGTCGTGTTCACACCAACTTGTTTTTTAAATAAGCACAACTCTGTGACCCCGAAAGCCTCATCACTTCTCTGCCTCAAGTGTTCCGCTTTCTTGCCTTCTGGCTTGCTGTCCTGAGAGCCGAGCCTGAATCTGCCTGCCAGGTGAGGGCCAACTAGAGCCAAGACCCAAGGGGGACACTGAGAAGACATGGTCAGCTAGAACTGCAGACCCCCCATGCTGCCTTCCCTCTGTTTCTCTCCCCGGCCCCCTCTGCCCAGTAACCCACCCCTACCAGAATTTGGTGGCTTCTGTTGCCTTCTTTACACCTGCAGCGTACTTTGTTATTCTCCTCTGATCCCATCCCAGGATTTGCTACCCTGGTGTCTGTGTTTGCAGCCCAGGTTCATTCAGATGCCCCTGAGATCAGGCTGAAATCTGCCTGGGCACAGAGAAAAAGCCCACAGTCACTATCAGATTGCAAAAGGTCCCATGACCCAAGATAAGATAGATGAATTTAGCAAGTGGACTTGGCCCCAGATAAACAACAGAAATGGTCCCAACCCTGCTGTTTGGGGTCACCCTGGAAACTCTCAACACAAAGGGGCCTATGCCTCACCCCCCATTCATCGATGTGGAGTCCTGGAGGAGGGGCTCCAGGAGGCAGGCATGTATTTCTCCAAGCCCTGAGGACTCTGCCTAGCAGGACAGGGCTTCGAATCACTCCAGCTCACCCCTCTCTGCTGGGCTCCTCTCTGTGCTAGCCAGGTGGTCCCAGGGTCTTTGCGTTCTGACAGAGGTGGAGCTCTGCACCTTCCTGAGGCCTTTGCACTTCCTGTTCCTCTAGGCCACATCCAGATATGACTGGAGGGTGCCCCGCTCTTGCTGCACACTTTATCCTAACCCAGGCTATAAGTGGTCCCTAAAGCTGGTTCTGGCTGGTCTTGGCAATCCAGAACTGCCTGCTTCAGTACCCTGAAGACTTCCCTTAACTGACAGGCTCAGGCATAAGTGACGTGAATGTTTACCGTGTGATTCCTTCTCAGACTTGCTGTCTCTCAGGTGGCGCACCAGTTAACTAGCATTTTCAGAGTTTTTGAGGGAAATGTGAAATGAGCCACTTAGTTGTAGCTAAGCAGAAATGAAATGTATTCTTTGAAGTCCTGGAAGGGAGTCCTACCTGGAGCTCTCCCTCAAGCCTTCTCCATTTAGTTAAGTTTTAAAGACTGACCTGGGATTCGTGACTGGGTCTTAGCATCACAGTCTCAGGGGTCCATCCTGAACCCAGGCCTGCCCAGTGCTTGAGGGCCATGCCTCCCACCGAGCCCTGCCGGGTTTTCTAGTCCGCCTCTCTCCTTCGATGTCGTGAGCTAACATAGGGCTCCATCTCCATGTCACCGACGTGGGTGCTTTTGTGTGTGGCATGTATCCCATCGTAATGTGTCAGATCACTCATCCCAGAGAACATTTTATGTTGAAATAGTAGCAACATGAATGTCAATGCTGGCAAATCAGTGTTGTGCGAGCTTCCGAGAGGGCTCTGCCGCCTCAGAGTAGCCCAGCACCCCACCCTCCTCTCCATGTGGTTAGTGCCTTACCGCGAGCTGCTGCTGCAGCTGCCGTAAGTGTGGTTGCTGTTTGATCTGTGTCTGCTCCTTAATCACCCCTGTCGCCCTCCATTTCTGTGCAGATTGCAGTCCCCCTCCTGAAGAGTCCAGCCCAGGTACGTGATTTCCGGTCCAGGCTCCGCTGATGTCTTGGTAATACTTGGGTAGCATTTGTAGCTCCATTATCCAAGATGACCTTCTATTCCCACAGTTGGGGAAATGTTTTAGGACATCTTTGTCATGAGGTTAGGCGAGGGACCAGTTGGGCTAAGAGAATTGTGGCCTGAAACAGAATACCATGTGGTTTGGGTTTAGTTTTGTTTTATTTTAGGGTCTCTCTCTCTCTCTCTCTCTTGCTCACTCGCTGTCCCACTCTTGTTCTCGCTCTCGGTGTTTAAACTCTTACATCTTAAAACTGTCTCATGATTAGCGTTCATGAGTGTGTGGGGCTTCTCAAGTGGATGACCTTCACATTTGTGCATACTTTCAGTGCATTACCCTGAACCCGTGAGCAAAGCCCTGAAGACACTCATATATAGGAGTCCACCAGAAGCCTGTGGCGTTTATAATTGCGTAACGTGCTCTCAGAGTCTCAATGGAGCTCTGCAGTTCTTACCAGACATGGCAGCAGGCCTCAGTGACAATGAGAAGTGTAATGCCCTTCCCCATTTGCATGTAAAATCCAGTGTTTATAATTCTAGTTCAGGGGTCGGCGAACTGCAGTGCTGAGCTAGACTCTGTCCTCAGCCTTTCAGAAACCAGTCATGCCCACATGTTCACACATCCCAGTGGTTGCCTTTGTGTGGCAGTACCATGGTTAGTTGTGACCGAAACCTTACTGCCTTCAGAGCCTGAGATGTTTGCTGTCTCACCCTTTACAGAAAATGTGTGCCAACCCCTGAGTTCATAATGAGCTTCCTGGATATGGCTGTGGTTCTCTCAGAGTGTGCATGCACCTCAAATAAAATGGCTTGTTTGTTTTTTCGTAAACTCCAAAAATGGGCTAAGCAGTCAGTTTGATGACTGCATATTGTGACGGAGTAGAAATGTAAGACTCGGGGACACCGCCTTATGTCTCGAGTATGGCAAACTGGCTGTGGTAGGACTCAACAAGCCACACTCTCAGGTCTGCTCACATAGTACCAGCAGCAACCCCAGAACCCTACTGGGAGCCAGCTTATCAGCCAGCTAGTCTGACTGGGTACATCACGCTCTTCCAGTATTCCCTCAGGCCCTCACAGCCTTTTCCCAAAAAGTCAGTGTAGCTGTGAGGAGTCCAGGTCCCCAGTGTCCCTTTCCATGGTCATTGAGCATTGGTGGGTGCACACACAGTCAGTCTTGAGCTCCTTGTCCCCATCACCTTGCTCAGAGCAGGCCTCACCTCTGCCTTGTTTGTCCCTGAACTCCTCCACCTCCTCAGCTCCGCAGGCCGGAGGCGGTGCGAATCCGTAGTGAAGACCAGGAGAGAGGGTAATAGAGAGCTTCGACTAAAGCTCAGGGACTCTGCTTCACTCAGGATTTCCTGACATTGGGGGAGCCAAATGGAAGCCAGCACATGTTTAGCACCTGGCTTGTCCAGCTCTCTTTGCTTTATGTCAACTATGTCATTTCCAGAAGCACTGGAGGCTTTTCCACAGTTGATGTCAAATGGACCAAAATGGTCCCCTGCTAGGAGATCCTGTGGAGCTGTATTTATTTGGAGTGGCTTAAAACACACTTCTCTCTCCCACTCCCTCCCCTACTAATGAGAGAAAAAAAGTAGCATGCGAATTTGAAAGGGCCCTTCAGCATTATTTAAAGTGGGGTGATCCATGGGTTGACTAGTAGTCAGCAAGAGTTACAGGCTGGCAAGTAGGTAAGGAGCTTGTCCGAAAGAGTGGGTCACCTATAGTCATTGGACATTCATTTGTTAAGTTGATTGTTTTTAATAGCAAGAGTCTCTCACCAAAGGAAGCAGATCATAAACTCTTCACCAGCATCAGCATTCCAGACACCTTAGGGCCTGGGTATAAACCATGTTTTCTTACTTAAAATATCTTCTAGTATGACTTTCTCCCCAGATTGGAAAAATGCATTACTTTTCCTCTCCAGCAGAAGCAGGCTGAGCTAGTAGAAATACCACAGAGTTTGGAGTCTGTCAGACAGATACAAAAGCAGTTCTCCATGTGTGTCTAGGAGGCCCGACCTCGCTGGGGCTGTTTCTTGCCTGTGGATTTGATGAGGACAGAGAATTAGAATAGCTAAAGACTGGTAGACAGTGGCCAGTGCCCCATTGGCCTCTGAGCCCCTCTCTGGGCCAACAGGATCCTCGTTTTCCACCTCTCCCAGCACAGCCCTTGTGGCCGTTCTCCCTGCGCTCCAGTTTTGTTGTTGTCAGTCTTTTTTCTGATGTATTAAAGCAGAGTCATTCTGACATGAATTTGTTTATAGAGAAGTTTGAACAAAGTGAAAAGGTTGTATGGAAAGGCTTGGCTATGTTCAATAAGACTGCAGGCCTTGTACTTTGTGATCATAATAACCATGATTTAATTACTCATTGTAAATGTGTATTAACTGGAAAAGCCAAATAAAATGGGCAGCCTGTGCTCTAAGTGCATTTACGTCTTAGTGAAGAATAGCATGAGGGACTGCCTGGTCTACCCTGCCCAGACTGTTGCGCTAGGAAAACCCTATGTCATTTTGGCCACTTTGGTGGGTGCTGAACGTAATTGTCAGGCGTTCACCAGAGTCCTTTAATGAAACAGAAACTCAAGAATTGTAGGGCAAAGAAACCAGGCTGCGGCTTGGCGCTGTGCTCCATCTTCCTGAAAAGAACCCCACATGGCTGAGGGGTTGAGGGCCTGGCACAGTGGCACCCATTCAGGACTCACATTTTCCACTTCTTGGTCCAGTGTTCCTTGTCACTGTGACTTCTTTGCTGAGACTTCTCTGCTGTAGACTTTCTAAATTTAAGCTTGTTTTTCCCATTGCGAATATAAATCCTTGTCTGTGTACTGCATGCTTGAGTATTCAGTTAGATCAGTGCCAGCCTGAAAGCTGCTTCGAGTACTTCTTCTCCATTAACCGGGGACCCCAGTAGATGCTTCCCTTCCCACTTCGCATCCCCTATTCCGGGCACTCCTCCAGATTGGTTTCCCAGCCAAATGGTAACTGCACGGTGGTGAGGGCAAAGCCAAGGTACTACTCTCTCCTCGAAGGTGAAGGTCACTACCTGGCACTGTGGCGCCTTGGCCAGGGCCTGATGGGACGCTCCCCCATCCTGAAGGTGTGTATTGCTGGATGTTACCCACCTGGAGCCGGGTTTGGGGTGGTGTGCTGCTAAGTAGGGGTGAGCAAATGCCTATTTCTGGGCTTAGCAACCTGTTAAAAATATAATGGATGAGGGCATGGCTTTTCTTTTTTAATGGTTTCTAAATAGAAAGGGGAAAAGAGCCAAAGCCAAAAATACCCCTCACCCTTTTTTTCTCCTCTGAGGTTTTATTTTTGAAAAGTTGTTTTGGTACAGGTCCCAAGTTTCCTTATATTTCTAAAAGAAAAATAAGCTAGAAATAGTGCCTGGCAGCAAGGTGGTGCTGGACAAGGTGTGCAGAAGGAAGGGGCACGCAGGTAGTGTGGGAAGTGAGACATTCACATGGGAGTGCACAAGGCCAGCAGGGGCAGAGTGGGTCCTTTGCCCTGGAAGGACAAGGTCTCTGCTTCCTGCCGGGTCAGGAGAAAGGAGGTAACAGAAGACCTCTCTGAATGTCCTTCTCTGTCCTGGTGCGGAGAAGAGGAGCCTTGTGCTGTGAAAGGTGATTGGCCTGTGCCGAAAGAATCCTCTCTGGCTTTGTCGTGACTTTTAAAGCTTTCTGCTGTCTTTCTGAACAGGCAGGGTGCTATGGACAGAGGCAGGGGTCCCAGTATTTAGGGGACCAGCCCTGTGCTGGAGGCACCTAAGTAGAGCTCATGTTAATGGAGAGACTGTGGCTGGAGGGCTGGAGCCAGGGTTGGCGCCTGGCAGATATGGGGACAGAGGGTGGGCTGGGCGAGGGTGGAGAGGGGAGGATGGGGCTGGGTGATTTGCTGACATAACAGAACCTCATTCCTAAACCCTTCCTTTCTAACCACAATGCTCCCTCGCTGGTACCCAGGTGAATGGAGCGAGGCCCTCTACCCTCTGCTGACTACCCTCACCGACTGCGTGGCTATGATGAGCGACAAGGCCAAGAAGGCCATGGTCTTTCTGCTCATGCAGGACAGCGCCCCCACCATAGCCTCCTACCTGAGCCTGCAGTACCGCCGCGACGTGGTCTTCTGCCAAACTGTAAGCCCTTGGAGGACCACGGGAGTGCCTGTGGTCACCTCCTACCTCCGGGGGAATGGGCTGGGGCCTTCACGGGCTATTTTGCTTCCTGTCTCTTATTTTCAAGTTTACCTCGCAGGGAAACTGGATTTCAGATGGGAACTTGTTCTGGGAGGCGGTTAGAGATTCATTTCCCCGGAAGGGCTGCCCAGACAGGCTCCACACTGCTCTGATGAGGCAGTGGGCACAGAAGTCTCTTAGCTATCTTTTTAGAGATATAGTTGGCACCTGTTTTGTGCCCCTTCCAGAGCTGTGTTTCAGTTTCTGTTATCTTTTAGTGAAGAGTTGAATGTCACAAGTTAAAAGATACCGGACATGGAGACAGTAAAGCAAACAGTGCTGCTGGGGTGGGCTGGTCCTCTGCTGTCCTCAGCCCCGGCCTGGCAGCCTGTTCTGTCCCACAGAACACCCGCTACTGTCACTCATTTAGTCTCTAGCCAGAAGCCGCATGAAGCTTGAGAGCACAACCCTTCACTATGGGGAATTACTCTAGGCTTCCAGAAGATTCCAGCCCAGGAATAATGCCAGGCAGGTCGGGGTGGAATCTGGGTCCAAACCAAACCCACCTTCCAGAGTGACCACATGGCAAATCCCAGAGTGTTCCATGTCCATCCCGTGGCCTCTGCCCTCTGTGGTCCCAGTGCCAGAGTGCCCCTGCTCTCCAGTCGCGCACTGCACACCCAGGGCAACAGGTGCTGCTGACTCCCCTCTAGCAGCTGAGCTGCTCACCACTGCCCCACTGTTCACTCCTTGCCTCCCCAGCTGACAGCCCTCATCTGCGGCTTCATCATCAAGCTGCGGAACTGCCTACATGACGACGGCTTCCTGCGGCAGCTGTACACCATCGGGCTGCTGGCCCAGTTCGAGAGCCTGCTGAGCACCTATGGTGAGAACCCGATCCTCCCTTTGACCTCCGATTCCAGGGTGACCACAGGCCCCAGACAGAGTTCTGCACGGTGCACAGGGTCCTTGGTCAGCGTGGCTTCCGTGCCTTGCTGCATATCCTGAAGAGCTTTCTAGTGACAGAGGGCTGGTGGTTGTTTAAGCAAGCATTTCCTGTAAGGCAGTTGGGTTGTTTCTAAATCAATCCTACTGAACCTTTGTGCAGTGATTCTGTACACAGACAGTACTTGCAAGCCTGTCCTACAGCCATTAGGAGAGGAAGAGTTGCTGGGTCAAAGAGGGGAACTTTTTAAAAATATGACCGCTGTTTCCAGACTGCCCTCTGGAAAGGCTGTCTTCTCCCCTGTATTGCTTCCTATTTATTTCTTGTGAGAGGGTGAACTGGATCATTGCTAAAGGTATCTGCGAGCCTTGCTGTTCTAGGACACAGGGCCAATGTCCAGCCCTGTATAGCAGGAGGGGGCGACCACAGCACAGCAGCCCTGTGGTTTCTCATCTCAGTCTTATGCAGCTGGCGTGCGTTCTGTCCCCTGTGCATTTCTGTGCATCTCCCTCCCACGGTGCTGGGTGCAGAAGGGCTGAGCAGGCTGACACCTCTTTCCACCAGTTGTCTCTGCAATGTGGGTGCAGGCTGACTGCAGTGTCTGGGGGCCCAGGAGCCGTCCACACTTGCAGCATCTGTGGGGAGAAGAGTGAGCCCTGTTGCCTGACACTTCCTCCCCTTTCTGTATCCAGGTGAGGAGCTGGCCATGCTGGAGGACATGAGCCTTGGGATCATGGACTTGAGGAATGTGACGTTTAAAGTCACGCAGGCCACTTCCAGTGCATCAGCTGACATGCTGCCCGTCATCACAGGAAATCGGTAGAACAGTTTCTCTCAAAACCATGCACCAGAGCAGTGTTCTTCATTAATGTCCCTCTCATGGGTGCATGCTTCTGTTTCATTTTTACTCCATTTCTTTCTGTTAAAACCACTGGCTACAAGCCCTTACTGTGCTTCTACCGCTTAAAGGTCTGGCTGGGGTTTGGACGTCATAGACGCCCAGGGCTGCCTGGACGCCCACCCTGCCCTCTGTATTGGGGCTCACGCTGCCCTTCCTGTCTCACCCTCCTCCAGTGATGGGTTTAATGTGCGGATCCCCCTGCCAGGCCCGCTCTTCGACGCCCTGCCCCGAGAGATCCAGAGCGGCATGCTGCTGCGCGTGCAGCCAGTCCTCTTCAATGTGGGCATCAACGAGCAGCAGACCCTGGCCGAGAGGTGTGTGTGCTGGTGCTGCCTTGGGACAGCAGGGATGAGTTTGTTCACCTTCTCTTGGTCCGTCCTGTGCTGGGTGGGCTTTGTCACCCTGCCTCCCGGAGGTTGTTGAGCATAGCTGTCTGCTCAGCACTGATGACCACACAGAAACGCCCCACATGCAGTCTCCATTGTCAGAGACTTGGGCTGGTAGGAGAGGGGAATGGGTTTTGTGATGAAAGGAAATGCAGAGAGTCAGGGTCCTCAGAGGAGGCCCGAGGGTTGTGAAGCAGGGCAGAGATGGTCCGTGAAGTAGGTTATTTTTATTGTCTAAAAAACATTTTTTTTTTGTGGTGCTGAGGATTACACTTAGGCCCTCACACATGCTAGGCAAATAATCTACTAGCCCCTAAAGTGGGCTTCGGAGTAGGAGTAGGAGAGACCACATGAAAGAAGAGGAGAGAGAGCCTGGTGTCCCAGGCCAAGAAATCTGAGCAGAGGCATACATGGGGAGCAACCCAAGGGCCTGGGGATGCCATAGTCTGGGGAGGGGTTGGCAGGAAGGTTAGCACAGCCTCATGAGTCCAGCCAGGAGTCAGGCCCTTACCCTAAGGGCTGTGCCATGCCAGCTCCTTCAGGATCATTGGCACACAGCAGAAGGGTCATGTGTGCGTGCGTGTGGGGTGTGCATTCCTGTGGAGTGACATGGAAGGAGTGAGTTGCGAGTGTGTGGCCTGTATACCTGGGAGTCGGTCCTGTGTGCCCTGTTGAGGCAAGGGAGGAGTGCAGTGGGAGAGAGGTGGTGTGTTTACTCCTAGCGTGCAGGAGAGCTGCTCCAGGAGAGTGATAGCCTCTGAGGGAACAAGCTCACAGAGGGAGAGTGAGCACTGCCCTCTGAGGGACATCATAAGGCCATAAAGATGCCAATGCTAGCTGGGCGTGACGGTAGGCACCTGTAACCCCAGCTGCTCAGGAGGCCTGAGGCAAGAGGATTAAGATGGAGCCCAGCCTGGGTAACTCAGTAAGACCCTGTGTCAAAATAAAATGAAATCATGGGGCTCAGCGGTGTAGCTCAGTGTTAGAGCACTTGCCAAGCACATGCAGGGTGGCCAGAAAATAATGCCAGAAAAGGACTGATGCTAAGGGAGGTCAGGTGGCAGGGAAGTGGAGGCCTGGATGGGAACCAGGTCTAGGACTTGATGGTCTGCCTCATTAGTGACCAGCTTCCTCACAGGCGGTGTTCACACCTTCTCCGTCAGGCACTCTCCACAGACCGATGACAAACTGAGGAGGAATGAGAGCCTCAGGCAGCCCTGGGGGACAGTGGCCAGGGGTGTCCATTAAACAGACAGGTGACTTTGGATTTGAGTCCAGGACAGTATCCTCAGTCCTCACACCCCACTGCTGTCCCCTCTCCTTAAGGACAGGCAGACACCAGGACTCCGAACCAAGTGGCTGTGCGCTGGAGCCCCTTGCAGCACCCCACTGTTCTCTCAGTCTCTGGGTCTGACCCACAACATGCTCCAAAAATGCCTTCGGTGCACCTGTAACCAAAGTGCATTTAAGCTCTCCCAACACCACAGAGATGGTTTCCTGCTCAGGAGGGGGAAGGCACTTAACATTGAGACCTGCATGATAAGTGTCTGTAAGAATCACCACTGTTGGCATTCCTGCAACACTGTGTGTTGGGAAAGTGGCTCCAGCTGACTAATGGTGTCCCTTCCCCTCCCAAGGTTCGGGGATACGTCTTTACAAGAGGTCATCAACGTGGAGAGCTTGGTACGGCTAAACTCCTACTTCGAGCAGTTTAAGGAAGTTTTGCCTGAGGATTGTAAGTGTTCCCCCACTTGCAGTGGTTTTACCTGCTTGCCACCTTGGCTGCTCCGCTGCATTGCATACACGTATGAGCTGTCCTTTCCCTTTCCCTTGTATGCATGCATGAATGCATACACACACACACCCACACACACACACACACACACACACACACACACACACACACATGCACACACTTGCATGCATGCACAGTGGCTGTTTTCCTGCCCATACTGCCTGGCTTGCACCCTACCCAGAGAAGCTGACTGTATGTGCTTCCTGTGCACATCAACTCCGTGGTATGTGGAGAGGAGATGCTGAGTGTTTGAGGCAAGAGGACCGCTTTTGTGTCCCCTGGAGGTCTCAGCATTTGTTCACTGCTGCGTGACACTCTGTACCCTAGTGAAAATGCCATAGACAGCGCTCCAGCAGCATCAGAATTCAGGGAGGAATCCGGATACACAGCACAGTCTTTACTGCACAGTACGATCATTGAACACCTGCCTTGTGTAAGAGCCGCGGGACAGAGGTCAATGAGACCTTGACCCTGTCTGGAAGAGACCAGTCTGCCCTAGAGTGAGGCTCCAGAGGGGTGGGGATCGTGCTGGACAGGCCTATTCCATCTCTGGGAAGGCAGGAGCACCTCAGCTTTTGGATTGGCGGGAAAGCAGTGGCACTTGAGCGTCTGTGGCTTATGGTGGGCCAGGCTGGGCTGAGCGCCCTACAGTATTTCACAGCATCCTCAGGGCCAGGTCAGTGCTGTGTGCAGACAGGAGAGAGTTGCTTGGACAGTGGCAAGAGCTGTCCTGTGAGAAGGGACTGTGGCCCAGGTCTCAGGGTCAGACAGTATTTCATTGGCAGTGCTCAGTTGGGAAGGGGAAGCAACCCGCTTTTTTTGTCTGGGATCACCTCAGAGTATGCTGGCTGGACTGGAGGAGGAGATACAGGCTGCTGGTGGTCAGCAGAGGCTGTGGGACATTGGCTGATCTGGGCAGGGCAGGCAGGAGAACCTCCCCTGTGGTGGCTTCTAGAGGCTGAGGCAGGACAGTGAGGGATGGACATTACCATCTCCTGGCCTGGGCTGCAGAGAGAGCAGGGACACGTGTGTTCCCCCACAGGTGGCTGGGGTCCCCCGGGAGGTAGCCATGCTTTGCAGATCTCCTGAGTTTTCCAGGTGCTTGGTGGTTGAGACTCACTGCTCACATGTCTTCTGTCCCTGCCTGAGACTTGGGAGGCTGGATGGCTTGTCCTGCTCTTCCCATCCCACCGTGGCATGGTACTTACCAGAAGCTTCTTAGTGGCTTGGTGTCCACTGTCCACCCCATGAGAAGAGCTAAAAGGGGAATGAAGCAGCTGCCCTGAGAGGTGGCACTAATGTGGCAGTGATTGAAATTAAGGGATCCTCACCCTTGTAGCATGCCCAGTTGCTAAACGTCTTCCCTCCCCACTTAGCCTGGAACTGCTTGTTTCACCATCTCCTTCACAGTGTGCTGTCCCACGCTTTGGCACCGAGGCCTGGCTATGGCTCCGGCTCCCACTGACATCCCTGCCCTTCCAGGTCTACCTCGGTCCCGGAGTCAGACTTGCCTGCCAGAGCTGCTGCGGTTTCTGGGTCAGAACGTCCATGCCCGGAAAAATAAGAATGTGGACATTCTCTGGCAAGCTGCTGAGGTACTGGTTCTAGTGAAGAAGAGAAGTGTGTAGCCTGCAGCCAGCCAGCCTGACAGAGACAACAACAAGTCAAAATCTCAGCCAGGACGGAGAGACTTCTCCAAGGGTGCCAGTGAAATTCCTGGATAGGATCGGCGGCTTGGGCAATGACAGAGTGCTGCCCCTGAGCTCATCTTTCAGGACCACTTAAACTAGACAGTCTGCCTGTGGGCACTCACAGCCCACCTCCAGGGTGGGCACAGCGGATGCCAGCCAGAGCTCACTGCCTGCAGCCATTGTGAATAGGTCCAGAGGGAGATGGTGGTTCAACACAGTCCTCATCCTCCCTGCCCCTCTGATTCCTTTGTTTCCCCCATACTTACATTGCAGACCGGGCCTGGGTGCCCAAGGCGTTTCCTTGCTTAATCCACATTCACAGCAGTGTGACTTTACCATGCTGGGCCTTGGGGGCCCCTCTGGCCTTCATCCCCTGCCCAGGCCTGAGAATAGGGGGTCGAAAAGGCACAGGCAGGACCTGGCACAGCTTTGCCCACACTCCCTGGGCCCCCCAAGTCCCAGGACCCAGGTAGCCAGTGCGAGGTGCTCTCCCAGCTTCCCGGAGCAGCTCAGCCCATGCAGCACTATCCTGAGTGTCAGAAAGTGTCTGCCATCCTCAGTCATCCTCCACTGGCTTCAAGGGGCCTGTGCTTGGTGGCTCTTCTCTGTCTGAAAGCCCATCTTCATGATGTCACTCCATTTGTACACCCTCCACATTGTGGATTGCAGTGACCTTTCTGTCAGTGGCTTTTTGAGGAAAGAATGTTTTCCTCTCTCTCTTATCTTTCTGCTGTTTCGCCGCAGCTATGTGGCTTCACTGCATGGAACATGCAGAGTGGCTTGGTCTGGACCCCTCCCCACTCTGTCCAGGCTGCCCTTCACATCTTTAATGACAACAGAAGCCTCAACAGGTTTCACAGGCCTTGCCTTCTAAGTATTCTTGGTTTGGGGCCTCGTGTGGCAGGCTTTTTCAGGCTAGACCCAGCCTCAGGATGGCAGGCAGGGACAGGGCAGAGGCGCACCTTAACGTCTTTTGTTTTTGAGGGGAAGTGTTAAACACATGACCATGCAGCATGCTGGCTGTGACAGCCTCTGTTACAGGGCCTTCCTGAACATTAAACGGGGAGCAAAGCTTTCTCACAGACAGTCCCAGGGGTGGCACAGCCAGGGACCTGAGCAGTAGCCCTTAGTCCTGTGACTCTTGTCCCCTGCAGAGCCCCAAGACAGAGAAGCATAGATCAGAGGTGTGAGGCACAGAGCCCCTCGGAAGGGCACACTGCCCACCAAACCTTGGGCATCTCTTGGGTGACAGGTGGGTGTGGCAGCAGTGCCAGACCACCTGGGGATTGTGCATCCCAGAGCCTCTCCTCTTCTGGGCCTTACAGCGTGTTATAGTCAGTGGGGAGCAGTGGGACCAGGCAGGCTGGACCTGGGGGAGGTCTTTGGACACTGATGGCAGGGGTGATGCAAGCTACCAGGAGGCCCTGAAGGTCAGGTCTTGTGGGTGACTCAGTTTCCACTACAGCTCAGCAGGATACAGAGAGGAGAGGGAAGCAGAGCCAGGCTAGGTCCTGTGGGGAGCAGCTCCCCTGCAGAGTTCCCCTCCTAAGCACAGCCCATGTCCTGTTGGCAGATCTGTCGCCGCCTTAATGGGGTCCGGTTCACCAGCTGCAAGAGTGCCAAGGACCGCACGGCCATGTCAGTGACGCTGGAGCAGTGCCTGATTCTGCAGCACGAACATGGCATGGCCCCGCAGGTCTTCACCCAGGCCCTGGAGTGCATGCGCAGGTGAGTACCCTGCCCGCAGCTGCGCACCTGCCCGCCCATGTAAACTGCAGATGAGCCGGTGCAGGCGGGGCTAGGGCCATGAGCCTGACTGTAGTCAAAGTGCTGGCCCAGTCCAGTTCAGGGGAGCATCTGGCAGGGCAAGGGAGAGCCAGCAGGCTTTCCAAGCAGGGCTGCTCTGACATGTAGAGCAGTAGGCCAACGGAAGGTCAGGCTATAAATGGGGAGCAACCCAGTGCCCCAGGCTGCCTACTTAGCTGGGGGTAGGACCAAGGGCCGGTTCTCCCAGCAGCACCAGCCATTCCTATAGCAGATGCGCATGTGCACGATGTGCATTTCTGAATTTAAGTGAAGAAACACGTCTGCAGGTTGCACCGGTTTGCTCTGCTTCCTCTCTAGCAGTGGGCACTATTTACTTTTATGAGCAAAGTGTCCAGTGAGTGTCTCATGGTGATAGCTGTCAGTGTGCCCTGGCCACCTCACCCGAATGACATCCCAATTCTGAGGCAGCAGGTGGCAAGTGTGTTTTGCAGAATGAAACCCAGAACGCAAACTGTCCTCTGTGGATCGATGGCTTGTTTCAAGCACTGCTGGGCAGTCCCCTCCCTCGCATAACAAAAGAAAGGATAAGAAACCCCATTTTCCTGTCTCCTTTGATGTAGTCACCAATGCTGTTAAAGTCTCGTTTCCAGTGGTCACTCGTATTGAATGTCTATCATTTGTCCTCTCACCAGATTCTTTAAAGTGTTTAATTCTCTTATCCTTTCTGTATGTTTCTGCCTTTGACCTTCTCACAATAATGCATGAAAATGATGCGTGAGCTTCTGCCTCTTGATTTGAGTGTTTTGTAAAAATGGCATCACCTCGTCCCAGCTTTGTCTCCTTGACTTCTCCCCAGACCTCTCTGTTAAAGTTCATCCCCTTCATCTGTTTGGCTCAAGCAGTGGCACTTCAGACACCCTGCTCTTGGCCCTTGACTCAGGGCTGCCCCAGGGTCCCCACACCCTGCAGGCTCCTTTGTCCACCTCGACCCTGGACTCAGGTAGCGGTCATGCCATGCTCAGCCAGCTGCTCGGTGGTGAGAGGGACCTTGTGGTTGGGGAAGCAGAGATCCCGACCGGATACAGTCTGGTCAGTGGTGAAGGACCTAGGTGAGGCCTCCTGCTCTCTCTCTGGTTTTGAGCTTGTTAGTGGTTTCAACAAAAACAGTAACTCATTCTGACTACATGTGAGCACCAGGCTACAGAGACTGGGGTAAGGTGGCTCCAGAGAGACCCATGTGACTGCAGGGCCATCTATCTGCCCACTCTCGGCTCACCAGTTGTTTTGGGGGAAGGATTTTGTTTTGTTATGAAGTATTTTGTGGTGGGTATGGAAGCCAGGGCCTCAAGCATAGTGCACACACGCTCCACACTGAGCTGCCTTCCCCATCCAGAGGAGCTGTTCCAGCTTTTCCAGTACACAGGGCACTCTTCATAACCTTTAATCTCATAAGTAATTGATACACCTAGTGGGAAAACTAAAAAATATAGATAAGTCCCTGCTCTTGTTGTCCTGTCTGTCTATCCTATAACACAAACACACATCCCACTGCAGCTGATCCTCCATTCCTGCAGTTATAGAGCCATGAGTATTTTGTACATATTCTTTTCGAGGCGCATGCATTCCACCCTTACACACAAACATACAGGCATGAGTGTGGTTAATCTACATGTCGGTTAACCTGTCCCTAACACACATGATACATGCATCCACACACAGATGTATGATAGGCACCATTGTGCAATTGTTTTAGCCTACTTTTTTTCATTTAGTTATTTTGAATGTTTTAAGCTAATGAACATAGTTTTGTTTTTTTATCTTCTTGAGACAAGGTCTCACTGTGTAGTTCAGGCTGACCTCAAACTCACAGTGATCCTCCTGTTTCAGTCTCCCTGATTGCTGTGATTACATGTGTACACCACCACTCATAGCCTAGGCCTTATTATTTTTAACACATCATAATTTTTCTAGCATTTCTATTAAGTAGCATGTGATTTTGAGCATTTTAATCAGTGGTGAGTGAATATCCTTAGATATTTTCCTACCCAACATTTGCAGATAGATTTCTTTATTTTTGTACCAGGAATCAAACTCAGGACCTTGTACTTGTCAGGCAGATGCTGCCACTGAGCTAAATCCCCAGCCAGACTGATTTCTTAGGTTATAAATCTACACCTTTGTCAGGCTTTGCATCAGTTTTAATGTAAATTAGCAAACTGCCCTTCTCCTAACTTCCATGTCTGTTAGAGAGGACAGATCCTCTGTGAGCCACAGGTCCCAGGCGACACTGGCCATCCACTTGAGGCCCCTGAGGAGGCCCTGTGAGTGTAGCCATCCGCGAGTGCAGAAGATGTGGTGGTCCCCTTCCTTGATTGCTTTGTCAGAGCAGGCAGGTTGCGAGGGTGGGACAGAGCTGACACCAACTCCCACTTGCAAGGGTGCAGTGGCTGTGACTGCAGCAGTGGGCAGTTTCAGGGGCTTGCATAGCTCTGCCAGGGCTCAGCCCCAGCCCTGTCTCTGGGGTGAACCACATGCACTGGCTGCAACACACAGGGTACCAACTTAGGAAGGGTCTCCTCTCAGAACAGTGCAGGCCAGTGGGGCTGCCCAAGGGTCCCAGGTTCCCTGAACCTCCTCCCACCCGTCTCCAGCAGGTCCTGCACCTTCACAGCTGCCCGTACCCAGGACTGGGTGCCCTGTGACCTCTGACTCTGTGTCACTGTTGCTGCTTGTGAACGTGGAGAAGGTTACAGGATAGAGAGGTTCTAGGGAACACTTCAGCTTGCCCTTCCTTCCTTCCTTCCTTCCTTCCTTCCTTCCTTCCTTCCTTCCTTCCTTCTATTCTTTCTTCCTTCCTTCCTTCCTTCCTTCCTTCCTTCCTTCCTTCCTTCTTTCTATTCTTCCTTCCTTCCTTCCTGTTTTTCCTTTTTTTTTTTTTTGAGGGAGGGGGTGCGTGCTCACCACAGACTTCACCTCTGAGCTGCATGGGGCCCAGGGTATTTCTTCTTTTAGTGCCCAAAGGGTGGAGAAAGCCTACATGTCCAACATGAGATTGTGGGGCCACCTTACACAGAGAGCAGCACTTTATTGGGGACACCCTTGCTCTGGCCCTGCCACTGCTCAGCTGGAGGCTACAGCTGTCAGGGAAGAATCTGCATCGGGCAGATTCCTGGGGTGAATGGTTTCTGTTTGTGCAGTGCATCAAAAGGCAGTTCAGCCCGCTCCACTGTGGCGGCCTGCTGGGCATCTGTGAGAAGGTCAAAGCCATGGTTCTTCATGTTCAGCTTGCTTCTCCGAGACGCCGGCTGCAGCATGGGGCCGCGGGCGGCGTGGGGCTCTGCTTGGCCAGCTGAGAGACAGTGAACATGGAAAACCATTCTCCAACCTACATGTGTTTATTTGCAGTGGACTGCAGTATTTTTTCTTATTTTCACTTCTCTTTCTCTCCTTTTTTTTCCCCCTGTGACTGCTGGTTTTGTTTTGGTCTTCTTTCACACCCTTCTCTGCATTCCATTTTTTCTTTCTCTTGTGGCTTCATTCCATTTTTATTTATTTTTCTTAATCTTATTGTTTGGTTCTCTTTTTTCCCCATACTTTTGGATAAAACCCATCGCATGTGCCGCTCTTTTTTCTTTCTTCCCTTTCCTTTTTTCTTTTCCTTTCTCTCGTACTTTTTCCTTTTCACAGCATTGGAACACGGGAGGTAGTCACCCAGAAGAACTTGAGCGGCCTGGTGCCCATCCGGGACTTAAGGCTAGACCCCAGCCTCCTCTGTTCCATTCCTTTATTAGCTCTGAGCCCCAATTTACTGATTGTGTGGCTCTTTCTGAGCATAGCATACCTGGTGACCAAATTGCGTTGCAAATGAGTGTCATTCTGAACAATTAATGAGTCACAAGAAAAAACAAAAGTGCCCGAATTTGTCCAGCCACCGCATACCTAACTGGACAGAAGGAAGGTGTCAAAGCGTGGTCTGACAAGGAATATCTCATGCCTTACACTTTGATGTTTTGTTCTTCTGAACTGTAAATACCTGCCAAATTATCTCGCCAGAGGAACGTGTTCATTTCAATCATGTGGCGTCTTCAGTGCTTGTAACATGTTCTTCCGGTGCGGTGCCGTTAACACTTTATTTAGCTGGCCTGGAACGATTTGTACCAAATCTCTGACCTTCTGATGTAAAGCTGTTTATTTCCTGTACATCTCCTGGGCCCTGTTTCCAAGAGAAGGGAATTCTGTCTGAATAGAATTTGTATATTTGATACTATCCTTTAAGTGTACTGCTCACCTTACCCTCCCCTTTTGAAGAAAAATGAGACAGATAGATGCTTTATAACTGACTCTCTAGATCAGCCTATTTAATAGGACATGTACTTTCTGCTTTCATTTTAAAGCGTAGTCCCTGTATGACAGTAGCAAATAGTTTGCAGAATCGTACCATTTCCGTGCTTGCTCATTTCCAGTTGGGGATGACCCAGCTGTGAATAGAGAAGCACCCTGTCTCAAGGTGGGCACATGAAGAAAACATTTTGTGTGTGATTGCAGATTAACTGTGAGGCTCATTACACTGAGCCTAGGAATGAAAGCACTCTGCAACAGGGAATCAAGTTTCATCCACTTACTTTTCCTGACATAGCATTTTTCATTCAAAAAAATATGTCCATAATTCCAAATTAAAGTCCATACATCCCTGCCTTACTAATCACATATGGTTAATAATGAACAACAGCAGCCAAAAAAAAAAAAAGAACAGTTACCAAAAAACGAGGTTTACCTTTCAGGTACTGTGTCATAGAAGAGAGTTACTTTAATTCCTGCTATTACAACTCTTCATTTTAACATAGTAATGTCCTAAACAGGATATAACCTTAGCATTATTATTATATTTGGGGCAGGGGCCAGGTACCGGGGATCAATCTCAGGACCTCGCACTTACCAGACAAGCACTTGAACTGCTAAACTAAATCCTTGGCCCTAACCTCAGCATTTGAGTGTGGCAGAGAGTAACTGTGTGCCCGTAAAAGTGACCAAATAAACCAGGGGAAATGCCGCATACCCTGAATAAGAATGAGTCGTCTCTCTGCACCTCTCAGGTCATATTGTGTTTCTGTTTTCGATTTCTAATTGGTTCCTGCACTGCAGTTTATGAAGTGGCTTTCTGTCAATAAGACCAGAAAGATGAGTGGATTAGAGAATCTGGCTTTTCCAGAATCCCGATACCCACATGCACACAAGCCCACTCTCAACCCCCACAGTCTGACCTCTCCATCCTCTCGGCAAAGAATGACACGTGCCAAAAGGAGAGTAAATCTAGTGTAAGGCCATCCTTCTCAGAGCCCCGGGACCTCTCCTCCCTAGACCTCTGCAGCACTGCAGAAGCCTGGGCAGGTGTCACCACCTGTTACCCTGAGGCTGAGTGCGCTGGTCTCTTTAGAGTCAGCTTTCAGTAGCTTCTCCCTGACGACCAGCTGACTATGCCCTGTCCAGACACAGAAGCTTGCACTCTCCCTCCCTCCGAGGTGCATATGTCAACTCTTGGGGACCATGGTGGCAATCCCTGCACACGTCCATCTTCACAGGGGTGGCATCCAGTCAGGGACCACACACAGATGAGGGAGCCCATCTCACCAGACAGCGCCCTCCCTCCCCACGGCCTCTGGGTGTCCTGTGGTGCTGGGCATGGCCCCATCTCAGGGCCCCACCACGCACAGAGGGAAGTTGGTACAGCCACAGAAACCCTCCTGAGGGCACCTCCAGGACACCATGGCCCAACTGGCACCTGTCAGTGTGCTGGCAACACCTGCTTGTCCTTTGCGATCTGTTGGGCTGAGAGAGAAGTGGAGCAGAAGGTCGGGAGGCCCTGGCCCATCGTTTCTCTGCTCTGGGGCCCGGGCAAAGGCCATGCACTGCTTTGTCCCTGAGGTCAGTCTGTCCAGGAGGCAGGCGGCTTTTGGTTTTCTTTTTTTAAAGATATCTGAGAAAATCTCAGCATGGAGGCCTTCAATGCTGAGTTTTGATATCACCACAGGCCTTAGCTCCTGAAAGGAGGCCAGATGCATATTCACAGTCCTGTCTGCTTTATCAGGGATGAGGCAGGCATGTTTGCTCTGTAGCATGCAGACAGCTGTCTCAGAGGAGCTGTGCTCGGGGGTGCTTCCTGTTGGGAGGCCTTAGAGTTCTTTTGGCCAGTGTGATGGTCACTGTTGACCATCCTGGTTGTTTCCAGTGATCTTGAAACAACAGCACACTGTCCCTGTGCAGAGCAACTCCCAGTCTGCAGTAGGGTGGCCAAGCCACTTAGGCCTCCAGGTGGGCTCCAGGGTGGGTAAGCCTCACCAGAAGAGGAAATCCGGAGGCCTCCATGAAATCAAGTGTCAAATTTAGGGATCATATTTGAATTTCCATTTCAAAAGTGAATGTTCTCGAAAATAAGTAATTCTGATGCAGTAAAAAAAAAAAACAAAAACAAAAAACAAAAAAAAAAAACATGCAGATCACCTCAGAGTAATTATCTCTCTCTAGCTGTAAAAAAAACCATGCAGATCACATCTTTCTAGCTGGCCTGCACAGCAGCAGAAGCCAAGGCCCACCATAGCATGCTCTCACCTCTGTAGATCAGGTTCCAAGCTGAGTGCCAGCTCATGGAGGCCCACTTGTCACCCAGCAGCCACACAGAAGCTGTAGCCAGATTTCATAAATGCCAACATTTGGGAGAAACAGTTCAATTTAGAAACTAAATTGGAAGTATAATCTTGATGATAGTTTCACCTGCCATGTATGTAGTCAACTAAACCAGTATCAGCTCCTTTCACATGCAAATACAGATTATTCTTCCTGGAGTTAGGCAGACTCTAGCCATGATAGCTGCTTTCTGAGAAGTTTGCACATTTCAATACAAACCAAGAAGCCATATCTGGAAGAGCCTGTTAATGTAAGCACTTCCAAAGATTGTGTATAGGAACCTGTATCCACTGCTTTAAATAGTTATATGTTTTATCTGATGACTGAATGTTTGACACATGTGACCTTGCTCATATGGCCTAGATGCTTAGCTTAGGTGACACATGCAGCTGTGAAAGGGAGGCTCCAGGATGAGAAAGCGTCCAAGCTACTGCATTTGTGAATAGCCACCAGACGGACACTTCCCTGAGGTACCTGAGCTTAGGTTTTTAATAAAAACTGCTGTCTGAACAGGGACATAGGTCAGTGGCACAGGCACCTGCCTGGCAAGCTTAAGGTTCTGAGTTCAGTTCCCAGTACCAAAAAAAAAAAAAAAAAGAAAGCAAGCAAGCAAACCACTGACTTACCAGGAAGTATTTCATGTGTTCTGGGTGACAGGACTGTGGCTTTCACTTGGAAAGGCTTAAGCGGCTGCCACTGACATTTTTCTACTGCATGGCATAATGGTCCTCATACAGTTCAAAATATTTTTTTAAAATCACTATTTCTTGGTAACTGCAAATTTCACATCTCATAAGGAGGATTTTATACTAAACTTGATAGCCACTGAGTTCATTGCCAGCCTTAGAACAGTACACGAAGTTACACTGTACAGTGGGAAGGTATTTGTAGTCACAATCACTTTCGCCTGTATATTTTGTCTACATCAGAGCATTTCCCAGAGAACTCCCCCAGGGCTCCCACAAGGATTGTGAGACCCACCTGCCTGTTCATCCTCCTGGGTACCATGACTGTGTGTTTTGCCACTGAGTTGCCATGACAACCTCTATCATCTGCAGCAGGGGATGATGCGGTAGTGAGTTCTCTAGGCAAAGGCACCTGTGGGCTGTCACTGGCTTGGTGGCACTTGTGCAAGAGGTGGCCCTAAGGAGGGCAGTCCACTGAAAGGAGCCCATGTCCGCTCACTTCTTCACAAGGCCCCAGCCCTGAGAGTCAGGCAGACAGTGCCGGGGCCTGTGGGATTGCTTTCCACCCAGAGGAGCTGTCCCCTAAGTGGATATCGATGTCAGAACTGCCTGCTCGGCCACATGGCTTTTCTGCATATAAAATTCTGCAAGGAAAATCAGCATTTTGAGCTTGATGTGACCATAGTGCTTACTGTATACAAAAGTACAGCTCTTTTAACACTTTGGTAAGAGTGGTAGTAATTCTTGGGTCTGGGATTTAGCTCAGTGACATAAGTGCCTGCCTGGCAAGCACAAGGTCATAAGTTCGATCCCCAGCACCAAAAAAAAAAAAAAAAAAAAAAAAGAGTAGTAGTAATTTTTTCCACGTAATTTGCTGTGTTGCAGAACCCTTGAGTCACAAGTTATGATGCAGCCTGCAATAACTAGGCTGGAGATAAACGAAATTTTCAATTTAAAGAAATGTGCTTCCACTTAGACACAGCACCGCTTTGGGGAATCCCCAATGCACAGCCCCATATGGCTTTTCATCCTTGTGCTTCCTACTTGCTTGTTTAGAAACGCGCCATCCTATGTGTGTATTTGTTGTAAATGAGTCTCGCACCTGTTTAATGAATCATTTTTAATGCTATGAAACTAATGGATTCATTTCATCTTAGTTTAAGTCTTTTCTTTTTTTTCCTTTTTTACTGCTGTCATTTCTTGTGCTTGTTTTTTCCCCAGTGAGGGTTGTCGAAGAGAAAATACAATGAAGAATGTTGGAAGTCGCAAATATGCATTTAATTCCCTGCAGCTGAAGGCTTTCCCCAAGCATTACAGGCCTCCCGAAGGGACTTACGGAAAAGTTGAAACATGAACACACGGTTTCTCTAATTAGCTGTCACCTCATAAATGTGGGTACCCTCTAGTGTTATTCATGAATTCTTCAAGAAGACCGGAAGGATTGGCTTTTTATTTTGTGTTTTTAAAAAATATTTCACTAAAGAGTCTATGGAGCATGTTCTTTCCATTGGAATCCATAGGAGGTAATGTGGGCTCAGTAGCGTGGATAAGAACCATGCCCAGTTAAGTAGCCTTCAGCTGTCACCACAGCTAACACTAGAGTCACCCAAAAATCCAGCTAGCTCGATCTGAAATGCCAGAGGACCTTTTCAAACACCCACTTAGGCACTGCTCACCTAACTTATTTTTCTACTGAGTAACTCAAAAGTGAGCATTGAATTACAATCTACTTTTTAAAATTCTGACTGTAGGACATTAAGTCATGCGTGAAACAGTTGGATCCCAGGCAGCCTGATAACTGTTAACTCAAGTTTGAGTGACTCGTTACTAATGAATTGCCTGCCACCACCCGTAAAACCCAAAGTTGAGAGACTGAGCAAGCATCCTGAGCTAGGTCTCACAGAGCAGCACACACTGGGGCCACGCCTCTTTCTGTCCCACCTGAGTTCCAGCTCAGGTGTCCCCTTCAGTCTAGAGCCAGCAGCGCAGTTCCTGGGTGCTGTCCACTCCTAAGCGCCACATGTAGGTCCCACCATGCCCAGTCTGTCCTTCCTCCCCGAAGTTCTGTCCTGAAGGATCATAAATGTGACGTGGCTGATGTCTAAGAGACAGTACTTTTGTGGGGAATCTATGACTATGTAGAGATAATGGAATCCTAAATATTTTCAGAACAAAAGTTCTTTTGTGGAATTTCTGGTCTTTTTCTACAAAACAATACAATCATGTTCGAATGTCTGATGAAAGTGGCTTATTTTTAGGTTTGTAATAATTGTTACATTCCTCTTCTCATTCTGTGACTATTGAGAAACAGTTGAAGTTATCTCTTCAAATGAGTTTTTGAAAGGGATTGATGGGCCAGGAATCTTTGGAATTTCATAGAAAATGGTGTGGTCATCTTTACGAGGTGATGATGAGTCTCATCTGCACATAGTAGAGATTTTTCCTCCTTAGAAGTTTTATGTTTTAGCAATTTTTAAAATCATGATTACGTTTACATATCTAAAAGGCTGTAAAAGAAATGTCTGTGCCACATACAAATGATGCTGGATTAGTAAACACATTGTAATACATAGAATTCCAGGTAATATTCTTTTGGCTTCTTTAGAAACACTTATGAACTTGGGCCTGGAATGAAGCACAGGCAGGAGAGGTCCTTGGCAGGGACACAGACTAGGTCTCTATCCGGTAGGGCTGGAACTGGGTGACTGACCAAGACCCCTTCCTATCCAGAAGGCACGGTGCAGACAGCCTGCTATTGTCACCTGATGCCTGCTGGGAGGAGGACAGGGGCTGGTGTGGGGGACACTTTAATGAGGGATGGTGACAGCTCACTGATCCTCACCCATGGATGGGTTCACCATGGAGGGCACGTGGCAGAAAAACTTGTCCACCAAACCTACTGGTGGCAGATCTTCGTCTTGGTCAGTCCCTGGCCAAAGGTAGTTTATCCTCAATATGGCTCATTTTTAGCCCATCACCTTGCCACCATTTCACTTGTTATTTTTATTTCCATCCTCTCCTGCATTTTAACATCACTACCTTTCAAAATTTTTATTTTTAAAATTAAATGTTACTCATATTGTTTCCTGACCTTTTTTGTCTAAAGAACACTAAACATCTGCATTCATAAAGGGAATACACAAGTGTTGACTCATCTGTCAGCAGTTTCACATGGGGCACCTTACATGAATTATTTTTCCAATTTTTGGTTTCCGCTGTGGGTCACCATAAAACTGTAAGACTTGGCCAACCATGTGGGAATATTCCAGCCTCAGTGTGCTCTCTGAAAGTGTGTGACTAGCTCCTGGTTGCATCAAAGATGCACTGGCCAGCCTCAGGCGGGCCCAGCTCCTCACGAGCATCCATCTGGTGGATCCCAGGCTTCCTGGTACCCCAGGAAGGCATGTCACAGGTTCCACCATGTATCCCCCTCGCCCCCTTAGGCACGAAGCATCATGAGGTGCGACAACGGGAAGGCTGCGGGGATTGTCAGAGCTCCTGCTGCACAGTTGCCTTCAGTTTCCTTTACCGATGTAAAAATATTGTATAATACAGTTTTGTCTCCATACAATTGTACTTGCCAAGCTAGTATGTTAAAATACTTTTATTTATTTGTTTGGGGCAGTGTGTGTGTATATATATATATATATATATATATATATATATATACATACAGTTCCTGTTTTATATTCCTAGCTCATTGGAAGCCATGTATGCTGTAAATGTGCTAGTCTTTAGAATGACAGACAATAAATCACTGACAAGAACATAAGCTGGGTCTTGCCTGGTCCTTCCTCACACCGGGGTACAGGCTGGACAGGCAGCACTGCCCAGCATATCCTTGTGGGGCACTGCATTTTGTACACTGGGAAGCATGGGCCCCTGTGCAAGGCTAATGCTTTAAACCGTGTCACTCCTTTCAGAGCAGAGGGACAGCGGGGTGTGGGTGAGGAGCAGACACTGGGGCAGGCAGTCCCAGCTCCCATCCAAGTTCTGCTACCCACAAGCTGGTGACTTGGATGGAGCAAGTTGCTTGACCTCTATGAGCAAATGGTAAGTTCCTGGTGAAGTGGCTGGGAGCTGCGTGGCAGCAAGTGTGGTTGTCTTTCTCCATCCATACACGGGGTCACAAAGTGCCTGTGGGCCACCTGGCCCTCAAGGGACTAGCAGAGTACAGTGTCACTCATGGCACGGGCACCCAGTGATGCCTTGTCTGAAGCGTTCCTGACTTTGTTAGCATGAACGTGCTTCTCCAGGAGCTCCCACCCCAGCTGCAGTAGGCACTTCCCTTCCTTCCCCCAGCTCTGGACATGGAGTCTCATCTCAGTTCCCATCTCTCTGGTTAGCATGAGCATCAAGGGTCTTTAAAGCCTTGCTGGCACTTGTCTTTTTGACTGTATTGGTCCTTTCTGTGTCAGTGCTTTCATATGGGATGTTTTCAGCCCCATCACATGTTGAAGTGTCTGAGCTCTTCGATACAGGAGTTGTCAAGATACAAAGTTGTAAAGCTTTACAGAGTTGAGTGTACCTGTCTTTTTCTATGTGATGCTCTTCCTGTTGATGGAATGTAAACTGGTGTGGCTGCCGGGAAAAGTATATTGGTTCCTTAAAAACTAAACAGAATGACCATATGACCCAGCAGTTCTGCTGATGGATACATGCTCACGGTTGAAAGGAGGGTCTCAGGGACATTTGTACATCTGTGTTCATAGCGGCATCATTCACAGAAACTCAAAGGTGGAAGAAACTCATGTACAAGTAAACAACATACACACACGGGAATATTATTTGGCCTTAAAAAGGGAATTCTGATATATGCAACATGGCAGAACCTTGAGGAGAGGGGAGGAGATGAAGTAAACTGTTGGCCAAAAAGAGAAAAATATTCCTGTGTCCACTGGAGGCACTCACATATTCATGTTAAAAACTCACCATTCAATAAAGAATCTGAAAAGGAAATTACAGTTCCATCAAAAAAAAAAAATGGTACCCTTAGGAGTTAACCAAAGAGGTAAAAATCACAGAGAAGTACTCAGGTTCATGCAGAATGGAATGGTGATGCCGGGAACACGGGGGTGTCCTCATGGTGGCGGGGAGTTGTTTAATGCGGAGGCACATCCACTGTTCCAAGTGAACGAACAGTTCAGGAAACCAGACAGCAGTACGAGGGTACTCAACACAGCTGAACTGAGCACTTAAAAATGATTAAGATGTTAAACTGTGTTACGTGTGTTTCTGTGTACTACAAAAAAACTCTGTCAGACATGGTGGTGCATGGCTAGAACCCCAGCACTTGGGAAGCTAAGGTAGGAGGGTCACAAGTTGAGGCCAGCCTAGAAAACTTAGCAGATAATGTTTCAAAATAAAATTTAAAAAGGGCTGAAGATGTAGCTCAGTGAGACAGTGCTTGTTCCCCAGCACTCTGGGTTTAGTTTCCAGTATCACACACAAAACTTTGTACAAGTCATCAATAAAAAGACAGACAAGCCAGCTGAAAACTGGACTGAGGACCTGCATAGGCTTTTGGCACTCCAAATGTTGAGCTGCATCATCACACAATCGTATAATCTACTCTTAGGTTTATACTTGAGAAATACGTTGTTCAGATGTCCATAGCTTTATCCATAATAGTGCCACAGTGAAGCAGTGCAGTGTTAATCACTGATGAGTGGGTAAACTAATGGAATGCCTATACTGGGAACATTACTCAGCAGGAAGCAGTGAGGTACACAGGAGCCACATTCCAGTGAACTTGGACAACATGGCAAGTGAAAGAAGCCAGTCACAACGTGCCACATACAACGTCCTCTAATTTCATTTCTATAACTAGCCCAGAGCAAGGCAGCCCTATAGAGACGACAGTATACTAGGGGTTGCCAGGAGTGGAGGGGAAGAAGTCAGGAGGCTGCCAGTGGGTATGAGTTTTTGGAGGGATGAAAACACCTTGGAGTTGTGGTGATAGCTGCCCCCTCTGTGGAGACACGATTGCTCTTCACTGATCTTCAGTGCCAGAAATAAAGTGGAGAGCTTGGATTCCTATTTGGCTCTACCTTATTGAGTGATCGAAATAAAATTACTGATTTTCAGGCTGGAGATACAGCTCAATACTAACCCTAACCCTAACCCTAACCCTGCATGCACATGACCCTGGATTTGAACCATACGGTACAAGGAAAAAAAAAAAAACCTACATTTTAAACTTTTCCAGCACTTTCTGTTTTTCTCCTTTGCTGTGAACAATATCTGTTGTTCCATTTTCGCAACAATCATCCAGTGTAACTCCCATGGTTATCAGGCACAGTGCATAGGACCCAGGCCTGGCCAAGATCAGGTGCCAGGACAGGTGATCCAGGGGAGACCCAAGCCCCTCGGTAGGATTTCATTTGTGGAACCTGGTAAGGAAAGTTTGCTTTTTCCCTTTCGGGTCTCAGATGTTAAGGCTGATACTGGTTTGCTCTGTGGACAGGGCCAGGCTGAGAGATGGAAGGAGCCTTGCAGTATCCTCTCGGCTTGGCACCCAGCTATGCCACAGGAGTTTGGCACTCCAGTGAATTGGTACAAATGAAGCATTTCCCCTCCGAGGAATCAAATGATTTATTTCAGAACCAAATAGGACCAAATGAGTAAAAAAAGTTTTATCCTAAACTCTTCCAATAAACCTCCTCTGGAGAGGCTTCACATGATGGACTGTGAGTCACATCATTGTAACTGGATTAAAGAGTCAAGTGTGAAAACAGCTTTCCCATTCCTTGTGCTTTAGGACAGTCCTCAACATCGCTCAACTTGATCCTCTAAAAATAATGGAGAGCAGAAGAAACATTTCCCTTACACAGATTGAAAGAATAGAATTCATCTGTTTTCCCCCCACTGTTATATGGAAAAAACGAATCCAACCAGCTGGACAGAGCAAAAGTTATTGGCTTTTCTGTGTTAATGACAAAAGAGAATCCTTTGTTGGTTTTCATCTTGCCTCAGCAAAATGATATCAATATCCTTTTCTTCCTCTGAATCTTGATCTGGCATCCAACTGAAAATAAATGTACAATTTAATCAAATTTGGTATAATTAGACACCTCTTTGGTAAGAGGTGTCAGTCACACATGAAAGAAGTAAATGAGTTTCTAACAAAATCAACTATCAGAACTAGTTGAAAAAAATAATAAAGTAATAAAAATGGCTCTAAAAACAACAGTTCCAGTTAAGGGTGATCAATAAGGATTTTGTTCTCAGGCAGGACCCAAACTCTACTTATCTTTTCCTTTGAACACTCTGTGTGGAGGTGCTTCTCAAAAACCTAAAATTCCAGTTAAGTTTTATTTAGATATATCAGAATCTTTAAATGGGGATACAAAAAAGGGAAGAGACCTTAAAAACATGAAGTAACACACACTTGATGTCTTGGAGTTGAAAGCCCTTAATGTGAGTTTCCCGCTAGCCTGATGGGACATTCCTTCATGTAAGCCTGTCTGCAGCCACTTCACAGGAGCCAGGAGAGTGGAGGTTTCTGAAGTCAGTGTTACGGTTTGTGTCTGGGTATCCCCCAAAGCCTCATGCAGTTATGGGTGGGGGCAGAACTTTTAGAGGTGGCTGAATCTAGAGTTTGTAATTGATTCAGTCTAGTGCTGGTATTAAGGGTGTGAGTGCTACACTTGCCCTAGGAGTATACACCCGCCCTGTTTCTATACGCTTTTGTCTTGTTGCTTTTGCTGTCTTCTGCTGCCATTAACTGTTGCCCCTCTGCCATGTGCCACCCTGCCTTGGTGACAGGCTATTATGAATTGAAACCTCTACAAACTGTGAGCCAAATAAAGCTGTCCTCCCTTAACTTTGTGTGTCAGGTGTTTTGTCTCATCAGTGAGAAAAAGGTAACTTAAGATAGTTAAGCATAAGGCCAAATTACATAGAAGGCAGGAATTGTTTTGGAGCTAGGCCTGGCAATGAGTCCAACACAGTCATATGGAACAACCAGCCACTTACTCAGCTGACTACCTAAGAGTCATTGCTGAAAAATGAGTCTTTAAACAGGAACCGTGGTCAGAATGGTGTACTGCTAAGCTATAACAGAACAGCAGACTCAAACTTGCCATCTCACCTTCAGTAGGACTTACCCTGTCTGAAACGGTAAGTAAAATTACCTGCATAATTTAAGTCATTGTGTTTCTGGATTGCCAAGCCTGTGTGAATGCAACTGATAAGCACGACATGACTGTCCCTATCCTGAGGACCAGCAGAGACTCCGGCCTTGGGGAAGAGCACAGGACCTGCTAGAGTCTGCTAGGAAGTTTCCCGGACTGCTCTTTTTTAATGTCACAGTAGGTAAAGTGCTGGGGAAGTCAGAGTACTTTCACTTTTCATTCAGGCAGGTAAACTGTGAAGAGTTGTAATTTCTTAATGTTTTTGGAGATCAAAGAATAACCTTCAGGCAAGTAATTTCAGGGAGTTTACTGTAAATTCAGCCATTAGATAGCGTTGCAAGGTACAACTCACAATCCCTTACCCTAACTGTTCTGACTTGTTAAACATGCTCTGATATTACTGACAAATGGAAAGGTTTCATCATACATCGTTAACAAAACTTCGTAAAGCAAGGAAAGAAACATTCTCCACTATGTTTAGTGATAGGAAGATATGGCAGAGAAGTTACTTGAACCTGAGAGATCAGTAATGTTTTCTTAGGGCCTCCTTCCATGACCCATCACTCCGGAATTCAAACTCACTGACACATTGCTCTAGCCACTTGGGCAAAAGTGCACACACCTTTGGCCTGGATGGTATGGGTTGGAGTGTAACCCAAGTGACCTGAGTTTATGGTGACTGCCATCAACTCTTGACCCACTTCTACTAACCGAGGCTTCGTTCTCACACTTTGTGGACCTTGAGGGTCTGCGCAGCCTCCGTCTGCATTCTGAGCAGGTAACAGCCATCAGTGAGGGCTCTTTCTGAATGCCACTGGATGTTTAACTCCCTGGAGTAACGGCCACTATCTGCAGACTTTTTTCCAAACTCTACCACTGCAACCTAATTATGATTATGAAGTCACTTGCCAATTTAACCCTACATGGCTGATTTGTAACATGAGCTTTTAAAAATGTTTTAAACACTTACCATTGATCTTTTACATTCAAAAAATGAGTATTTCAGAGCTTTGCAGTATCCTTCCTTCAAGCACTCCCGAGGGGATTTTCCTTCCTGTAACACACAACAGTACAAATACCTGAGGAAGTTTTCTCCCAGAGTACAAATCAGTACTGTCCTTAGAAGTACTGTCCTTCTAAACAGTTCTACTACAGACAAAAACAGTTAGATAAGCAATGCTTTGTTTTGATTGTTGCTGTTTAAAGAGAAAAGGCTTACAATGAAAAAAATGCAAAATAAATTTTGGGTAGTTTATGGGAGCTCTTCAGCTTTTGAAAACACTGGTTCAGTGGGACACTTTACTGTGTTTACATAAACATTTAGAAACTGGCATCTCCCTCAGGCACCCTAAAACCTGAACCTTGTCAGTGGTGGTAGGAAACGCTTTCCACGGGTGCAGAAAAGGGAGGCTGGGGATCATCTGTAGGACAATGTGGCCCCATGTTACCTGCTTTGCAGCCATGCCTTTCCCTTCCAGGAAACAGATTCTCCAGGCCAGCCTGGGGACCTGTCCCCCTGAGCCTTTCTTCACCAGTGAGTCATACTTTCCTAGTTTTCACTACGAAACAAGCTCCCAAGTGCCATGCCTGTAGTGTTCCTGTTCCTAGGAATCTTGGCCTCTTTCTAGTCTGGGTCCCCTGTTTCAATTGTCATCAACATCAGTGACTCAAAAGTGGAGCACCATAGTAAGCGTCCTTGTGCTGCTCCCTGCCTCCTGAAATTCAGCACTGTCACTGATGGGGTAAATGCCACAGGAAGGATATGGGGGCAGACAAAAGACTGCAACTATATAAGCTGATGCATCCCTAAGCTGTATCTAAGATGCTACCATTTTCATAAGGCTTCAGCTTACACTGCAACTGCCTAGCAGAAAGATCCATCAAGATACACTAAAGCTGAGCGAGAAATAGTACTTCACCTCCACACCCTTCCCAGTGAGACTACTCCTTGTCTCTTAATAGCCACTTTTCCTTTTTAGTCACACACATGGTTGAGCCACACTTCTGTGACTCAGATTTCTGTGAACTAACTCCTGTGAGTTCTAGCATCCCTCTTTCTCCTGCTTTAAGTCATAAGACTATAAAGCCTGAGGTGTGGCAAGGCTATGGTGGACCACGAGTCAGAAAGCAGCATCCTGTTTCCCGTTACAGTACCTAGGGCGGTAACATCAGCTGTGCACGGGTCCATGGAAGACACAGAAGCCACCCAGGCCCTATTCATAAAGACATAAGAGCAAAGGCAAGGACTCTGCCTTGCATAAGCCACTCATACTATCTCCTAATACACTTCCATGCCTTTTTGCCTTCTGAGATCAAAGTCAGCCCTTGCTCCCCAAAACGGCTGTGCCAGGAACCAACACTGCAGACATTTAACTCATGAGGCTGTGGTGACAGCAGTGCAATCTACTTTCAAGCTCTCCTGCTTCACCTGTCGGTGATTCTGAAAAGCCAGTGGGTCTGTCAGTTGAGCCTTTCTGATCTCCAGGAATCATAAAGAACTCCAAGAAGTCTACCTCAGAGTTGCCTTTGTACTGGCTTTTTCTCTCACTTCACCTCTGGAACTTACATTCTTCTCACCACGACCCTGAGCTTCTCTGGGTCCCTACAGCTCTTGACTGTCTCACCTAGAACTAAATACTCATGGATGTTGGCCTTTTCCCTCCAGTGAGACTGCAGGTTCCAGGTGGGTCAGACTGGTGGGGAGTACCACCCATCTGCCTGAAGATCAGAGTGAGTTCTTTACTCCATAAGCTAAGGCATCAGGTCTCCACACAGAGCAGACCAGACCTCAGGAGTTATCCTGGCATCAGAATCCTAGTGGGAATGGTTTGCAGGTGTAACCATGACACCAAAGCTCGATACTCTGCCTCACCACTGCCCTTCCACACTAGCTGATGTCACCATCAAGGATTGACATAAACTACAAATGCAGTTCAAGCCGAAGGACTGTTTATAAACATCAGCTTCTTCTGGTGGGCCACATTTAGCATCAGTAAAGCTGGGAGGAACAGCGAGCCTGCACCAGGTGTCCTGGTCATGATCTCTATCTAGCTCTGGGAAGCTGTCTAGCTTCCCAGAGGCCCACTTTCTATACATGACAAAGACATCCCATTCATCGGTACTGAACGTGTTCTTTGAGAGTGCTGGCACTTGGAAATGTGTTCATTCCATCACTGCCAAAACAAGGCAACAACAACAACAAAAAAAACTCCATTATTCTTGCTACTGGTACTGTCTTACTACTAGTACTGAGCCTACTCTTCTCTTCCATTGCTGGCCTCTATAGCACTCCTGGTGGTGAAAGTCAGAAGAAATCCCAGCTCCTCCTCTGATACATAGGGGCCTTCAAAAGAAATAGCGACCACCTCTCAAGCCTTCTGCCCATCTCTGCGCCAGGCCTCGCAGGCCCCTCTGTGGGCCCTGCCACATCTCCATGCCACTGCGCTTGCTGTGCAAATTCCCTCCACAATTCTAAGAGCTGCTACTCCTTTATTTGATAAACTGCTACTCAGCCTTTAAGTCTCAGGCCCAAAGGTCACCTCCTCTGTGAGAAGTTCCCAACTTCCAAAGCACAGTTTTTTCCTCTAGACTCTAAACAAGTATTTACTAAATGGTTCTTTCAGGCTTTATTATTGAAATTGAATCCCATGCATGTCAGTAAAAGTTCATGTCTGAAGTAAAATTGTTTTTGTGTCATCAGTGCCTGGCACTATACCTGCCACTAAGCAGGCATTTATGAGGATCTTGCTGAACATAGTGAATAAAGCAGCAAATTTAAAATGTCCCTGGATGTGGGAGTCTGGAGCCACAGGCATCTCAGTTTCCTTATCTGTATAAAAACGTTGGATTTGATAATCTCATTTTTATAACAACTCTCCAGTTTTACTAGTTTGTTGTTTTGCTTTTTTTTGTTGACTCTTAACTGCTAAAATCAGTAAACCAGTCAGAAATCGTGACTCAGTAGAAACACAGAGGCTGGTCATCCATTTGGGGGCAGTAGTCATTTTTTGGAAAGGCAAGCAGCTTTTTGAAACCACAACCCCAAATGCAGATACTGCATACAACTGATGGCCCTCTCACCAGGCCTCCGGAAGGAAGACTTTTGTGTGCTTTACTCAGGTTCAAAAAGCTGAGTCTGGGGTCAGATCTGAACTTCACTGTGTCTCACAGCAGTCAGGTCAAGGGCAGAGAAGCCCTGGGACTGTAGCAAGGGAAGAAATGGGGATGTGGGTACAAAAAGGTGACGATGTATCACTTAACGTCCAAGAATGTAAAGTACTTCAACTCCAGAAACAAATTACTGTAAAACCAACACAAGACAAATACAGAGCAGCATTAGGCCAAGCTAACAGTTTCTTAACTTCTAGCCCGTACTGCGTGCCAGGTCAGGTTTTTATGGGACGCTAACATTTTTTTTGTACATTCTCATCTCTTAATTCGCTCAAGAAAGCTCTTATGCTGCCTATGTCTCCAGGATTTCGTAGCCTGCCAGCATCCAATGTTTTTTGAACCAAAATGGCTTAATATTTATAAAAACCCGACGGGGCGGGTATGGCTATCCGCTACGGAGCCAGAAGGAACGGAGGCTCTGATAGCTCAGGGATCGGCCGGAGTTCAGTAGCTGGAGCTGTAACCCACACCCACCCAGGTCACGATGAGCACCGGGGGCCGACAGAGAGGCCTCCGCCGGGCCGGCCACCTGCACGCAGGAGTGGTCACCCCCCCGGAGTGCCCGGCCGCGCTACCTGCAGCACACAGTCGGACTGCAGCAAGCATGCCCCCAGGTCCTCCTTCAAACCCGCGCACGCGCCGCCCTGTGGCTTGTCCTCGTAATAACGGGGCATGACAAAACTGCCCGCCTGCCGCCGTCTAGACTCCCTTGGTCTTCAATCGCTATCACCTGGCTGGGGGAAGAACGACGCCCACTGCCGAAGAAACCGGAAAGGTCAAGTAACTTCCGGTAGGTCTCTGACTGTCGGGCGGAAAGACTACGAGTCCCGAGAGGCATAGCGTGCGCGACGGAAGTGGACAGACGTGGTGTAATGAGGCGCGCCCTGAGCGCCGGCTACGTAGCGGGAAGGGAAGTTGGCCCCGTCGCGGCTGGGCTCGGCTTCTGGGCCTTGGTGGCAAGAGTATCTTTGGCTTGAGGCCACACCAGAGCCCCAGGTGAGACATGACAGCTTCTCCAGCCGCGTGCAACTCATGTTCCTACGGAGGTCCTTTCCTCTTGCAGTTCGTGGCCGGACATCACGGCCATTAGGCCGTGACCGTTCCCTTGGCCAGCCCCCGAGGCGCTGGGCCCAGTGGAGTCGAGTTGCTGGATAAAATCAAGGGCTCTCATTTACATTGGAGTGACAGATAAAGTAATAATTTTTAACATAAATGTGTCCGAAATAGTTCTTGGGACTCATTGCTTGTTCGAAATTCCAGTGTAACTGGGCGGAGTGTGTTATTTGCCAACTCCTGACAGCCGCACCTGAAGCCCAGGGCTAAAGGGAAGGCACCTGGGCAGGGCGGGGCAAGGCGCTACTTGGCGTCCCGGAAGCCTACGAAGTGGAGTGGGGACGGGACAGTGAGTGTGGGGATCAGGCTTCGCTCATCCCCTTGGAACCAGCTGGACTGGACTCCCACGCTGTGGTTCCTCCAGGTGGACTATTCTGGGAGTACAGCACTGTGGAGTTTTGCTTTGTTTCAATGGCGCCTTCTAATGAACGAGGATCTTGCTGGGTGTACGCTGCTGGACTGTGTGAATAACGTTGCTTTCTAATCGATTTAAAAGCTTAAAAGCTTGGTGATTTAAAAATTAGAATTTTGGCCTAGAGTTCCACCGTGGCGGCGTCATAGTCGTGCCTGTAAAGAGTTCACTTTGCCTCCCTGTTACTTCTTTGCTCCTCCTCTGCTAACATTAGCTGCCTGGGAGGGCTGAGGATAGAGTGAGGCCCATGGATTGTGATTAAATGTTGTTATATGGTTCTCAGGGCGTGGCACTGCCCTAGCCAGAGTTGCAGTCGGCAGTTTTCCAGCCCCAAGACGTCCCTCTGGTATCAGTTTGCAGTAGGTTTGCTTTTGACCCCTGACCTCTCAGAGGGTGGAAAAAACCATAAACCTTCCTTGCTTAATAATTCGGAAGAGGGATTGCTGGTAGCTAACAGGTTTCTTCGGATTATGTGCAAAAGGAATCTTTTTCTTCCCTCTAGAAAGATGTTACCAAGCACTTCAGTGAATTCCTCAATGCATGGGAATGGAGTCTTGAGTTCCAGGGATGCAGCAAGACACACGGCTGGAGCAAAGCGCTACAAATATCTCAGAAGACTTTTTCGTTTTCGGCAGATGGATTTTGAGTTTGCTGCCTGGCAGATGCTGTACCTATTCACCTCCCCACAGAGGGTTTATAGAAACTTTCATTACAGGAAGCAGACGAAGGACCAGTGGGCCAGAGATGACCCTGCTTTCTTGGTCCTGTTAAGTATCTGGCTCTGTGGTAAGTCCTGCTTTGTTTCTCTCCCATAGAGCCCAAGAAAGAATTGACTGTGTCAGATTAGGCTTGTTACCTGGAGGATCTTTTGATATTTATTGTGTTGTGGGTCTGAATTTGAGGACATTTGTAACTGTTTCTTTTTCCTGAATCTTCAAAAATCTCATAAAAAGGAGATGTCTTCCATATTTCAAGCAGATGCTGAGTAAATTAAATTGCTTACTTCAGGATTTGAAAAGCAGGGGATAAGATCCACTCTATGTCTTTTAGCTACTGCAAACTGATACCAAATTCCATCTTGTCATGAAAAGGAATATCAGGATTGGAAATTGCACTTCACAATTAGTCAAATGCAGAGCTTTAAAAGTGCTGATGTGAGCATGAAAACTTGCTTCTAAGTTTTCCAGTAATGTTTTGAATGGGTGCTAGTCTTTGCCTAAGCTGTGTAAAGTTTTGAAGTGTGTAGAGTGTTCTTCACCGTAACTGGATTCCAGATGTGTGAGGTCCTTCCTATGCCAGCACTCTTCTGAATGCCATGGCTACTATGTTGAATTCCCATGCCAGGAGCCCTGCTCAGTAAGTTTCATAGATCTGCATTCCAAAGTGGTTTGATTTTCTATGTCAGTTACATAAAACACATCTTTGGAGTTTTATTTCATTGTCTGTGTGAGAATCTGGTGACCAAGTATATTAGTTTTGCATCACTGGAACAAAATATCTGACTAACCTAAGAAGAGGAAATGTTTATTTTGGTTCATGGTTTGGAGGTTTCAGTCCATGGTCATTGACCTGTTGTGGGCTTGTGGTGAGGCAGAACAACATGGTGGGGAGTTTGTGACACAGCAGAAATGTTCACCTCATGATGCAGGGTAGTAAGGAGGGCCGGGAGGGGGTTGTTATCATAACCCCTTCCTGGATGCTCTCTCAGGAGCCTAACCCTCGGCTTCTGCTGGGCCCCACCTCCTGAAAGTTCCAGCTCCTCCTGGTCGTACCACAGGCTAGCAGCCAAACCTTTAGGACCTAGCCCTTCAGGGGACATTTAACACTTCAACCATAGCACCAGGGAATGTGTCCTGTAGCCCCAGAGCCTAGCACAATGCCTGAGTGAATCTTGTAAATCTTTCTTTCAGTGTCCACTATAGGATTTGGTTTTGTGCTGGACATGGGATTTTTTGAGACAATAAAACTTCTCCTGTGGGTAGTATTCATAGACTGTGTGGGCGTTGGCCTTCTGATATCAACCCTAATGTGGTGAGTACCACTAATTTTGGTTTTTTAGATACTGTAGAGCATGTATGTGTTTCCTTCAGATATACAATAGCTGATGGAAATTGAAACCAAGATAAAGTACCTGAAATTAGTTTTGCTGCCAAAAGGTTCTAACTTGCCTTCCTGTGTTGCTACCATTATCAGGAAGTTCTCTAAAGGGGTGTTCTATATTATCAGTGTGGCCAATAGTAGAAATGAGATATGTATCATATTAATAGACTCCTGGTTTTACAAAAATGCATTTATCAGTTCTGTTTAAGCTGTGTGATGGCTTTTACCATTTTCTACATTTGCTAGTAGGAACAGCTCCAGATGTAGGGAAGTGTTCTGCAGTGATCAGACCCATTTAGACCCAGAGGATTATTTCAGGGAATCTTACTTTGAATCTTTGATATCAGATGAAGTACACTGGAAAAAAGAACTTTAAAAGAAAAATGAACTCTAGTTCCTTTTGGCTGAGAGACACGCACATGCACACAGGTTTCAGAGAAAGGGCTCCGGGTCTCCCCTGGCCTGGGAGTGACTGACCACCAGCAGTGCTCCTGGGGGTAAACCTTCCACCTGGCCTTTTCTCCTGGGATCGTGCTGCTCTGGGCTGGTCCACAGGCTGGGGGCAGTGTGTGCAGCCAGGGCTTAGGCAGGTGTGCTGGCCAATGCATATCCAGGAAACTTGGACTGTTTGAGCCCCAGGGTGGCCCATGTTTAGTTTATAGCACTGTCATTTGCATAACTCTAGATTCAGTCTCCTCTTTTGCCAATGGAGTTGATCTTTTTTGTCAGGTTTCTGTGGGGGCATTGTGGTGTGAGAAAGTACCTGGCACATGTTAAGTGCTCAGTGTATGGAAGCTATTAATATTTTACTCAAGACTGGGATCTGTGATGATACCGCCCTTGCATTATCCTTTGTGACTTTGGACTGATAAAGTGCAGGTCCTGTGCTAGGTAGTTAGGAAGTGCTGTGCACCGTTAACCTAAAATAAATACTGACGACTGTTGCTATCGAGGTAGCCACGGGGAAGACATAGTATGTGGAAAAACAGAAGAAGTTAGGCCTTCAGAGGAGTGGTTGTGTCTGTAGCAAGCACTGTGCTAGGAGTGTGGCGACTCTGGTGGCCACAGAGTCTAAGTCGCCCCGAGCCAACACCTTCAGCAGGAGTCTGTCTCAGGGTTTCTGTTCAATAAACAAGGACTCCACTTACTGATTTTGAAAAGCTGTGCTGTATTGTGAGGAACTAGAAATGATTCTGTGTACATCTAGTCATCTCAGTAGCACCACACAAACTAACATCAGCTGGCCTTTTTAGGAAGACAGAGGATTCAGGGCACCAGGAGTAAGGGCAGAGGTGTGTGGCAGCACACCAGGTGCGGGGCCAGAGGGTGACACCACATAGGGAGACATGAGCATAGCCAAGTTGGCTTTGGAGCAGCTCAGGAAACTGACACTGCACATGAGGCTGGAGGGGGGCGAAGCCCTGGGATGGGTTTTGTGCAGTGAGGGAGAGAGGGGACAAAGCGGGAAGAACTGCAGGGGACCCCAGACAGTGTGGCAGTGACAGGCATGGATGCCGAGGCGAGTCCGGTGAGGGTGCCTGTCGCAGCGGGACCTGGCAAGGGCGGCAGAGCCTCAGAGTCCGGGGATTGGCACTGAGCATTTGATGTGGGGCACTTAGAGCCTGAGAGCGCTCATGGAGCGTTCACCAGAAACAGAGGTCAGGGGACACTGGGACAGAGGACTCCGCAGTGTGGCCGACATATGCAGTGGCCTTTGTGCCCACCGATGGGATGGCTGGGGCCAGGGCAGTGGCTGTCTAAGGGCCCTCTGGGGAGCCAAGGCCAGGCTGCTGCCGGGACTCTAACTGCCAAAGCACATGTTTGTGGCTGCACGTGACTGTGTGTGTGTGCTGCGCAGGGAGCAAGTGAGAGCCACTAGCGTTTCTGTCACCATCAGCATTTATGGGCTTTGTGTCTGGCAGCTTTTAGCTTCTAGTTCTTTATGAAATGTGGAAATGCGAGACGCACTGCAAGTTGCATCTGCCTGCTGTGCCGGGGACCCAAGAGCTTGGTCCTCCTGTGTTTGGACTTTGATGCCCTTCATTCACACCCCTCTGTGCTCCCCACCCTCCTACCCACTAGGGACCACTTCTCTCTCCTTCCATGGTTTCAGCTGTTCTGTCACCTCTGAGAACACCGGGCCTGTCTGTCTGTGCCTGGCTTATCGCCCTTGTTCTGCAGACTTAATTCTTGTGCTCTTGGCTGAGACAGAATGTGTGAATGGGTGAGTTGTGGTGTCCCAGTAAGGCAGTATTATTTTTGACATTTTTAGATAACTGAGTGCAGGACTGTTTATTATACCATGTTCTGTTTCTTTGTCTTCTGCTTTTATCGCCACTGTAGGAAGAGCATTTTCTTAATTGTATCCTTGCATTGAAATGCAGTGACACATAAAAGGGTGCATGGACTTTCTCCAGATCCTAAGTGATCAGCTTTGGCTTTTCTTTGAAGAGCTGCTTTTGTGTCCCCTGGCTGTGGTATCCGTTCACCACTATGCTGCACTAGTGGCCGCTCGGGCCACGTGGTAGCAGCACCGGACACTCGAGCAGCTCCTCCGTGGCCAGATGCAGTGTGGCCACTTTGCTGTGTTTCATCATACTCGCCTCCCCTTTTAACTGGAGGCCCACCCGGGTTACAGACCTGAACACATCTGCTGTTTATTCTTTCGATGACATCAGTCAGTAGCCTGGCTTTCAGTATCATCTACACACAAGTGAGGTTTTGTTTGTTTACACATGGAGCCAGGGCATTTGCACTGAGCTGCACCCCCAGCCCTTTGTGAAATTTTGAGACAGGGTCATGCCAAGTCACTGCATGGTCTCGGCTGGGCTCGAATTTGCAGTCGTCCTGCCTCAGCCTCCCAGAGTGCTGAGATTTTGGTGGCTGATGAGCTGATGGGTTTCTCCCCAGCGTGGACCCGGCCCTTGGGCCGTGGGCCTCCCTGCAGCACCTTGCTGTGCACCTATAGGCATCTTTACCATGGCGGGTGCGTCTCAGACGCCCACTGCTCCGCGCAGCCATTAGGGAGACCGGGTGGTAACATTTGTCACACACGTCTTGCGGCTCCACAGTGGCTTCTCAGTAGCTACTCTGTAAAAGCACCAGGTCTCTCAAGGGCCAGCGGCCTCTGAAGCCCTGGTTCTGCCTGCCCGCGCCACGCCCACTGCAGGGCTCGCCGCAGGCCCTCCTTCCTCACTTCACAGCCCTCGCGTGTGAGGCCGATTCGCAGGCGCAGCCGGTGCTGCTCCGCAGTCTCGTCCCCCAGTTAAGGCAGTGAGTTTGCCATTCATTTTAAAATTTTTATTTGTCATGTTTGCAGTATACGATTACATGTCCGTGGGGCATTTGTACACAGTTCTGCCCCTGCCCTGCCCTCCTCCCGCTTCTCTTCCCTTTTGCAAGTTTTCATTTTTTTTCATTTTTTTTTCCAACTTTTTGTTAATCGCTTTTTCCTTCCTCCCCATCTCGTTGCCCTACTTGTTTGAAAGAGACTCCCCTACTTCCTCATAGCTTTTATTTGGCTCTTACATTTTGGGGCCCTCATGTAAGAGAAACCATGTGCCATTTAAACTCTGGCGTGATTTATGTCACTTACTCCGAGGTCTCCAGGCCACGGGGAGACCTCTCTGCGGCCCCTGGGGGCTAGGAGGTGCCTGGCTGTGGAAGGGTGGGAGCAGCGAGTTTGTTGCTGTGAAGGAACCGCGTTTCGCTCCTCAGGTTCATCGCTAACAAGTACCTGGTGAAGCGCCAGAGCAGAGACTACGACGTGGAGTGGGGCTATGCCTTCGACGTGCACCTGAACGCTTTCTACCCGCTCCTCGTCATCCTGCATTTCATCCAGCTCTTCTTCATCAACCGTAAGTGGTAGGAACCTTCCCGAGTGTGACCGATGTGCGCGGGCCAGACACTCACTGTCTGCATTTCTTCTGGCAGATGTTATCCTGACGGACACGTTTATCGGGTATTTAGTTGGAAACACCTTGTGGCTAATTGCAGTTGGCTATTACATCTACGTGACCTTCCTAGGCTACAGCGGTAAGTGTCCTTGAAGTTCCAGCTAGTGCCCGGCAGGCCAGGCGGTACTGGCCTTACTCCTCCTAATGCTGCTGCTGGGATTCAGGTTCATTTGTTCACCACTTTTCAAGTAAAAGGACTTGACCTGCCCATGGCCACACAGCGAGATGGGGGCATGGCTGGTGCACAGTGTTTCCTGACCTTAAGAGCCATGCTGGATCTGCCTATGCCCAAGTGATTCGGGAATCCGGGGCCATTTTGCTCCTCCTCCTCCTCCCCCAGGGCCCCAGTTAGTAAGAGTGTTGTGCAAGGAGAAAAGGTGGAGGCTGCAGTAGGGGACCACAGGTGCCCTGGCGGCATGCCTGTACGCTTGGTCACCTTGAAGGCTGGTGATGGCTGCGATGCTTCTGAGAGCTTACGGGCCAGGCCTTTCTTAAATCCTGCTTCCGGTTCATCTTTCTGAATGGACTTGAAGAACACTCTTATCCTTAAAGTTCCTCAGCATTTTGTATATAATTCACATGTGTACAGTCGCGTGTCCACACACAGCCTTGCCTTTCCCTGGTAGTGGGCACCTCACTGTAATGGTCACTTGCACCCACTCTATCCCTTAGCCAAGGATCTTCATTCCCTCTTATCAAACTCTTGCTTGGGGCATCAAGAGTCCCTTTCTAGGCCAGGGCAGAGGCTTATGACTTTATATTCAGGCTTCTAGTGAACTTTTTAGCTGTGACCAGGGCCATGCCACAGCACTGTGGCTTCTCTAAGTGGACTCGGGGCCACGCTGTCCTGCAGAGTGCTTTGCATGCAGGTGGTCTCCACTTAGGACCTTCCATGTGAGGATTGGGTCACACTGTGTGGGACAGGGCCTGCTACCAGTAGGTAAGGGACATGGGGACCTGGGTCAGACTTTTGTAAAATACAGTTTTTAGTTCTTTCCTAAAGGTAGGTGTGATGTTTGTACACTGGGTAATGTCCGATAGCTAAAGTGTGATGTCCTGTCTACATTTTAAGGCTGGGGATGGTGGCGCACACATTGAATGCCAGCCGGGCCATTCACTGAGGCCCTGGCTAATACTCAGCGCCAGAAGGAAACAGGCTCCTGTGGGGTGCTCAGCCCTGCTCAGCCTGCTCCTGCAGCAGCAAGGCTGCAGCTCCCACTCCCTCCCTCCTAGGCGAGGAGGACATGCTAGAGTGGCGCTGGGCAGCCTCAGGCGGCCGTCTTGCCGAGTTCACTTAGTCCTGGGTCGTGTTTTATAAATCAGCCTGATTTCTTTTCCAGCACTGCCCTTTTTGAAAAACACCGTGATTCTTCTATACCCCTTTGCTCCGCTCATCCTGCTGTATGGACTGTCTCTCGCGCTGGGCTGGAACTTCACTCACACCCTATGTTCCTTCTACAAGTACAGAGTGAAGTGAGCAGAAGCCTGGTGGCCAGCCCCTTGTAACCATGGCAATAGCAGGGGCTGGCGTTCCTGTAAAACCTGTAAATAAACTCTGTAGATATCTTAAAGATGTAAAGTTTACAATTTGAGGAGATGGATGTTAACACTATTGACAAGTGCATTCCTTAAGACTACTGTGCATTTCTATAATAAATATTTTTAACTAACACATGCATATTTGTATTTCTACTCACAGAGCTATATATAAAATGCCAAGGGCCTGAGGAAATAGCAGTGTGAAGCTTTTCATTATTTTGAGAGAATGTGGTCATCACTGCATACCTGTTACAAGGTGCTGAGTCTCCCCATTTCTAAACACAGGGCTGGGGGAGCCCAGCTCACCCTCATGACCTGCAGGGCAGCCCACACGAGCCGCTGTATGAGACGCCCTGACAGCAGCAGCATTTCTCACGGGGAAAAAACCAAGGACAACCCACAAATAATCAGAGCCACATGGCCAGTAGGTGACAGTGCAGATTCCTGTGTAAATACTGACAGTTCCTAACAGAGCTTTTCTTCTGAAGACTTCCCAGAGCTCAACCAGAGCCCCAATGAAGTACTCTTGTGTATGACTGAAAATAGATCAGCTATCATGTCAGTTCTAAACAAAACCCCACTCGTCAGTTCCACCTAGCTTCCTTAGAAGGACTCTTCACTTCAGTGTGGCTTTCAAAGTTCTTTATTTCAAATACACAAGAATGGCTGTAGCACAAACAGGGATGAAAGGCACAGTCAACAGGACCAGTTGTCAGGATTTCAGTTATAGCAGCAAACTGGAAAATAAATAATCTTCCTTTAAAAATCCAACAGGTACCTAAAGTATCACTAAATATATTAACTGTCCAACCCATGAAGACATTTTCAGGAAAATATGTACAATACATTTGAGAAGAAAAATCGGGTGCAGCCCGGCAGACCCTCTGGCGGCCTCTCCAGAGCCCGCCCGCAAGCAGAAGCGCCTGCCCGGAGGAAGCGCAGACGGCGCGCAGGTGAACCAGAACCGTTAGGCTCAGCGGAGTCTAAGTCTTCTAGAAAACGGACTGTGTCTACTGAGGCTCGAGTCTGCTGGCAGTGCATCTTACAGTACTGTCGACATCAGCCACTTTTAAGGCTCAGAAATGTCTTCAAAGGTATTTTCACCAAATTGGGGCAAACACAGCATTTCAGAGAAGCAAAGGAATGCTAACCAAGCGGGCGTGCCGAACCTAGCACGCTACAATAGTCTGCTAATGACCACTGCAACGAAACTAAGAGCAAGTAATGCAAGATGACCTCCCTGGTGTCCAGGAGTGTGGAAATAGTCCCCACGAGGAGGATCCTTATTTCAGACCAGTTTTCCCACTGCTGTCCCTTAGGCCTTACTACAGTGTTAACTCTTCCTTTGCTGCTTAAAGTCGCCTCCTTCTCGGCCCACACACATGATCCAGCCAAGTCCTTCTCTCTTTACTCTTTGAGAAAAATCTTAGTGCCCAAAAACTGGAGAAAGGAATGTTTCAGGTGAGAAGGGTTCACCTGGCCAGTGATGATGGAGGGTACCTGTAACAAAATCCTTGATTTGGCTGCTGTTTAAAAAAAATAATACTGTTGTCTTTTTAGCACTGTATCTTCACATGCATTAAAGAAATAAAGTAAGCATACTGGTTGTCATAGCATATATCAGTTAACATTAATTTAAAATTTTACCACTATTAAAGTTTATAACCTATAAATACTGGTAACGTAGCTTGGGAAAGTTTCCTTTTTTATAAAGAAACTGGATTGGAATTCTATGTTCCCTTACAACGTGAAGAGATGATTATGACACAAATTTGTGATCTTTTGACAATCTAGTGGCCTCTGATTTTCTTTCTTTTAGCTCTACTGGTCTTACATGAGGGCTATGGCAATCTAGTAAAACTGAGCACAGAAATGGATAAGCCAAAGTATAAGCTTCATTAGCAATTAACAGCTTAGCAGCAAAGAGGTATTTTAAAAAGCATCAAAGTACAAAAATTTGGTTGGCACAACTAAGAGTTTGATCTGTATTAAACTGACTTTAAAAACAAGTCCCTCATACAAATTACCTAAGCTCTATGGAAAGGCAGGTGTTTTTTTCTCTTAATTTGGCATCTCTACAATACCACTGTGCATCATCCTTCTGTCACACTTCGGAGCAGTCTCTGCGTCAGTACGAACATGTCACTCATGGTCCGCGGGTGTTCCTCCCGCAGCGCTAAGACCCTGGCAAAACGCTAGTGCTCTTTCACTGCTAACGAAGAGTCTTCTGGCAGAGAACATTCTCGCTGAAGCCTAGGAATATAATCTACTGAAGATTCTACCCATGTGTTTATCAAAATTTTAAAAATCCAGTGCACTATCAGGAATCCAGGACGGAGACGTCTCTACCGCTTTCAGAGACAAAGTGACTCTGTTCAGTCACTGCGAACAGTGAAGCCCAAGTCTAACACAGCTCAGCCCCACCCAGTCAGCTCAGGTATGCAGGCCTAGGTGAGCTCAGTTCAGGGTCCCGCCAAGCTGGGAGCCTGGTGCTGCTGGGCTGGGCGCTGAAGTCGGACCCACTTCTCAGCCTGTAAATGAAGCCTGTGCCCTGCTCTTGGTTCCCATGGCGACAGGCTGCAGACCCATTTTCCTGCCTAGCTGCCAGAGCCTCTCAACTCTATTCCTTCTCATGCAGCCCCTCCCCCCTCAAACCAATGGTGTTTTGAGGCATCCTCTGAGGAGACCTCTTTGAAAGGGCTGACATTGGATTAGTGACCCCCAATTGTCTCCCCTCTGCTCTGTATTACAGTATAATTGCAGACCCTGCAGTCACACCTCCGCGGGGGGCAGGGTGGGTTCTGTTACACAGGGTCTCAGGGTGGGGGCGGTCACCATTGCATTTTGCCTGAGCACAAACACGGGCTGCTCTTAACGGAACAATCTCCAATATGCTGTTTCCATCAAACCAAACTCCGAGAGACAGCATTGCTGGGAGACAGTTTTGTCCTTTCTTATTATGCAAGATTAAAAAGAAGCCTTTACCGCTTTGCTGATGGCTTTTGAAATAACCACACTTCTAATTCTTCATAGTGCAGCCACTGATTTGAAAAGCCAGGGTCCCTTTGCCTCCAGACATCGCTAATGACTGAATACATGCCTACATGTCCAGCCCACAGGCTATCTTACAAGTCCATGTTAAACTTTGTAACGTTTTCAGCCACTCTGTCTTGACTGCATGGCATGATACAGTACATGCCAAGCACATTCGACAAAAGAACCATGACATCGTGGACCTTGCCCCTAATACTCATCTGAATTATAATACATGGGTGTCTGCTTTTAACCTCATTAAGGAACTCAGGCTTCCGAAGTGTCATGTCAGCACTGTGGATGGGATACAATACGTCCGACAAAACTTCTTGCAAGGAAGGAATGATCTGTATCTCTGGTGTCCAGTTTGGTGGTCACTAGCTACAGAATACTTGAAACATAGCTAGTGCAAATGCAAAAGTAAGTTCTTTTTACTTTTTAAATAGTCACCCTGTGTCTAGTGGCTGTTGTGTAGGCCAGCACTGCTGCAAGGTCTGAATAGTTTATTCTGACGTACACACCAGCTGCTAACCGGTGCCCTTTACACCTATAATTAGCCCACCCTATGACACCCTTCTCATTCAGTACTTTGGTAAAAGTGGCCTGGTGTATTTATCTTCTTCCAGTTCCTGCCACTCTGCCCCAGCACTACCCTGCAGGGCTACCGCCATGGTTCCTTGCTTGGGGACACCAAGGCTGCCACTGACCACCTAGTGTTGGGTGGGATAAAAATAGGGGGCAACTAGCACAGATCACTCAGCACCTGCCACAGTGGACGGAGCAGTGCCAGTTACAGGCTGCCTCGTGAGCTCTGGGTTTGTCCGAAACACACACTCCTTGGGTTCAGAGGACAGTGTTTCTTCCCTAAGCCAGTCGGCGACTGAGGGACCACAAACTCACTGGGACTGCTAGCCCATTTGCACAGATTTCTACCTTCCGCTGCTCAGTGGCTTCAGCAGTAATCTATGCCAAAAGCTGGGGCAACATTTTGTAACAAAAGGTTATACCTCTTTTTGAAGACATTTATTTGTGGGCACTACGCTAAGGAAACTGGAGAAGAAAACTGAAAATAAAGTAAGATGATTGGAACCCCCAATAAAAAATTCTAACTGGACTTTGCTATAAAAATCATTATTGGGCCGGTCAGTGATACAGCTCAGTGGTACAGTAGCTGCCTGGCAAGTGCCAGGTCCTGAGTTCAATTCCCAGTACCAAAAACAAAATTATTGACATCATTATGGATTTTCCACTCAAGAAAAGTAAAAAGTAGGGCTGGGATTTACCTCGGTGTCATAAATGCCTGGCAAGTGCTAGGTAGTGAGTTTGATCCCCGGTACCAAAAAATAAAAATAAATAAAGTAAAAACTGTTACAACAGTGAGTGGTGGAAATAACGGTACCATGTCATCACCTCCTACCCGTCCCCCTTCATAACACTGCGGAAAACACTGCTTGGAGCTACCTGCTGTGCACACTGGATAACTGCCGAGGTTCGTCCCAGCTGAACCCACAGCCCACGCCTGCGCGGGGCCACCCACAGCCCAGAGGATGAGTCTCTGCAGCAGCCCTCTGGGTTGCCAGAGCAGCCTGGCTGGGAGTCGCTGCCCAGTTCACACCTCTGCTTGACAAAGATCCCTGACTGCTGAGGCGGATGAAATTCTTTCTTGACAGTAGAAACCTTTGGAACTGCGTGTGTGAAGAGTAATAAATGCTCTTTTTGGTCACATGATTTACTTGCAGGTTCATAACACAGTGCAGTAGAGAAAACCATTCTGGAAAAGCAACCGCTACAATACCTTTCACTGAAAATCAGTGTTACAATTTTTCTTTAAAATTATTCCCGTTATGACTCCTATGAGAACATGACATAGAAAACATTTGTCAGAACTCAGAAAATGAGAGCAGATATAAAAGGATCAAAGGACAGGACGCGTCTAACTCAGGAACTAAAGACAAAGACCAAAAGGAAAGAGGAGTTTCTCATCTTCACCGGAGGAGACCTTAGGCAGCCACCCGTTGGCGGCCGGTCAGACGCGTCACTCCCACACGCTGAGCTCCACCGAGCCTACTTCTCAGGGCTGCGCACCATACTTGGTACAGTAAAAGAACCCTCGGGAAGGACGCTGGTCTTTAAAATCTTGGCTTTGAAGAATGACAAATGCCTTTGAAAATATTTTGTTCAGAGTCGCTATGATTAGAAAAGTATTTCAGTTAAGAAATCCATCTACAGTCAATCTTCAATGGCAGTGCATTTGAAAAATGGCATTGATTTGTAATGTTTGCATTTTGAAAGAAAAAATATAGAAAGAACTTAAAAAAGCAAGGTAACATTTTCAAAAAAAGTATCGATTCCAAAATTTACTGCACAAAAATATGTACTCCTTAGGTGTTTCTAATAAATTAACATAACATTTGTATGTATGTATATATATATATATATATATATATATATATTATATATATATAATCCCTGATAATCTATAAAAGAGGGTTTATAATAGTAAAATAAATGAACTTCAAAAGTACCCCCTTCATAAAATGTATTTAACATTATTTTTTTCTCAAATTTAAGGAATGTAACAATATGTACAACTCTGTATGTATTAGTATAATACCAAAATAGTACAAGTCATATTAACAGGCTGTCATAATTGTAAAATGTTTGAGTCAAGTTAAAATTGGAGGACAATGTGACTTCAAATGAATACAATTATATCCATGGGTGATTCGCTTTCCAAGTGGAAATGACAATCATCTACAGTAGATTTCACAAGAGGTAGTGTTCGAGTTTTAAAGTACATGCTTAATTATCTTTAATGGACAGATCCAGAGGAAAACGGTGTTGATTTCTTAGATGCTCAATTGGTGATTTTTTTAATATGAATCTGAAATGCAAAATAATGACATGTGTAAGGCCATCGGTTTTCAATTTCAAGAAGGTCTTAAATGCAAACTGAAAATGTAGCATGATGCAATAGTACCTGAGGGGCGGCACGGATTTCACGGTCCTTACCTCGTTAAGAATGGCCCACACGGCAGAGTTCTGAATCACTGAAAGTCGGAAGGCTGCAATGGGATTCAGACTGGGGTCCACCATTCCTTCCGCTATGCCGTTCTCGAATTTCCCTTCAAAACAAAAATAGGATTCACTGGCCAATCCAAGATAAACACATACTAAACCACTGATTTAAAAAGACAGGAGAGGAATACACCAGTAGATATCAAAGCGGGATACATGGCTTTTCCACTTTAATTCAACTTTTAATATTTCATGCCATAGTGTTTGCTAGAAAAGAGGTAACCTACCTCATCGGGTGGAGCCAGACCTCTATGCTCACTCTGAATTTTAAAAATCTAACAATTATATTTGTTCTTATGTCAACGATGTTTTAGACTGCAGAATTTCAGCAAATTGTGACTTATTCAAAGTTTACCAAATCACTCAGGCTGATTGCCCTGAAGGTTGGGGCTGCAGTGCCCAGGTGGGTGATAAACCACACACACAGTGGCTGGCCTCATGCTGGGCTGGGGTCCCCTGTTTTCTCCCCTCAACGCAGCCCAACAATAATGGAGAAAAACCTCTCTTACAAGTCCTATATGAACAAGGACCAAGAACTTCTCTAAAAGGTTGTCAGGTTATAGGCTTCTTAGCACATTTTTCTTGCCCTAAGGAACACTATACTCCTTAAAACAAAGTAATAGGATGCACTCAGAAAAGTGCTAAGAAAATGGTTGCTTTTGGACTCAATTTCTCTAAACCAAGAATTGGCAAAACTTTTCCATAAAGGGCAGCTTTCATGGACCGAGAGGTAGATTGGGGTTACTAGGCAGATGCTTACATACAGAAAGAGAAAATAAACTCACAAAGTTTTCATTGGTGAAATTCAGTATCTATTAATAATTAAGTACAGGCTTTTTGTGTTTTGTTTTTATAACAGAAGTATAATAAAGAAGTCCTCAGTTTGATTCTGTATACAAAAAAAGTGAAATAAAAAGTATACAATTTTTTTCTTGGGACAACTTCATTTAAATGATTTCAGAATTAGTGTTTATTATCAGAACTCGGTGCACATGGTGTACAATGACACAGTTTATCTTGGCAAAGTCCTTGCACAGCCTAGGCACTGCCAAACACTAATGTCAAACCACAACACAGGATTTCAGTGGCACGTTCATCACTCAAAGCTACTTCTGGAATTCTATTAGATTTTTCTCTTTGGTTCACTTTGTAATATTTATTACATGACAGATAAATCATTTCTAACTGAAGGTTATGTGCATGCTCCTCACTACCCCAGGAAGGTTCTAAAGTGTGGAAAAATCTTTTTTATTTCGAGTGAGGTCCAAAATTGCTGGTGGACCTGCAGTTTTGGCTTAAAAAATTACAGAGCCCACCACAAAAATGTACACACACTTCAGGACGAGGAAACCTTGGATAAGTATTTTAATACTAAAGTTATTGAGACATCATGAAAAATCCTAACATGCCTGAGGACAAAGCAGTTTATCAAGTCAGTGTCTGGCGGGCATTAAAATATTTATCCAAGCTCTTCTTGTCCTGAAATGTGCATACATTGTGCGGTGGTCTCTGTATCTATTGTAAATGTGTGTAGGATGGAAATTTTGCCTCTTATTCTAACTTGTGACAGCATAAGAAGTGTATAAAGAGCTTTTACTTAATAGTTCAAACAATGTTGCTGTCACCAAAATGATTGCAATATGAATTTTACATATAAGCACTGTTTGGTCTTGTAATTTTAGGTTGAATTCATGAAGACATATTAACAAGTCTGCAGCAAAAAAAAAACAAAAACAAAAACAATTTTCAAAGTGATAATAATGCTTGAGGGCAACTTTTCTCTTTTGGAGAAATTGCAATCTTGGTCTCAAGCCTAAAACCACGATAGTAAAACTTTATCACTACTAAGACACTGCACTGTTCGGTTTCTCTGACAAAAATTCTCAGAACTGGTAATGGCTAAGTTCATGAAAGCAAATAGAAGTCACTGGTGACACTTTGGTTCAGTGATATATGACAAAAACAAGGTTTCCTGCAGAGAACCTGGCTGATGAATAATAAAACAACCACAAGGCTTTAAACATCATGTATTTCTATAAGCTTTGCAAATCAATGCAACGAAACCATTTTTAACCATTTCACTGCAACACAGCAGATTCTGCTTCAGTTTGGAATACATTCACAATGCTTCATTGCTGCTGCTGTTGAGACAGGGTCTGGTTATGTTGTGCAGGCGGGGCTCTAGCCTCAGCCTCCTGAGTAGCTAGCTGGGATTTAGGCGTGGGCCACTGTACCCAGCCTGAACTGGTATCTTCTCAACCTGCGTGAAAATATTCCTGTCTGTAGTTGTTGTGAACAGACTACTCATGGGGCCAAGTACTCAGTCACTTCAGCCTCGGCACTGATTCCAGGCAAGTTCTGTCTTTTTCCTTTTTTTTTTTTTTTTTTTTTTTAGCGGTACCAGGGATCGAACTCACGACTGCCTGCTTGCAAGGCAGGTGCTTATGCCGCTGAGCTAAATCCCCAGCCCTCTCCAGGCAAGTTCTGAAGAGTATCAGTGACATCAGTGAGCTCACAGCCAAGACTGCTGCCACGAGTTTACTTTGCTTCTGGGCTTCCGATGCTGCAGCCGCATCCTCAGCTCTCAGACAGCTGCTGCTGCTGCTGGCTGCCTCACCTTAGATGAGCTTACTTTTGTCTGGATCCATCTCTGCGATTGGACATGATTCAATTAACTCATGAGCAGTGTTTTCTTGCTCGGCTAATAAGCCCCTTGGAAACTCACTTTTAATAGCTTGGCTTCCATTTTTTACTTTTGTGAAAAACTTCCGCTGTGATGAGATATTCCGTTGTTAACCTTTCTAATATTTTCCAGGTGGGGAATACTATACTCAGCATAGAAACGTACACCAATAGCAACAGAACTACACAATAACGGTTTGACACCTACTTTGACACCTACTTTGACACCACGGTTTGACACCTACTTTTGAAAAATAATCCGCATTCCACTGGGTTGAAAAGCACATTAGAAGTCTTCTCTTTTTGTTTTGATGTGACGAGCAAGCGCTGGTAACTTTAAAAGTCACCCTGTGGCGGCAACTGCGGCCCTTGCCACCTGTCAAATTATAGCTATGTCACTGTGACTTGCAGGGTGTGAGCAGCAACAGGAAGCCAGAAGCGCGCACCCCGCCTGCACAAGGACCCTGCATGAGCCCGGCAGCATAGTGGTGCCAGGAAAAAACTGCAGATGCTGAAAACTGAAGGTTACATAACCTTCCATGTCACAGTGCATTCTTTCCCCAACCATTTAAAAACAAAAGCAATTCTTTTAAACATTCTTAGCTCACAGACCACTCAAGAAACACGGCAGTGAGTCAGAGGATAAGTCCGCTGACTGTCGTCTGTTAAATTATGTGTGAGCAGCGTATGTAGCAGGCTAACGGCAGATAAGGCACATGAGGATTGGAAATCAAGCCGAGGAGGTGGATGCTCGTTTACACAGCAAACACTAAGCCTGTAGATGCTTAATGCTTTTATTTAAAAAGTATTAAAAATTTCATGAACGTCTGTCCATACTTGGTGCTGTACTGCAATAAAAAAGTATTATTGAATATTGAACTAGGCAGGGGATTCAGAAGAGAAAAGTATTGGGGAACTTACACCATTTTAACTAATGCCAGTGTCATCTAATCTCTTTAAAAATTATCAAATGGTGTAACCAGCTTCATAAACACATCCAGTCTGCATCCTGAGCTATACACTCTCTTATGTGTGGAAAATGTGTGTAAGATGTGTCACTAGATTGCCAAAAGGCTGGGCGTTCATCACTAGGCTCAAAAGTTATAAGATGTGATTGAAAAATACAGTGAATATTTTTTTAAAATTTACTTTATAAATGCACTGCCATTAATCGTCCTCAAAATCCTCCTCTTCTTCCTTTTAATACACTTGTGTCACTGCTCTGGTGACTTTCTGGAGCAGCTCCCAAAGTCCTTTTTTTCACGAGGGTCTAGTTGTATGCTTATGGCTGCCACAATGTCCTGAACTGACTCAAAATATTAACCTTTCTCATCATGTTGACTCTGAGGATGCTCCACGGTGCCAGGCAAGCGAATGTGAATCAAAGCACACACTCGTGTTTTCACGAGGCTCTCTCTGCAGGAAGGCATTCACAATCACATGTCACAAACATGAGAAAGGGAAGCCCCAGAAGTGCTCCAGAGAACAGCGAACACACTGGGGAAGTGCATCCAAAGGGAGGGGTAGGGTTGGAAGGGGAATTAATGGCAATGTGTCTTTTATTGTAATAAGGTTTCTTAAACACACATTGTAATTGTTTATTAGCCTTTGTATACTAACATCAGGGAATTCTAAATAACCAATGGAAAGCTGAACAAAAAAGAATGAAGTTGAAGCTCACACAGTCGAAGATTCCTAAGAGCCTATTACAGAGAAACCATCACAGGGGTGCACAGGATCTGAAGAGGTAGAAAGGAACACGCCACACACACACAGCCACACGGTGAATCTCCTCATGGTGGGAGAAAAACACAAGCTGCAGACCAGAGAGCGACATTGGCTCACATTTCCAAACCAACAAAATAGCCCTGCGCATCGCAGACAGAGGTGTGCATGCATAAAATTCCCATGCCAGAGCCGGGTGCCGAACTCAGCAGAGTGGATACGCAGCCTTTGGGCAGGGAAGACACTGGGTGGGCGAAACTGAGGCTGGCTGTGAACGCACAGGTATTTGTTATATTATTTATATATTGTTGTGCATCAAAATATTTAACTTCCTAAATGTTAGTGTTCTGTATTCTTTCTGGTGGAAGAAAGGAGGTGGCACAGGGGCACAGACTATGTCAGCACTGGAGGGCACTCAGATGCTTTCCGCTGGGTGCAGGGCATTTCTGAAAGGACGGAAACCACAAGTCAGGTCAGCAGGGAGCAGCTAGCGGAAGCTCAGAGCAGGAGGGGGCCTCGCTCGGTCTGCACGGATTTGGAGCCATGCACGCTTATTCTCAGTGCAAGTGGGCATTTGTCCTTGACCCTTTTGTCTGCTAATAAGAGCAACTGTGGGGAAGAAATTAAGGGTGTACTCTTCTCTGCAGAAGGAACTTCTGCCCTCTCCTTTCACAGTGGGGCTCTCATGAGACAGTGCTGCTCAGACCTGCCCCATCTCAACCATGCCTGTCAATGGAGTATCCATCTGTTCAGAGGCACCTGAGCCAGCAGCCGATCACATTCAGTTAGGCTCCACAGCAGGGCCCTTCTCCGCAGCTGTTCCCACAAGATGGCCTGCAGGGGCCACCTGTCCCAGGGGTCCACCTGTGAAGTTTCTGGCTGGGCTCCAGCTTAGCCTGTGTGCAGCTACCGCCCGCATCTCCAGCTGGCTCCATGGTGGCCTCAGTGTGGAACTTCTCAAGCTCTGTTTCCTGCGGGTCAGGCCCTGGGGAAGAGCCACAGAGCCCGCTGTGCTTCTGGTTGGTCTTTCTTCCTGGCCCACGGTTCAGCATCTGGCAGGAACAGCAGCCCCTTCTCTCCCCTGCTTTGGGAGCAGAGCACCAGTTAGGGCAGCTGCACCTGTTTTTCTCGTCTTCTCTCTCCCCATGCACTGGGGCAAGTGAGCCAGGTGACAGCGATGACGCCCAGCACCCTTTCCCTGCCGCGCTGGCCTTTGTGTCTTAGGAATGGAGAGTGGTGGAGCCTGGAAGCCTCACTGCACCGGCAGAGCTGGGCAAGGACACGTGGAGGGCTAGGACACATGGAGGATGTGCCCGGTCCATGCAGACACATGGCTCTTCCGCTCCCATCTCAAGCCAGGTGGCCTGGCCAATAGGACAGATTGGCACCCACATGCTGCAGCCTTGGGGTCGTTGCTGAGACTCAGGAGCCTTTCTGATGTGTCTCTGTTTGCTTTGTTCCCTTGGGATCATCTTTAGAGCTTTCAAGTCCACAGCTTGTATTTTTTAAAAAAAATTATTTTCCACAATTACAGCTGTTCAGCTAGGGAGGGGTCACTGGCACCTGTCACACCCTCTTCCACCTTGAGGCTGTCAAGGGAGCAGAACCTTCATTCACCATTCACGAGGTCCTCTGGGGGACAACCCACGAGTTCTCCTCTGATTCTGAGTACTGGCAAGTTGACAGTGCAGGTGGTCATTATCTTCAAGTTACTGCGGAGCTAGTTTGTCTAGATGGCCCAGCTTCCTGTGCTGCTGGTAATCTAGAGTATATCTTAGAACTTACACAGCTGATGGATAACAAGGGTAATAAATGTCTTGGGTACTCAGCTAATTCTATGTCCATTTCTAGAGATGGGCTAAGAGACGTCCAAACACAAAACACCTCCCCCACCCACCAAGACTGCAGGGCGTCAGCAGGGTCATCAAGCATGCGGCCAAGCAACTGCTGAATGCCTGGCCCCACATGGAAACTACTCTAGAGCAAGCCAGGAAAACACATCAACTCGCAGACCTACGGGTCAACTTAGCCGTTCTCTCTTGCTTATACTAAGAAAGCATGAATTTGTTTGAATGAAGAAAAGACGTATAACCATTCACTAAATCAGATTCTTGGGGGGGGGGGCGGGGATTTAGTTCAGCAGCACAAATGTTTGTCTTGCAAGTGTAAAGCACGAGTTTGATCTCCCCCGTACAAAAAAAAAAAAAAAAAAAAAAAAAAAAAGACACAGAATCCCGGGTGAGCACAGGGTGGAGCTGTATCTGGCAAGCCCTTAATTACAGTGTCTATGGCATGGGCCAAAGGACAAGGAGGGGCAGCCACACCAGGAAATTTACAGATGTGGATCCAACTTAGATCTGGAATGGCCCCAGAGTCTTTCCAAGGCCCCTTAGGCCTAGCAGAAGGAAGCTGGATCCCTGCATGTGCCTTAGAGGTGTACTAGGAACATGGCCCTCTCCTGATTCTCTTTTTGCTTCCCAGCCACCAAGAGTCGAGCAGACTACTCTGCCACACGTCCAAAAAATAATGGGCCAGCCCACCATGCACAGAAACCTCCAAAACTGTGAGCCAAATAAACCTTCCCACTTTTTAAGCTGTGCTTCTCAGGTGTTCTGTCACAGTGGCAGAAGGCTAATACAAAGGACACCATAGCACGGACCAGAAGGAAAAGTATAACAGAGCGACTCAGCAGAGAACATGGCTGGTAATGTGGCTGCACAAAGCAGCTCAGGACTGCAGAAAGGAAAAGAGGCCATGAGACAGGAAGGTGGATGGGAGCTAAGGCACCCGAGAACAGGGTGTCACCAAGGTGTCTGTCCAGGTCCATGCTGCTACTTCACACTTCCCGGTATAACTACAGTGGCCGGGACACAGCACAATGCAGTCCTCACCCAGAAGACAGAGGATGCATGGCACCCTCACAAGGTGTTTCAGGACCCTTAGTGGCCGGGAGGGGCCCTTTGCACAACCCCAACATTGGGCTCCAGCAGCTACACAGGCAGGGGCTGCAAATCGTGGTGGCCAATGAAGAAAGGCCTGTGTTGGGGATGCTCAGAGAGGTGACCAGGTGGCTGCTAGTGTCACAGGGCACTGAGACACAGCACAGTGCTGGGGTGGGGGACAGGGAGCCAAGTGCTGATGTGGCACCCAGAATCGACCCAGGGACACAGAGCAGGAGGCGGCAGGGGCCTCTCGGCCATGCGTGATGACAAGGACAGGGCGGACAGAGGAGGACAAATGCTCATTACTGCTCCTGTGGGTGGGGGTGACAAGGGAACAAGCAAAACTGGGAGCACTCTGGAAACAGTGACCTCCAGGCGCTTAACATCCAAAAACGCTTCAAATTACTTTAGGAAGAAGTCCAGAAACAGAAAGGGTATTTTACTCAAGTAGATGTTACCTATCCGGAAATAGCCATCTTCCAGTCGTTTGTCTTTGGTTTCTTTGCTTATTTCCAAATCTTTGCTCTAAATTAAAAAAAAAATATTCATTTTATAAGTAATTCTCTTTAAAACCAATTAGTCTTATTGACACATCTTAATATAAATGAAAGTGGCATTTGTGGCCCATCTGCATCTAAAAAAGAAAACTGACCATCATCAGCACAGCACCTGCCTGGCAAGTGTGAGGCAGTGAGTTCGATTCCTAGTACCAAAAAAGAAAGAAAGAAAGCTGCACTGCCACTGATCAAGCAAAGTTTTTTTAAATGATCATTTAAATTTCTGCATAATAGAATGGTAGTTGGAAAATGAGACATTAAGCCAATTTAATAAAGTATCCTGTCCTACTGAAAAACATGCAAAAAAATAAACACCGAAGTAAGGGACTGTGTTAATGTGAAAGAAACCTAAGCGTTAGAGCAATAAAATTTTGTGCATTTATCAACCCACATTAAATGCCTACATAGAGTACTCTGGGGCTCAAAACACAAACAGCAAGAAAACATTGAAGTAAAATAATGACTTGCTTTTAGCACAAACTTTTCATTTTTTCCCCAACAGAAAACAAAATGAAGGCCATTTCTATGAATAAGGAAAATAAGCCTATAAACCAAGTACACTGCGCTTCACAAAAATTAGCAGTTAGCCCACCAATACGTAGGCTCTGCGTTCGTCTCATCAACAGGCTTCACACCAGGTACCCCAGTGCTGGCTGTCAGGGGAGGGACAGGGAAGGACGGGTCAGCAGTACCTTCAAAGGCAAAACGTCCACAGTTGTGTTCAGCAGGATGTCTCCCGGGTGATCCTGGTTGCCGCTGTGGAACAAGTAACTAAAGGCAAGGACACAAAATAAAAATACTATCAGACTCAGTCATCAGGATGCAATAAAACGGCCTCCACTCCAGCAGCTCAAATCACCCAAGACTTACATCACACAGACCCTCAGTCCTGTGGCAGCTCGGCACGGACTCTGCACGGTGGCAGAGAAACCGAGGCCACCACCCTGGGCGATGTGGTAGCAGAAACTCAGACACAACGACGACAGAAGGTAACAAGGGTTCCGCGACACTGTTTCCAGTGCTTCAGACACTGGCAACCGGGCGGAGCCCAAAGCACAGTTCCTGGTGTGCTGCACAGCGGGATGAGGGAGGGGACCTTCCCTGGGCCATCACTACTAAAAACCAGAGGAAGGATAACGACATGAGACACTGGGGTAAACCTAGAAAGTTCTTTGAGTGTTAAGTACAAAGCTCTTGTGTTTTGACACTCTATAAACCAGTGATTCGGTGTACTGTAGAAAGAGGGTCAACCGGAGAGGAGGGGAGGGAGACAAGGTGCGTGGCACGGGGAAGCTAATTTAAATCTAGTTACATTAACCAGCTGCAAGCTTAGGGCCACTCGTTACAGGAGCTCTTGCCTCTGGCCCATTTCATGAGGTTCCCATGCCTCAGGCTCCTCTGTCCAAAGCCAAAACTTTCACCCACTGCACGTGACTGTTTCAAGAAATTCGGAGGAACTGGTGCAAAGCACCCTGCGTATATCAGCACACAGCCAAGTACGTGTGGCAAAAGTCACATGCTGGAAATGACGCCCAACATTTCAGGAAGGCACACTCGACTTGGACCTGGGTCATGGGACAGCAGGCCATGCACTTCCTCGGATAAGCAGGTCAAAGCCCAGGGCTCGCAGGCTACTGCAGAGAAGAACCCTGGGGTTTGGACGGGCTCTGAGACACACACCCCCCCCCCCCCCCCCGCCGTGTTATTCACGGTGAAAACTTCACCGCCACCCAGGAAGGACACCAATAAAATAAACGACGGGGTCTATATGGCCATCAAAACACTACACAGGTAGACTGTGAGCCGACGTAGAAAGTGTGCAGAAACATCCAGAAAAAATGTACCCACATGGCCACCAGGGCATCCAGGAGATTTTTCTTTTCATTCTTCATATTTTTTATTTGCATCACGAACACAGAGGTAGGACACAAAACATTTTATATCTATATTGAGAAATACATCCCTCTCTGAGCAAATAATAATTGTAGGAATCAAAAAGTGATTTTCTTTTTTGTCCTAGGAAGGGTAGATGTTTCCATAAACTCTGAGAAAGTCAGACATTATAACTGCCAAAGAAATGTGTTCCACCAGAAAATATGACCCCAATTTACAGTTGTGTTCTCATATATTATCTTAAGAAAAGTTTACAAGTATTGATGTAAAAATGTTTTGACTTACAATACAGAGATGGTCTTTAGCAGACTCTTTAATAGTCTATCTACTCCCCACCCCCAACTCCTTTTCCAACTGCAGGAAGAGGTGTTCATGGGAACTCCCACTTCTGGGAGGCTGAGTGAGGAGGATCACACATTTGAGCCAGCACTCCCACCCATGCAGCAGAAAGAGGGGGCCTCTGGTGTATTCTAGTGTCAACAAGAGACAAGCAGAGAGCAACCTTTCCTCCACCTGGACGGCAGGAGGTGGCAGCGCCTGTCAGGAAGCCAGCTAACACACAAGGACTAAAGACAACTCAGGGTCTCACGACAGCGCACCCACAATGCCCAGGCTTCAGTTTCAAAGAACAACTCATTCTACACAACAAAGGAAAGTCTCAACTGAATACAAGAAAGACAGAAGATAGATCATCAACACAAAGATACCAAAATACCTGGGAAAACATTCGAAGGAACCATCATAAAAATGCTTCAGCAAGGAAGTATAACATGTCTGAAACCAGTGGAAAATCAGACAGTCTCCAGGAAACAGAGGGATAAAGAACCAAGTAGGAATATTACAATCACGAACAACCGGAACAGAAACTCAAGGGGTGGACTAAACGGCACCATGGCAGTGGGATGGGGAGACACCGTGGTTACAAGCGCGGAAGAATGAAATCTGCTCAGTTGGAGACCAGAGACAGAACAGACAGAAAAGACAAACGAGAAAGCCTTAGGAACCAAGGGACGATAACAAACAACCACGTCTTTGGAGTTTCAGAATGGGACGGGGTTGTGGCTAAAGTACTGGAGGACATTAACACCAATAATTTGAAGAGCCTTACAACCATTCAGAAAATTAAATTTGCAAGAAATCCATGAGTTCCTCACTTTAAACCCCCCCCCCCCGCCCACTCAGCCAAAGTAGCTGTTTGCTACGTCTGTTCTGTCTGGCCTCTCTCTCTGCTTTTCCTCACTTTTGCACAGTTTTCATTTAAAAAATAAAAAAGACATTAAATTTACAATTTAAAAACTCCCCCAGAATAAATCTTCAAAACCACATCTCCAGATGTCACTGGAGAATTCTATAAGACATTGAAAGAACAAACAACAATTCTATACAATCTCTCCCCCCAAAATATGAAGAAGCTCTCAACTCATTTACAAAGTGACCTGACACCAAGCCAAATAAAGCACAAAAAAGTGAAAATTATAAACCAACACTCCTTATATATATGGACATAAAAATTGTTACAAAATATTTGCATACAGAATCAACGATACATAAAAATAGCTGTGCATTGTAATTGAGGGTATTCTAGGGATACTGAACTAGCTTGATACGAAAAAAATCGAAGCCAACTAAAGAAAAATCGTATGTTCTTGTCAACTGAGGCAGACAATGAATCTGATGAAATTCAAGACTCACTCAAAAACCCTAGGGCCAAAGGGGCGGCTTCTTCTGTGTGATAATAAACATGCATCCTTTTGATTTGATTGACTCTGTTCTGATATGTTGCATTTGGCTTTACTCTCTTCAAAAAAAGTAATAAGAACTGTGGGAGTAATAAAACCCAAAATATGTAATTGTCATTGTACAAAAGAAAAGAAAAGAAAGTGCTCTAAAGGTTATAACTGCATATAAGTTTAAGTGTATAAGATAGATAACCATATTACTGAGTTTTGTTGGATCACTGAACAAAACTGTTTGCACTCTGTTTGAAAGTCCACTTTATATGCTTTAATTTTGTAACTTGAACAACTATTTCTAAGATGAGAATATGTGATCTATTAACTAGTGATTTCTTACTGTTTATTTTTTTAAATTTTGTATTACTTGTACCCTTTTTGGTTTTTTTTCTCCTTAAATTAAAAACAACAACAACAACAACAACAACAAAAAATAACCCTACTGCTCACTCTCCAGTTAATGGCCAAACACGGAATAATATTTCTCCCTAAAATCAAGCCCAAAGAGAAGATTCTGTATCATCATTCTTATGCAACACTGCACTGAAAAGTTCTAGCCTAGACAATAAGAAAAGGAAAGAGAAGATACACAGGAACAAAAGAAAATCGTGCTTATTTGCAGATGACAAGAGTGGGTAAAATATTCTCAAAAACTTATGAAACAATTCCTAAAACTAGTAATAGAGCAAAGCAGCAGATACAAGACTAAGATTCAAAAGATCAATAGATATTCCTGTTTATGTCACAGAAAAGAGAGCTGCACTTTACTGTAAGGGATGCCATGGGGCAGCCTGGGAACGCACCCAAAACTGAAGAGATGAAGGAATCAACCAAGAAGTTTTAAAAAGGGAGAAAAAGGGCCGAATTTTGTGAAATGGATATGAATGCGGCAAAACTTAAAAAAAAATTGTGGCCAGGCATGGTGGCTCATGCCTATAATCCCAGCACTTGGGAGGCTGAGGCAGGAGGATTGTTGCGAGTTCGAACTAGCCTGGGCTACAAAGTGAGCTCAAGGCCAGCCTGAACTGCATAGAGAGACTTTGTCTCAAAAAGACAAAAAAAAAAAAAAAAAAAAAAAAAAAAAAAAAAAAAAAAAAAAAAATTGTGAACTCTCCCATGGTTTACTAAAACTCAACTGCTACTTGCAAAACCACTGACTCAGAATAGTCACGGTATGTTAAATTTTTCATTTTAACCAAATTTCTGAGTTAATCAACTAGCTCAGTCAAAATTTAAGGGATACTCTAGAAAAAGGACAGAAAAACTAACTTGAGATTTTGAGAAAGTTTTAAATAAAAGTATTTAAAAATTGCAAGTCTAGAAATACCTACAGAATTTACCAAATATGTGAAATGATATTACACCTTTAATGTTGTTTTTATTCCAAAGCCTATAATCCATCGTGTCCTCACATCCATTAAGCACAAAAACATTCTACCACAAATCACACCATGATTAAGAAGTCTAAATTCTATAAGCAAATACATTTCAATAGTCACCAACCTTTCTACGTTGACTGGCTTGTCAAATTTAAACAGGATGTAGTCTCCAGCATTTGGGGTGATAGCCCAGAAGAAATCCTCCCCCATGTAGGTTTTCTCCAGGGTGTGCCCCTGGTAAACCTTCAAGGAAGTCGAAACCTCTGCAGGAGGATTTACATGGATTTTAAGAAGTAATGGTTTCATGTAGTCTTTATCCTAGGAAAAAAGATATATGTGTTATTAAATAACATACAAATTATTTATATTTAAGAAGAAAAACAACAGTCACATACTAAATCACAAATTGTACATCCAGGAGAAAATAAAATTAAACCACTAACCGTAAGTTTCTGAATCTTTCCGGACAGTGATGAATGGAGACCAACATGCTGGAAAAGGGAAGGTCTGAAGCGAATCCTCAGATTGGCTTTTTGTCTATCGCAATGTTTCTAAATAGTTAAAAAAAGCAAGCAGACAGACACCTTATTGTTGCGTAAGAAAGTGAAATCTCGGCCTTAGCTAGAAAAGTGAGGAAGTACAACTAACAATTCTAATCGCAGGGCGCCGAAAGATGTGCTGTCTTCTTAATCAGCAGCCATGATCTGGAAATTGAAAATGTCTGAGGCGTGAAGCCACGGATGAGGGCAGGATGTAACTGAAACCATTCTTATGGCACATCAATACAGATTTGATGTTTAAGATTAAAATGCACAAACCATAGTGGTTTGATCCAAAAATCTGAATTATCGGATATTTAAACTATCTTAGGTAACATAACAAAGAATTTACAAAATAATAAAAACACATCCCGGTGCATGAATGCAATTGGAAAAGTGTGATGCTAAAACTCCCATGGACAATACCTCACCGCAGTTAGGGGACACCTGTGTCCGCCCCCCAGCCCTGGTGCTTAAGGCTCAGACATGATGGCCCACATGTACAGGTGTCCAGCCATGCGTCAGGAGGTCCAGGGCTAGCTCGACACACTTCTCAAACCTCATTTTCAATGGCTTATGTAAGTTTGGGGCAAAAAGACAGAGAAAAAGACATATTTTGAAGGTATTTCCCCTTAATAGGGTCCTAAAATGCCTAATTCTTAGAGGATTATATTCATCAGTCTCTAATCACCAGCATCCAGGTGAAACAGTGCATCTTATTCACACAAACAGAAGCAGGTGAGAGAGGGCAGAAGGAAAAGGGAGAGTGGACAGCAGGCTCAGTCGGAGAGGCAGAGGACACCCGGAAAAGGTGGCGGTGACAGGGGTGACATCAGGGTCGGGGACCGAGGGCATCCCCACCGAGGGGAGGTGCCAGCCAGGCCTGGGGGCCCCGGCAGGATGGTGCGCGCTGTGGGAAGACCTGCGGATGACCTGAAGCATTTCCACGCCACCGTCCAAGGGACTGTTCTGCTGGCTGGCAAGGGCTGGTGGCTTCCTCCTTAACAGCTTAAGGGAAAACTGAGGCCACAAAACAAAAAGCAAAGACCAAAAAACACACAGACTGCGGGAGAGCAAAGGGACACAGGAACTATCCCCAAGGTTCTGCACTCAGGTCTACGGAAGATTTTAAAAGGCTTTTGCTGTTTTGATTTTCACTATCAGAGTTTCGTACCACACAGGGCCATTTTACAGCCTTACCACAAAACAGATAAAACCACACAGCGGGAATTACAGGCAAGTGTAGGCATCGGGAGATCGAAGGCGACAGTAATTATTTTGTGTCCTACAGTAAAAATTCTTGTAAGCCTTCAAGAAAATACACATAAGGGTTTAGGCTTAAAATTATTTCTTCAAATCAATTTATGTGGTCAAGGACGGCTGGAAGGTATGCATACATCCTGCTTTGCTGTGTTCCCTGATTTGCTGTAAGGATGCATTGTTTGGGGGGGGGGCGTTTTAAAACAGAGAACATAATGATAGCTCAGACACTACGAGGGAGAATCTGAGATCTCCCTGGCAGAACAATCATATCACGCCATTCTAGAAAATATAACAAAGTCACGAAGTCAAATTATGTAAATGCTTATTTTACAACAAATGATAATTTAACCTGATAATAAGTTAGCCCATATGCTCAAATGTTTACTCATTACTCTATGTCAAAACTGACAATCATTAAGAATTCACACATATATTTTACCTTCACACCAAACAAATAAAAAATTTTATTTCCCCCCGACGTACAACTTAAACTGAACAAGGAGATATATCTAACTACTTTACACTAAGATTTCTTTGGGGTCTTAGTGTAAGATCTGTCCAAATGATCAAGGTAAAAATCATTCTCTTATTTACCTGCCACCTCCTTCTGAGGGCTACCAATACCTGTTTCTTAAAAACAATACACAAGGCAGACTTGGGCTTTTTGTTGTTGCTGGATGTAAAATGACACTTCTATCTTTTTCCCTGTTCCTAGATGGGTTAAAGCCCAATATTTTCCGCAAATCTTTGCAAAAAACCGAAACACCCCGCAGGACGGGGTGGTAACTCCCTCCAGCCAACAGCGGCAGATTCTAGGGCCCCAGACAAAGCTGACACAGAGCAGCCACTCCCAGATGCTTCCCTAGTCCCCAAGGAAGAAATTCACTTACTGCGTCTTTCTCAGGATTGCAGACTTTCACCCAGAGGATGTGGTCCAGGAGCCAGTCAATGGGCTTCTCCTTGTAGAACATAAATATGAACTCCACGATCAAACTGAGGTCCGGTGCCTGGAACATTTTACCTGGAAAGATATTCGCAGTCAGGCGCGGTAAAAACAAAACGGCCTCAGTGAGTGAGGTTGGTGCCCCAGATGCAATGATGCCTGCACTTGGAAGGCCAAATCCTCACAAGTAACAAAGAGGGGGACCTGCTTAGCTGCAGGCTCTCTAGCTGGAGGGAGACACACTAGTGGCGACAGCTCAAGGGACTCTCAGGCCCTGGCCAATCTGCCTTGCAAAGCCTCACTAAAATGCTTCTCGTTGAAAAAAAAAAAAAAGGCACATGAGAGGCCTATACAGATACACAGATCCCTTCGTTGAATGCAAACACATACATAAACCAATAAACACAAAACCTCCTTTCATAAAAACTCAGAAGTAAAAATGCTCTTTAAATTTTAAAATGAGTTTTTGGTTTTTGTTTTTTTGTAGTGCTGGAGATTGAACCTGGGGTCTTCACACTGACCCACATCCCCAGACCTTTTGATTTCCTAGGCAGAGGTAAGAGTTCAATAAATTGGCCGGGCAGGGCTTGCACTTGGGATCCTCCTGTCTCAGCCTCCCACAGTGCTGGGATCACAAGTGTGCACTACACACCCGGCTTGAAATAAGTTTTGAGTTCAATAAGGTCAGTGGTTCAGCCTCCCCCACCCACCCCAGTTTTTTGAGACAGGGCTTCACTATGTAGTTCAGGCTGGCCTTGAACTCACTATGGAGCCCAAGCTGGTCTTGAACTCATGGTGATCCTCCTGCCCCATCCTCCCAAGTTCTGATTACAAGTGTGTGTACCCAAACTCCCAGCAGTAGGTTAAAAAGTTCCATATTCCCAGAAGTGAAAGTTCATCCTGAATGTTTTGTTTTTAACCTGTAAATTTGTCGATTGTTTTCCATTGGCTACAAAATGAGCACCCCCAAGTAGTAGTTAAGAAAGAAGTGAATTAAAAAATAATCAAGGAACGAGCAGTTCAGACCCTGCCTGAGAATAACGAGGATTCACCTAAGAAATCTTTTCGTGGGGCTCAGAGCAAAAGAATCCCCGTCCTGGGTGACCGAGGGACCTTCACCGTCAGAAGACACCAGACTTCCTCCCGGGGCCCAGCTGGGCTGCGGACCCCTGCAGAGTACCCCAACCTCAGGGCCACCAAGGTCTCTCGGGTTGCCGCCCATCGCTCCACACAGAGAACCTTCCCTAAATTCAGTTTTCTCAATAACGCTGCACTCCCGCAGGAAAAACACAACTAACAGCAAAAGCAGCCAACGGTTTCCGACTCTGAGTCAGTTATTTGTAAAAAGTGCATAAATTTGAAGCTTTTCTTACCAATGAAGCCCAGCTGGGAAAACTCCAGAATCATCCATTCCTCCGAAGAAAGTTGAAGGGCAAAATTCTTGATAGTATTAAAATAATTCTGTTTGACGATGATGTCATCCTCAAGCTGGAGAAAAACACATTAACGAGTAAGCTCGTTAATCAAAGGGAGGAGGAAAGACCAGGCAGTACCTGGTGCAGGAAAATGCACGCACACCTTCCTGAGCAAAACCAAGAGAACACTGAGAACATGCAAACAAACCTCGTGACAGGGAAGCGAGGGAGGTAAACGGAGAGCTGCGCTGTGGAAGACCGAACCATCCTTTACCATGAAGAAACGAATCCCATGAGTTGCTCTCCCATGAGTTGCTCTCTCCTCCCTGACTGCCAGCCAGCCGGCTTGTACCCTTGGGTCTCCTTCCACACCCACCGTGCAGTGCATGGGGACCCCCACAGGGGTCCAGGGTACCCCCTGTGCTCCCCACTTGGGAGAGGGCTGCTTTGTCTCTCGCAGTACTACCCAGTGACCCCAGGGCCCTGCACATGCTGGGTAAGCACTCCTGCACTAGCCTGCTTAGGGGCTTAGGTAAAAGGTTCACACCGGCAGCTTTCTCTGAATACAACGACTCTTTTAACTCTTTCAGGTCCCAAATCCTTCCCAGTCATGTTCAACCCATGCTGTGTTGGGGGGTGCCGCAGTTGAGGAGGAATTCTTTTGGGCTCATACACGATATAGTTAATCTACATAGGCACCAAAACTTCCTTTAAAAATATTTTTATTATCACATTTTTAAAAAATAACAGCATCCCGGCATGTTGGCACACCTCCATAATCCCCTCGCTCTAGGAGGCTGAGGCAGGGGGATCACCAAGTTCAGTCCCAACCTGGGCGACTCTGTGAAGCTGCTGCTCATGGCACAGGCCCTTAGCTCAGTCCCCAGCAGTGAAAAATAACACAATACAACACAACGGGTCATGGGCTGGAGGCGCGCAATGCCAGGGTATGGATGCCCTCAGCTCTGCAGCAGTCACTCAAGTACACACCAGTTCCTACACCTGCGGGTGACTGCGTCTCACTTCTGCAGGACACAGCCCCAAGAGCTCCCTTTGCACATTGTAACAGACACCTACAAAACACCCAGGAATCCTGGCAACTCACCCAGTGCCAGTGCCCCAACTCTGCCCTGTGCACCTGTGCTTGGCCTTTCTTCTAGGCCACCAGGGAGGGACAGGTCGGGGAGCTAAGCAGGCAGAGGCTCCTCCCCAGGTCTCCTCTGGTCTCATTTTAAAGCCACATGAGGGTCTTGCGGTGCTAAGAGAGCTCTTGCTGCCTTGGTTTCTATCGCTTCTCATTACCAGGTGATTTCTATTTCAGTGTTGGATGTCACCTGTTGAACCCCCACAGACCCCTTCCTCCTCCTGCCAGGGCCCCAGCAGCAGAAGCCCTTGGCAGGACACAGCCCGCCACTCACAGAACCAAGATGCTTTGACGAGGCCTTCGCCAGGGCCACCTGTGAACAGGGAAAGACCTGTGTGCATGTGTGGTCTTTACTGCACAGGTAGCTGTGGGAGACCCTGCCCACAGCAAAGAAAGACAGGAGTGCTACGAGGAGCCACGGCCCGTTTACGCCACCGAAAGCCACCTCCTCACTCCCCAGCATCCTGAGCTCTGGGGACTGTGGTCCTTCCCAGGATTCTGTCATTTTAAGAATGGGAATCTTGTAGCACACAAGCCCTAGAGATTGGCTCCGAAACTGTGAGATCAGGGTGGCATGTGTGGTTTGTTTCTTCCAGGTGGTCAGCATTCTGGGGCTGCTGAGTAAGACACCTGCTGAGGTACAGCTGGGGCCTCCAAGTGCAGGTGCTGGGTGACCTGCCTCTCTGACACAGCGCTCCTTAGGGATGGCTCACCCTCAGAGGGGAGCAACCAAGCAAGATGCAAATACCGGGTCTGAAGTATGCGAATGCCCCCCACCCCCGTGCATATTTGCTTAAAGTTTTTAAAAAGTGCAAGGAGACACTCAAAATTAAGGGCAGGAAGGAAACAGGAGGAGCAGACCAGGGATAAAGGTGAGATGTCTGTAAATGAATCTGCTTTTGTTTTAGTTTCAAGTTTGGAATGCCGTGTTTTATGTAACTACAAAGGAAAAAAAAAAAAAAAGACCTAATAATGGAATGCAAATTGAAACAGATGGGTTGTGGTGTGGTCACTAAGGAGACCGAGCCACTTGGTGGTTTTCACACGAGTAAATCCACAGCGGGACCCACGCGGCGGGGGGAAGCGATCAGCCCGCGTGCAGTGGTGTTGGTGGTGGGGCTGCTGCTGACTCTGCCATGCTCAGTGCTCTACAGCGTGAAAGAAGTGTGTTATCAGGACCAAGTTTCTAAAAACCAAGACTTCAGTGTAAGAGAAAATACAAGTATAAATTAAAAACCGGTGAAGTAAAACCTCTATAATCTTATATCTGAATTGGAAATACCAATGGAAACAAGTGGTTTCTCTCTCTCTCTCTCTCTCTGTCTCTCTCTCTCTCTCTGTCTCTCTCTGTCTCTCAAACACAAAACACCCTTTTCCTTGCTGAAAGTCCTGAGGGCAAAGATGACATGACAAATTCGAGCATCCGAGGTGCCGAATTTGTCCTTACACACCACCCACTGCTGAGAGGGGCAAGCTCCTGGGACATGTGACAGATTCCAGATGTGGGCGGGAAAGATACACAACACGCACAGCAGTCAGCAACGCAGTGATGGACCGGCAGACTCACACAGAAAGATCTCAAGGGCCACGGTGAAGAGGGTCCCCCCACTGGATCATGGGCACCAACGTGGGGCTCAAGAAGTACAACAGAGGGATGCTCTGACACAAATCAAACACATTTAAAAACCCACAAATTCAGCCAGTCATGGTGGAGCATGCCTGTAATGCTAGCTCTCTGGAGGCTGAGGCAGCACAATCACCAAGAGTTTGAGATCAGCCTGGGTTACATAGTGAGTTCAAGGCCAGCCTCAACTACATAGTGAGACCCTGTCTCAGCAAACAAGCAAACACACTCTGATGAGTTTATGATGGTACCTTTAACATGGCTACCACTGGAGACTGCCAGGATAACAGCTTTAAACATTAACGAAGAGGAGAGAGAGAGAAGCAAGCAATTATTCTGCCTTTTCAATATGAACTGTTTTTCAAAGCAATTAGTTAAGGAGGAGAAATTCTTTGCAGAAGAATTTAGCTTCAAAGAACATCAGAGAATAGGGAATTAGAAAATTACCACTGGGAAAACCTCTAATGAAATAACTGATCTAGAGGAAGAAACCATCAGCGTGCTGACTCGTGAGATGGCCCCCTGGACACAAATGAAGAGGAGTGGCACTGCTCCTCCAGAGCCGCCCAACACAGCACCCATGGGTCCCTCCACCCCCGAAGTGCCTGGATTGTCCCATGGTGGCCAGAAGACAGTGTCTCCACTCCAAGTCATTGGCAATAGGGCCCTTTATGAATCTGCCCAACACTCTCAGTGGAAACTCCACCCCAAGCCACAGGCACGATGGAGGAGAGAAGGCACTTTGCTTTTCCCTTTAGGTGTGCCCTGAATTAATCCTGGGCTCTGCTGCCTTTTTCAAAGCACCCTTTCAAAGCTTTGGTTCTGATCCATCTCCCACAATGCAATAGTGAAGCTACATTACCCAGGAGACCGCAAGGAAGTCTGGGATACATTCCCACGATTCCTTACCCTTGCCCTAGTCTTCCCCAGATTTTCCCAAGTGACCTCTTTTCCTTTATAAACATTCAAAGCTAGCATCATCTGAGGACCTTTAAAGGCCCAAATGTTTTCCCACTAAAACTTTATAGCTCGTAAGGAACTCATTAGCAGAACTGTCCATAATGTAGGGTTATAAAGACATAAATATAAAGCAACCCTCTCTCCCCTTAAGTCTCAATCTCTAGGTAAATAGAATAGTTTTAAGAATACTGAATTCACTTTTGAAACAGTGGAAACTGAGAAACCAGACAACCAACAATAAAGTAATTATAATATCTGAACAATGAATGATGTTTTAATGATTAAAATGATTTGGACCTGTATTTATTGGGATTTAATGGGATTGCCAACATCGAGTGACAACGACTCTGAGAGCACCTAGAGCTGGGTCCTATCATCATTAGCAGGGTATTTTACTTCTGGGGGAAGAGGAAACTCCAGATCCTCGCTTCCCCACAGAGCAGGGACTCAACACCAGCACCCTAAAAAGCCAGAGGCCCTCCCTGGGACAGGGTACAATGCGACAGGAAAGAAACACCATGATTTCTCCCTGCAGAAAGAGAGGAGTAGATACACTTCCAGCGGCTCTGACTTTCTGGCCCGCACCCTGAAGGGCTGGTTTCTGTTATGCTGAACTCAAAGCAGGGAGACCAAAAAGCATCAATTAGCAAAAGCTGCAATACCGTAATGAACCGCTAGAGGGAGTGCCAGCATTACTGCTTACCACAATTTAGAGGCCACAGTCCCATAGACAGCCGCCAGGGGGAGCACTGCGGTAGAAATTAGCAAACCTCGGTGAGCTCGCAGCCGCAGGCCCGGAGAGATCAGGGCCTCAGAAAAGGCTGCAGAAGACCCAGATCTCCCTAGGATGAACGGAAGAGGACCCTGAGTACACCAGACTACAGAACTGGTAGAGGTGGATGACTTTTCAAATGCTGAAATCCCAGCAATGCCAACAAAAAAGACAAAAGAAATAAAAACATGGCATATTCCAAAGAACGAATTAAATCTCCAGGCTCTAATTTCCTAAAATCAGAGATAGATGACTATTAAAGAATTTAAATAACGGGGCTTGGGATTTAGCTCAGGCAGTTGTGAGTTCAATCCCTGGTACCGATTAAAAAAAAAATTTCAAAATAACTGTCATAAGACTTGGTGAACGAAGAAAAAAAGCACCAACCAGTGAACAATATCAGGAAAATGAAAAGTGAATAAAGTGAAAGTAATAAAGGGATGAAAAATAAGACTCTCAAAAACTAGCTGCAAAGAATACAAAACCTGAATGGAAATTTCACTAGAAGGATGGACCGTGGGTCTAGCCAGGCAGGGAAAAAAAATATATATGCAAACAGGAAGACAGAACTTTCAAAATTAATGGTGTAGCTGAGAAAAAGTAAAGACAGCCTAAGGGACTGGCAGACACCATAAAGCAACATAACACACTATAAGACTTTGAGAAGAAAACAAGTCTACTTAAAGAAATAAAGCTGACAACTTAACCAATTTACAAAGAAAACCAGGCACACAAATTCAAGAAGCTCAAAGAATTCCATTACAACAAATCTAAAGAGAGCTATATCAAGAAACATGACAACCAAGCTGTCAAGGTCTCAGATCAAGAACACACTCCTAAAAGTCACAACAGAAAAAGGAACTGTCACTTACGAGGGAGTTCCTATTGGCTTATCAGCAGATTTCTCAGCAGAAACTTTCCAGGCTAGAAGGTAGCAGGCAGGTATACTCAAAATGCTAAAACCTACCAACCAAAATTACTATGGCTGACAAAACTGCCGTTCAAAAACAAAACTAATACTTTCCCACGTGCACAAAAGTTCAGTGAATTGAGTGTCACCATCTTATTCCTGAAGACCCTCAACTTGAAATAAAAGAGCAAAAAAAAGTATAAAGAACAAAACAAAAACAAAAACCTGTTAGCTGAAAATATACAAATGTAGAATCCTGTAGTAGAGTACACAGGTGCAGAAGCCACTTTTAAACCTGGTATAGAATTTTAAAGACCAAAAGCATAAAAAGGAACTATACATCTATGTTACTGAGTATGCAGCATAAAAAGAGGTAACTGTGTCATCAATAACAAAAAGTAGACACACAGAACTGTAAAAATGTAGAGAATTCTTATGGGAATGAATTATTATCAATTTTAAATAGGCATCATTTTAAGATGCTTTATATAACTGCAATGATATCACAAACATCTATGGAATATACAGAAGAGGAATCAAATGAAAAGAATCAAAATGTATCATTATTAAAAATCAACAAAATACAAAAGATAAGACTATTTTTACAACTAACAAAATTGATAAAAACAATTTTTGAAAAGCGTTCATGAGTGTTAAGATTTAGTACTAAATTGTCAATATTACCCAAAGGAATCTACATATTTAATGCAATTTCTACCAAAATTCCTGTACTTCCTGAACAGTCATACAGAATCTCAAGGAACATACGGAGTGAAAACAAGTTTTAAAAAGAATAAAACTGGAGTCCTCACACATTCAACATCCTACAATCCATTTATTGTGGTACTGAGAACACACCAATCAGGTGGAGCAGGGAGCCCGAAAACACTGCTGCTCATATGCTGAGATGATTTTCCACAAAGATGTCAAAAATCCACAGTGGAGAAAGGACAGTCTCTTCAACAAATGATACTAGGAAAGCTGGATATTCACGTTCAAAGAACAAAGGTAGATGCATACTTTACACCATGCAAAAATGAACCGAAACACAGTAAAGGTCTGACCCAAAGAGATACAATTATAAATGTCCTAGAAGAAAAGTTTCAGAATATTGGATTTGGTGATAATGTCACAAATAATACACCAAAAGCATAGACAACAAAAGCAAAAATAAGTGAGAGCAACAACAAACATGGAAACTTTTGTGCCTCAAAGGAAAAAATACACAAAAAGGCAATGTACAGCATTGGAGAAAATATGATAAATCAAATAAACCCAAGTAAAAAAAGGAGCCTATGCATAGGGCCCATGACTGTAATCTCAATACGCTGGGAGGCTGAGGCAGGAGGATTACAAACTTGAGCCTAGTCTGAGGAATTCAATGCCAGTTGGCAAGATCCTGCCTCAAAATTTGAAAAAATACAATTCAAGAGCTGGGGATGCAACTCCATGCAACACTCAGGAGTGCAAGAAAAAAGGAAAGAAGAAGAAAGAGGCAAAGCCCTTAAACATTTCCCCAAAGAAAATACACACAGGCAAGTGAGTGCAGGAAATCACGTTCACCATCAATAACCATGAATGAGCAAGTGTTGACAAGAAGGCAGAGCAAATGGACAGGTGCACACAGCTGGCAGGAGTGTAACACGCACAGGACGAAGCTGCTCAAACATCACAGACAGAACTGCTGCAGCCCCATGTCCAGCTCTCTATCCAGAAGGGTTCCGGGTGGGCTCGCAGACAGGCGTGCGCACCTCAGGTCCACCACAGCATTATTCAAAACAGGCGAGAGCTGGGAGCACTTGCATGGCTATTGATGTATGAATTAATAAGAAAACATGGTGTAACAACACAGTGGAACAGTACACAGCTTTTAAAAATCAGGAACTGTCACACCCTACTGCACAGACAAACCTCGAGGACATTGTAACAATACACTAGCTCTGAATGGACTGACTGTAAGTTTCTACTTACAGCTACTGTCTGAAACAGTCAAAATCACAGCAACATAAGGTACAGGGTAGTAACTAAGGACCCAGGACAGGGGACAACGGACAGCAAATGTTCAATGGGTTCGGCATTTCGATTTGCAACACGGAAGCACCACAGAGATCTGTGCACAGTAATGTAAATATATTTAATACTGCGGAACAGCACCATGCAAAAGTTAAGGTGGTAAATTTAAGGTTATGTGATTTTTCTAGTAGAAAGGGGTATTGTACTAAATGATTGTTCTTTATGTAAATCATAAAGAAGAATGTCAGCTATGGAAACTGCCATAAACTGTCATCGCTGCTGCCTGCAATGTCACAGCTGACCTGCCTAAGGAAAGTCCTTCTCGCCACCCTCTTCCTTATCCGTACCCTGTCCGTAATTTCCCAGCCTCCATTCTTCGTAGGCGCCACCAAAAAGCGCTCAGTTTCCACTTACTCCCTCCTGGGAGAGAAAGTGAAACCAGATTTCTAGTGATACAACTACGCTTTCAAGTTCTCCACACAAGTTCAAAGTATAATGTATCTATTTATACACTGGCTCATATGCAAAAATAAAATGCTTTCCTTATTATTTGGATATTAAAATATGATTCCAAAGGGTATGTAAAGACAACATGCCACCCAAAGCTAGACGATCCAGTGTTTGCACACAAAGGATGTTCTGTCTGTTCTGTAGGATGTTCTGTTCCCCACTGTGGTCATGACAGATGGTTCCCACCCCGTGGGTACAGTGAATGTTGCTGGGGGCTTTGTTCTGCGTCCCAAATGTCCCCCAAAAGCTCCTATGTTAGAGGCCTGTGTTAGAGGTCTACAGGTCACTAAGGTCATTCCTGGAAGGGCACGGCGAGACCGAAGCTCCATCTTTGGTCCTCGTCTATCAGGGCTGCTCCAGAGGCACCGTGCGGCCTCGCCACAGATCTAGCGAACATGGGCCCACACGGCCATGGACCTAGACCTCTGCAACTCAGAGCCCAGGTACACCTTCCTTCATCAGACGCTGACCTCAGGTTTTTTGATACAGGAACAGAAAGTTAGGACAGAAACCAAGATCAAATGTCCAAGGAACAAACACCACCTATTTCAGTTTATCTACTTTCCATGTGAAGCCATGCTCTTCCTGCTCTCCTCTCCCAGCACCACCCCCAAACCTCCACAGCTGTATAACCGTCTCCTTTCTGATTCAGGAACCCAGAATCTCCTTGCCACCCTCATCAACATTTCTTCTTAGAAAAGAACCTAGGACCTGGTGGCATGGGCCTGTACTCCCAGATTCTGGGAGACTGAGACAGGAGGATCACACCAAGTTCAGACCCAGCATGACAGCCTGTATCAGAAAAAAGAAATCTAATAAACACACTGAATAAGAAGAACTGGCAGAGTTGATATGCTCTACTTCTCAAGGTTGCCTGCATTTTGAACAAGAGATCAATCTTCTTGGTAAAAGAAATGAAACTCCTGTTGTAGAATTTAAGCTACATCACTGAGATGAAATTGAGAACCAAGAGCTTCCTGGAATTCTGCTGCCTACCTTGCTAACCAAAGCCCCTGGCCTCCCGGGGTCATTCTACATGGACAGTATCAGGCCCACAATGCTAAGAATGATACCATTGGGCTTAGTGGTCAGAGCTTCTGCATTACAAATGTGAGTCTACTACAGCCTGCAAAACCAAGTATCCTACCATGAAATGGTAGAATGAGGCTGAGGCAGGAGGATCTAATGAAAAATTACACAGAAACCTTTCACATTTGACAAATCGTTACATCTTAGTTCTCCACAAATGGCAGACGATGGAAAGGCGAGGGAGAAGATGAAGGGGTAGAAGAGGGAGAGGTCACATGCCCAGCCTCCCTGTGGGAGCCGGGCCTCAGGACCAGCAGATGGAGGTGAGGAGGCATGAGGCCTCAGAGCCACCTGCTGTCACCAGGGAGGCCCCGCAGCCCTCCGAGCTGCAGAGCGGGGGTGCAAGCGTCTGCTCTCAAAACTTCCTGTTTGAGTGAAAATACGCCCTTGTTAATATCTTTAGAAGTGTGAAAGCCACAAGAGGAGAGTGCTTACCTGAATGTAATACACACCCTTTTCCTGAGCGTACATCATTAGGAAACAGTAATCTAGGTTCTGCTTCGTTCTCCATCTGAAAGGGTTCCCAAACACAGGTCAGGGGCCAGAGGCAGAGGGAGAAAGCAAGCTTAGCCACACAAACTCCAGTGTCTGCAGCACACACGCACGCACACACACACGCACACACACACACACACTCGCACACACACACACACACACACACACACACACACACACACACACACACAGTGGCAAAGCACATTCCCTTTTCCCCAGTGAAGCCTTTACCAAAACGTGTTCCTGAGAACTAAGTCTCGAGGTGGCCCTGAGAAAAAAGAACCTTGAGTCCCCGATCAAGACTGGGGAGCACAGGACGCAGCCTCCGTGCAGAGACAGTGTAGTGCAGATGCTAACACATCCAGCAGAGAGGACGCCGGTGGGGAGAAAACTACATTTACTCCAGCAGTTTCCAAGCTTCTTTCAATCAGGCCCCTTTCTCAATAAAATCTTAATTAATGTCTCGCTGAACTAGTGCTTTGAAAATTATGCTTTTGGGGCTGGGCAGGGCACGGTGCTCCCTGCCTCTATTCCCAGCACTCTGAGGCTGAGGCAGGAGGATCACAAGTTTGAGCCCAGCCTGGAAGATTAGTGATTCAGTAGTACTTTGCGTGGGGAGTGCAGCTTAGTGTAAAGACCCTGGATTCGATCCCCAGTACTGTGAGGGGTAAAAGGCAGGCAGCCTTGAAGGGAGGGAGGAAACAAAGGAGTTAGGGAGAGAGGAAGAGAACAAAATGATATTTGAGGGAACACTATTCTGTGTCTAGAAATGTGTTTCACATATAGCTAGGCAAAGAAAAATGGCAACGTCCTTAAATTTGTGTTAGGAGGGTACAAAAGCTGGCTTAAGAGAATCACAATAAAAGAAAAGCCCCTCCTACAGAGAAAGGCCTTCACCAGCTCACCTGAGCTGAAGGCGACTACCTAGAATATTTCTCCAGTTCAATCCTAAACATCCTAAGCTTTAATGAGCAAAAGCTACTGTTACAAGACGGTCATTACCTCACTCTTTCTGGAGAGTCCCCAAATGTCTCCTTCAAGTTTGTCAGGTCAGGGTAGTAGCTTTCGGGAGGTGAAATGACTTCCACCAAGCCAGAACTGATCTCTTTAGAAAATCTACAGGAGAAAGGGGAGCTGAGTCATTTTCTTCTCTTAATGTTCATTTTACTGTGTATTTAATATTAAAACATCACTAAACGTGTAAGAAGGTTGAATGTCACAGTCGCAATGTGTTGACTGAAGTAATCCATCGCTGACTGTATTTACTGGAAAACAGTGATTTTTCTAGTAGCCTAAGATTTTTGGCTTTTTATTTCTTTTTTTAAATAATGTTTACAACAGCAGAGAAAGCTAGGTAAACTGCAAAGTAATTGCATTACATTCCTGAAAGGAATCAGAACTTTAATAATAAATCAGTTTTTAATACTGAATCATAGAAAATAAGGAATTAAAAGGAAACAAATGAATTTGTGTACAGATCAAACACATGGCTTATGCGAATGCAAAGGTCCTCTATTTTCAGGACGCTTTAGTTAGACCCCCAGTGCTTCACGGCTGGAGATGACCTAACACTCCCATCTAGTGTGGACGCCACAGGCTGTTTTAAGCACAGGTGGAATTATCCAGCCCAAGACACCCGGAGCACGGAGACTGCAAACCGTTTTCTAAACTTTGTACATCAACCTGTGCCGACTCAGATATCCTGGAGTTTCTTTCCCAAGTTTAAGCTGGTGGAAACACGCTAAACCTACAGCAGGACAACCATCTCTGCTTTTCTTTCTGAAGAGGAAGCATGTCTTTAGCCTGGGCCGATGGCACACATCTGTGACCCCAACACTCTGGGAGGCTCAGGCAAGGGGATCATAAAGTCAAGTCCAGCCTGGGCAGACAGATTTAGCAAGACCCTGTCTTACAAATAAGAAAGAGCTACGAATGTAGTTCAGTGTGAAGGCCTCGGGTCCCTAATACTTAAAAAAAAAAAAAAAAAGTAACACATCTATCTCTTGGGGAAAAACCAGGTACAAGTCAAAGAAGAAAGCTGTTTCCACTTCTATATCGCTGTCAAAAGTACTAAGCCAATACTGCAAAAGTGCTGAAATGTGAAATTCCGTAATCTTCCCTCTGTTATCTGCTACGTGCCCTGCTCACAGTAAACCAGTATTATTCAGACTTCACAGAGCAGAACCGAGTTAGACACGGTTCAGCACGGAGGCTGGAACGGCTGCCTGATGTTCTCCCGACAGCAGAAACACTGTTGCTCGGTAGACAGAGGGTGGAAAGATTTAAGTATCTCCTGCAACTATGTTGTATTCGCTGCCTTCAACAATAAAGACTACGCTAGTGTTACAACATTCAAATCTTTTCTACAGTGAAGTAAACCAATTTATCCACTAGGTAACCAGTTTGTGTGCACCTACTTTACAGTGTCAAAGACAAGAGCAGGTAAGGGACAGTGAACTCCACAGAGAAATGAACAGCACAGGAAGGCACGTTTGCAAAAAGCAAAGTGAAAACAGTAACTGAAACAGCTCCCTCCCACAGTGAAGGCGACTCACTCTTTCTCCAGGTTGGCCACGACGCTGTGTACATAATCAATATCTGTCTGGGAGAGAAAAAAAATTAAATGTACATTTGTGTCGTTAAATGTAACTTTAATTCTGAAGTCAAAATTAAATGGTGAAACACACATTGAAAACTACATTTTTAGGTGACTTGATGGATTTTTATTTCTGTATCTATTACACTCTATTCCACTAAACACTAATAATACAGTATGCAAATTTCTGTTTATATTTTCAGTTGTCACTCAAAAATCTAGGCACCAAGATTAGTTCTGCTTCCCTTGAAGCATCCAAACTCTAAACGGTATGCACTGGTCATGACAGACGCAGGTGGCTGCTGAGAAGGATTTTTCCACGTAAGACTCAAAACAGGCTCAGGTTGTGCCTCCCTAGCGACCGGGCTACAAAATCTCAAGTCACTGCTCTGAGCTTCGATCTCCAATTCTATTTTTAAAATGTTCAAAGGTGGTTGAAAAATAAGTCATCGGAGACTATGAGATGAATGACAAAGAGGATCTTCACTGGGCAGGGCTGGGCTTTCTCTAAGGAAAGCCAAACCCAAGACAGACCTAGAAGCACGTGGCCACCCAGCCCCAGGCCTCCCGGGGGAAGTCTCCTCGCCTCTCTTCCTCTCACTGGCAGCAAAGACAGCTGAGCTGGAGGGACTCATTTACTCTAAGAGAGCAACTTTTCTTGAGATTATTTTTTAAAAGGCTTGTGGAGGCTCTAAAAGGTAATACTGTCACCCAATTCTGAGAACAGATCTAAAAATCTAAAAATGTGATATGCATCTTCATAGGGAGGGAAGCAGAATGTTCAAGAGGTAGAGTGGACATTTAAAAAGCAAAATAAAAGAGCATTTTCTCCTAGAGAATTATGTGTTTTTAATGTTTAAGTAAATTTAAATATTTTCCTCAAAGTTAAAGAGATTTTTGATATTAGCTGTAACACAGATGAATCTTGAAAATATTAAATCAAAGAAGCCAGTGGCAAAGAACCACATATTGTACACTGTGTTTATATGAAATCACGAGAGAGAAAAATCCATAGGAATTGAAAGCAGATGAGCGGTGGCCCAGGGCTCGGGAGAGTAGGGAGGTTAAGGAACAGTGGCGAAGAGTTTCTTTTTAGATGATGAAAATCTTGACAAATTGATTGGAGTGACTTCATGACTGACTTTGGATGTGTGAATTGTATATGAATTACAGGCAAAACAAAAGCCATAATAAAGTAAAAAACAAAAGCAAGTATTACAGGTTGCACAAATGAATTATGACAAGATCACAGCTTTCTTTGCAGGAAAGTTAAGTATGAAAGTGGGCCCAGAGGAAGTGATGTCAGCAAGATGGTAGAATCAGAAACTGCTTACATCAGGAAAAATGCAACCAGCAACTGTCACAGACTAGGATATCTCCTTGGAAACTCCAATCTGTGGACATAGGCCTGCTCACCTCTGTGCAGAACTAAATGAGAACAGGAAAAGGAAGTGCTCCCGGAGCATGGTTTCTGCATGAGGGAAGAACAACTCTGCTTCCCGAGACACATCCCAGAAGCTCACGCTGGTCTCACATCATGCAAACAATAGAGATTATGGCACAACTAGACCACCAAGGGCAAGAAGAAACAAAGCAGCAGAGGTCACAATGACCATCATATGCTGGTGGTGGTCACAATGACCATCACAATGACCTCTGTGTTCCTGCCGGCTATAGCACCTGATCGGTGACAAGAGCTGACTTCATAACCCATCCACAGAGCTGGACTGGTCATCTTCAGAAACACAGTAAGATGTTCGACTCAGCTGGAATGTGTAAACAGGTGGTCTCCACGTCCAGCCTCAGAGCCCACACCAATGACCCTGCCCATAACAATGACACCCAAGCGAAGCTCGTAAGAGAAGCATGTGGCTCAGGAAGGCTAGCAGAGGCTCCCATCAGCCTAGTAGTCCCTCAAAGACCATGACAAGGCAGGGATTTCCAGAGAAACCTGGGGCTAGAGCAGGAAGTCAAGCAAAAGCCCATCCCATAGTACCACTCTGAGAGATGAGCAACTATCACTGGTGGGCTTCTAAGGGGCACAGCACTTGCTCCAACTACGTGAGGGCAACTTCACCTAACCTAGCCCAGCCCATAGCCCTGCCCAGCTAGAGACTAGTAACAGTGGAACCACCTGGCCAGGGACTACATCCCCTGACCAGCCTGACCACAGCCATCACAGCATCAGGCTGCAGTGCATCCAAATAGAGCATTCACAGCAACTCTGGCTGTCCAGGCTTGCCAACCAGCTGGCCCTTTCGAAATCACTCATCAGACTCGAGAGTAAAGGTTTAACTCACCCAAAGAACACCCAGAAAGGCTACAGGGGCACACACCTCCTCCAGGGCACACAAAGCAAAGTGAGGACACAGGAAATACCACTAATCAGGGAATCATTACAATTAAACTAAGCAAAACAAAACAAAAACCTCAAAACTAATAGACTCCAATTATGGGCTCTAAAGGAATAAAGGTTTTTCAAACGACACAAAAAGAATTTAGAATAATCCTCTTAAGGTAGTTCAGTGAATCCCAAGAAGATACAGACAGAAAATTAAACGAAATTTGGAAGTACACTGAAAAAAGAGACGATAGACAAAGAAATGGAAACAACAGTAAAGAACTACATAGAAATCCTAAACATGAAGAATATAGTGATTGAAGTAAAAAATTCAACAGCTCCCGGTAACAGCAGCTCCTCCAAGGAGAATGATTGGCAGTGAGTGAGGAGGCAGAGCTGTGAAACCTCCTAAGCAGAAAAATAACAAGAATGAAAACTAGTGGGAAAAGCCCATGTGAATCACATAAGATCACGAAGCAATCAAACTTTCACATCATACACATTGCAGAACAGAAAAGGCCACAAAGTATATTTAAAGAAGTGGCTGAAAACTTCCCCCATCTGGGGGCTGATGCCAACATCCAGGGAACAGAAGCAGAGAGTGCTCCAATAAAATTCAACCCAAAGAGGATGAGACATAGAAAACCAAAGACATAGAAATTCTGAGAGCAGAAAGAGATGAGAAACATATCACATACACGGCAATTCAATTATCAGTAGCTTTCTCAGCAGAAACCCTGTAGAGTGGAACAATATATTCAAAGTGCCAAAGGAAAAAATTTCCAGTCAGGAGTATTTTAATCAAGCAAAGCTGTCTTTCAGAAATGGAGCTAACTGGGGACTTAGCCTAAGGTTGGACTCCTTGTCTAGCATGCACGAGGCCTGGAGTTCATTTCCGGTAAGACGGAAGGAAGGAAATGAGGAAGGGGGAAAGGTATGTGTACGTGGGAGGGAAAAAAGGGGAAGAGAGAAAATAGAGAAATAAAAGCTTTCCCAGACAAACAACACGAGTTCATCATCTTCCAAGAATTACTAAAGGGAGTCTTCAAGCTGAAACAGAAGACCTCTAGTCAATAAGGTAAAACACACAAAAGCACAAAACCCAATGGTTTTACAGCCGTCTCAGAATACTCTAGAACCATAATAATGGTAGAGAAAGCAATTAATCTCTACAACAAGAGATATTAATAACTGTAGCTAAGACAAACTGTCAAGAAATATAAAATGATATAAATTCTATCAAAAGCATAGAATGCAGGAAAAATAAAGTATGGAATTAAAGTTAAATCATTATCAGCTTAAAATATATTGTTACAAGATAATTTATGATAACCACAAGTAATATAATTATAAAAATCATATAACGAAAACAGAAAATATTCCAAAAATACTCTTAGATCAACCTCTTCTCACACACCAACACACCCAGCAAGACGGGAAGAACTGGACAACTATTAGCGAGTGACAGGAATAGATTGTAACCTATCATTAAATACTCTGAACATAAATTGATTAAGTTCTCCAGTAAAACATCACTGAGTAGATTAGCAACAATGAAAGCAAGACTCAATCTTGCTTCCTACAAGAGACTCATGGCTTTTTAGGACACAGATGAAGTAAAAGTGACAGAAAAGACACTCCACACCATGGTGAATACAAAGACAGCAAAGGTGGCTATACCTGTACTGGACAAAACAGATTTTAAGCTAAAACGGACAAAGAGACCATTACGTAATGAAAAAGGAGTAAAATCATACAACAATAGTAAATACTTATATGCACGATGTCAGAGCACATAAATAAGATAAATATTAAAGGGTCTGGGGTGCAGGACAAGCGTGAAATATCCCAACAGCAGTCACCAAAGATCCGTCCTTGTGGCCGTCAGATCCCATCCCACCAGGGCACTGAGCACCGTTCTGCTTCCTCCCAGGAAGCCTGGTGGGCCCGCCCTGGGCCTGTGTGGCCCGGGAGAGCAAAGACTCAAAAGTGCCATCTTCTGGAACCGCTCTCTTCTCCTGAGCTCTCCTCTCAGTTCCCAGCTGCTGAATTCCCTTTCTGTGCTATGACATGGAAAGTGTCACCAGGCAGAAAGTCAGAGCGATCACAGCACTCATGACATCTCTTTCTCTCAGGCCACCACGCGCTGTGTGGTCTGCTGGGCAGTGTCTGTGAGAGTTTATACTGAGAAGACAAATCCAGCTCTTGCTAACTCCATCAGGGCTGTACTCAGATGCCATTTACACAGTAAGGGACTAGTCAGGCATATGCTGGGACAGCCCTGTTAGCTCATAATAAAGTTTATTTCCCTGGGATCCAAGAAAAGTGGTTACTGCCTACCTTCTGCTTGATTTTGTACTTTAAGTTAAATATGGATGTACTAAGACAACCAAATATCACAGTATCTTAGCTGGTTTTACTAGTTTCTAAAATGGTCCAATGCTGAAAGATAATAAAAGTAAGAAAGAGGAAGTTAAAAGGCCAGACAAAAAGAAAAAAAAGACTTCTTCATTTGCAATGCATCTATCATAACCTTCACTTCTCCCAAACAAAATGATCCTCAAACACTTTTTAATCAGCACCCACTCAATACAGAGTAAGTTCCTAAGTGCACTTCTGACCGCCTCCATGACAATCACTCTAAACAAAGCCTTTCCTGGACTGC